ATCTTCCTTGGTTTCAGAGGCATCTCCAGTGTGTACGCAACGACGGCTAAAGTACGGTGGCGAATTTTCTAGAACTTTAAAAAAGATTTACAATTGGGTGGTCTGTTGTATTCAAGACTTTGAAGAACGATTTTTGATCTATTTATTCGAAGCTGGGGATCTGAAGGCTGTTCTCCCCTAAATAATTAAGATGCCATGAGCAGTTCGACCATCTGCTGCGCCAGGTACGTTTCAAATTCTCGAAGCAACATGCTATAGCTCAAAAGTAGCCTCCGTCCTCCACCGTGTTGCATCGCTTTTAGAAAATGAAGATTTCGAGCCCATTACCCCAGTCATGATGACGCCTCTGTTCCGCGCTCATTACCCATATGAGTATCGTGGTCCTTCTTGACTTGATACAATAACCAATTATTGTAGACCAGAAATAAAATCAAGCTGATCCCTGCACACGCACTCGTTATTGTAACCGTGATGGTCGCAGTCACGGACCAGTTCCCATCCTTAGCGGTGTACACATTGACCAGTGTATTGACGAGACCGAGAATGGCATTAAGCAAAGTTGGCCTGATCTCATAAGGTCAGCGTCTGCTTTCAGCTGCCGGCTAGGTAGTCATTACAAGAATATTCGATTTACCAACCAAATGTAGTTCCTCTTCCATCTTTTCCAGAGTAAAGCGATGCCAACGACTCCAAATAGGCAGCAAGCTCCTGCTACCCAGAGGAGCGAGGCATTCTGAACGGTGTGTAGAATAACTTTTCCGGCAGAAGTCTTGCTTGCCGCTTCTTGCACCGAATTGGAGCTTTGGAGAGAGGTAAACGTGCCCGGGAATACAATGTATCCAGCCAGGATCAACCACGTAAACAAGCTGGCATAGAAGTTGTGGCGACGAGGAATCTCATCAAGCTCTAAGAGCATCGCCACATATTGAGATTGTGAGCGTGGCAGGTTCGTCGAAAGTGGCCTAGGGAGACGAGCCTCATCTCTCTGAAACGAAGGCAGTGGGAGAGGGGCCTGTGGAAACTTTGACTCTGGATGAGACGATTGATCCCTCAACTTTGGAGGGAGAATGGTCACATATCTTTTTTTCGAATATGTTGCTTGCTGCATATGCGCTTCGGATACTGGAGTCCGTTCCATCTCAGCAGCGGGTGCGGAAGACGGAGAGTTCTTAGGAAATTCCATCCGCGGCAGGGATCGTGACGAGGAGCTCATTGTTTCATTGACATTATCTTCTTTACATAGACATTGAAGCTGTGTAAAGTACCGTACTATATACTTTAATGTGAAAAGAGGGTCTATATGCGGCTCCAAGGGCGCCGGATCTGGTTCTCACAACTTATCAAGAGCCGTTCATAGACCCCATCCTCAATATTCGGGTGACAAAATGGGCCCTATGTCATGAACGAGGTTCTATCAAGTATTCACCTTTATCTACTTTAGCTCTAAACTTCCAGCTCTAATATTAAGTGGAATTCTCCGTCTTTTTGCTGTAATGTAAGGGAATAAGGGCTTTTCCTGACACCCTAATAATGGTTGAATCGAAATTTTAGGCTGTGAGTGCTGCTGCAGTATAATAAAAGTTGCAAATGAACTCTACTCTTCTTTGCCTATGTCGTCTATTGAGGCGACACTATTTATAGCGAAGTATTGGGCTTCACGGTTTCTGCCATGATTGGGGGCGCCATGAATGGTTGGAAAAGTAGTGCGAACTAACTAATATTTACTGCATCGCTACCAGTAAAGACTCTATGTATGTAGAACGCAAGAGGCTCGTACTCGTTTAGTAGCTATTATGATCTGAGCTGCGAACAGGTCTGACTAAGGGGTTTCCTTCATAGGGCGAGTATAGAAATAGAAACGGGTCAAGCAAAGGGAACCTAGCTCTTAAGTATCCTAAAATGTAATTATAGGATTTCTAACGAAGTTGACTACGAATAGTCCTATCTAGGGTAATGTACGTATATGTATAATGCTAGCGGCTTAGCCTGGATCTCAAGGCTCCCTTGTGCTCTTAAGAGATCCCTGAGGTCCAGGGGATCCAGGAGATCCAGCCTGATCCAAGTCACGTGATATTGCCTCGTTCTCTGTCGGCTAACTTCCTTTCCTTGGACGGGTGCCTTGACTCCCTTGGTGACCCTTCAAATGACCTGGTTCGGAACACTATATCCGCAGAGCAGCGCCGCCCACCCTATCGACCTGGTTGCCTTCAAATTTGTGAATGTTCCTACTTTCGCACCGTGTGTTCCGCTAATGACAGATGAGAATCTTTAGATAATATACTCAGATTCTCATTAATCCAGGGTGGTAGTAACAGCAATTACTGTGGTGAGCGTGGTCAGCGAAAGTTGACCAGCAGCGTCCGTCGTCTCTGAGGCTCTAAGTATGGTTCTTGAACTGATAATGATCGTGTTCGTGGTGGCCGGGTCCGTAGTGACAATATCTGATGCTATATCTTGAGAGGTAACCACCGGCCCAACCGACGTAATGGTCGTCGTCAGAGTGGTCAAGGTAGCATCGCCGGCGGTGTCAGTTGTCATTAAGGTCACGACAACAGGCTCTAGATTCGTCGTCGTCGCGGTCGTGGAAGAACATTCTGAGTCCACGGTAACAGTTTCGGGTAGTGTGCCTTGAGATGTAGTCACTGGTCCAACTGACGTAATAGTCGTCGTCAGAGTGGTCAAGGTAGGATTGCCGGCGGTGTCTGTTGTTAGTAAGGTCACGACAACAGGCTCTAGATTCGTCGTCGTCGCGGTCGTGGAAGAACATTCTGAGTCCACGGTAGCAGTTTCGGGTAGTGTGCCTTGAGATGTAGTCACTGGTCCAACCGACGTAATAGTCGTCGCCAGAGTCGTCAGGATGGCATCACCCGCGGAATCAGTCGTCGTCACAGTCACTGTGGCCGTCTCTAATGACGTGGTTTGAGGAGGGCACAAGGTGAGAGTCAAGTTCGCCGACACGTCACATGATTTGACGGCAAAGTCATCATGTGGCTGGTTGTAAACGTCTGGGCAAAGAGCCACGCCCGGGTCGCAGGTGATGTTCGAGCAGTCGTCGGAAGACGGTGAGAGATAGAGGCCCCAGCTTTCGAACGGATACCCATTAATATTCGAGATGTCATACGCCAGTATCGGATTGTCAGGGTGATAGGTGTACTCGAACTGCGTGATGAACGAATCGTCGGGAACCGTGGCAATCTTCAACGAGATGCCTCCACCGTTTGGATTAACTCGGTATGTCTCGTTGAAGGTGCCGATATTTGGCTCCAGATAATTAATTGTGTCGTTAGGGACATTTGCAATACTCCAGATATAGACCTCCACATCACACCAATTCTCGATAGCAGCGGTCCCGAGGCAGGCAACGGAAGAGATGCCGGACAATGCCACGGCAAGGATGAGTCGTCTCAAGCTGGCCATGTTGAAAGCTGTGAGTTCCCTGAGAACCTGTTGGGAAAGGTCGAGTCTAGTTGAGCGAGATGCGGTGCTGTACGTTGTCTCTTAAAAGGAGCAGAGCTAGAGTGTCTAGTAAGCCACGAGTCTTTGGTGATCTAGCGAAGCCATTGAGGGAGAGAGCGTCCCAAAACGGCCCTAAGTAGTGGGAGTATGTGGAAGATCAAGGGAGCCAAATCAAGCCGCAAGCCCAAAAGGGTCCCCTTTTTCAGTCGCTGGGCTCACGGAGAGTGATCGCTGTGCAGATGATCACTTAGAACGGAACCAGGTTCCCAACCCACAGGTTTTCAGGTTCGAAGTAGTGCAAAGTATCTGAAGCTGCTGAATTCCTATGTCTGAGGACTCGGTTTGAGGCCAAAGGACTCCTCCTGGATGTTTGAACCGAACTCCTTGAGCAGTGCAAGGATTGCATCTATGACTTCCCTAGACTTAGCAGCATTGTCACTGGATATCTTTGCCTCGGCTTTCCATTTCTGGATATACCCTTCGAGCTTTCCACCATCCTCTCGGGCCTCTCGAAGGGCGATCTCCATTCGAGCCGCCTCCTCTTCTGCCTTCTGTCTCCCTTCTGACTCTATGCTGGCTTGTGCCTTCCACTCGTTCAGCTCGCGGGCTAAACTCTCCTCGGTCTTCTCGAGCTCGGTAATCCTGGCCGTGAAACTCACGTCTGATTTCACGAAATGGCCCTGCTCTCACATATTCAGTCAGCCTGATAGCGTGGGTGCAAAACATACACAACAGGTCTGTCTACCTGCACATTTCCTCGAAGGGTCGTACGAGGCGCCTTGCTGGAAGGCTTCCAAGTTGCGGCGACACAGTTATCCTCGATACATTCACACAGTTTTTGGAGAGACTTAATAGAGAATTCACTCAGGTTCTGTGTAAAGAGGTGACTTATCGCTTCGGTTTTTTCCCATGTATATGGATCGTCGTCGTTTGTTTTGAGCCGTACCTGGGAGGGTTCGACCGTAATCCCAAGTCTGCTGTCTACAGAGGCGTTATCAGAGGCATCGACCAGACGTCAGTGGATCTTACAAATATTTGCCGCTAACTTTTCTCGACATTTCCGATTCCACTGGGTTCGCTTTTGGTTCTTGGACGGACGATTTGCCATTCGTGGAACACCACCCCTGTTTGTGTCTTCCTGTCCGTTGAAGAGATTTCTTTCCTGATGTGTGGGTTGCGGACGGTCCACGGCATGACAGAGAGTTAGAAGCCAGCTCTGCGAGCAGTAAATATTAACACCACTTCAGGATAAAGATAGGATCTTTTCGGGCTCCCTTGTAGATATCTGCCCATTTCGGCCCCCCAGCTCAAGCCAACACTTGAAGCCCCAAAGAGGCCCCTCCGAACTTGGGCCGGCAGGTAGACATGAAAGAGGTTGGCTTCCCTAAGGGGCCCAGTCCAAAGGGAAATCGTAGCGAGGCCGCATACACTGTATGCGGTAGTGCCACAGTGTTATGATCTGAGCTGCGAACAGGTCTGACCAAGGTGGTTCCTTGATAGAGCGAGTTTGAATAGGGATCATGCGCGGGAAGGGAACTTAGGTGCCCAGATATCCGAAATGTAGGTATAGGATTGTTAACGAAGTTGACTACGAATAGTCCTAGCTAGTGTATTGATCGCATACACACACCCGTGTCCCGGGTGCTCTGCGAGGCTGTCTTCCCAGAGCAAGGGATCTAGGTCACGTGACGTAGCCTCGTTCTCCATCGGCTAACTTCCTTCCTTTGGCCGGGTTCCTTGACTCCCTTGGCGGCGCTTCAAGTGACCTGGCTCGTAACACACAGCGGACCTTCCAAACCCATTCATGACATGATCAGCGTTCTAGTTTGGTCCCATACCACACCGACAGCGGATGGTCTTACTCGCCATGGACATCACTCTTACCGGCAGATCTGACGCGTCTGCCTCCCCTTCCCTTTCTCCCCTTCTCTCCCAGTTCCTGCATTGCCCCCCCTTTCCCTGATCGTCCCTTACCCTTCTTCTTTCTGGGTTGGCGCAAATCTGCCCGGGAGTCGAAGGCGAAGCGTAATTTTAGGCTGGCCGACTCGCAGATGGATGCAGGTCCGATTCGCCGCGTGGCAAGGGCCGTCACGATCTCGAGCTATCTCACTCTCTGGCGACATTTCCGGAGCCGGGCTCTTCGATGTCTTGGTATATAACTCCGAGTAACCACAGGACGGATCACGTCCTGCATCGCACAACGTTGCTCCGCTCAATTCGCTGGTCATGTCGTCCGGTGAAGAAGTGGGCGGCGGTGAGGCTGAAGGCGAGCATAAATACTGATTAAAAATGGCGTCGACATCGACGTCTCTCGGCTCGAGGGAGCCGATCGTGTCATGGGGTTTTGTGCAACGGGATGGGAATAAATCAGAATCAAGGTCGGCAGATTTATCGTCATCGCCAGTGAACGCCAGAGCATCCCCTGCTGTCCGGTCGTCTTCTCTGCTTGCTCCGATGGGCGGAAGATTTCTGGCCCTGCGGTCTAGCCACTGGCCTATTGCGGAGCCAGTCTCTAGGGGTGTTTGCATCATGGCAACGTCCGCCATGTGGCTGACCGTGGTATGAGTCCTTTGCCGGGAACCCGCCGACGGGGGTTTGGGGACCGTCGCATCTGTGGCCGGCCAGCTCGGCAGGATCTCCTGCTCAACAGGCCACGCCGCCTCCACCGCGTCTGGCCCACGACGCTCCGCTTTCGACGGGCTGGTCCCGCTCGAACTCTGCGTGCGTTTGGGGGATAGGCAGGATCCCCCCAGGCCCATCGCCGAGGCGAAATTCGTCAGCCCCAGATCGGAAAGGCGTGGGTCAATCGACATGTCTAAGTGTGGGCTGCCGCTGGGTCGCGGGAGGTCGACGGGAGCCGCTGCCTCCCTCGGCCACCAGTCGACCGAGGAGGGCAGAGTGTCGTAGCAGTCTGTCTTTGGGATGGCAGTGAAGGCGATGGAGCTATCTTCGTGTCTCAAATGCGATCGACTTATATGGCAATGTCGCTTGCTTGCGCTGACCTTGGTCCGCTTGTAGCAGTGGGTGTCCTGGGCGTGATATTGGAGATCCACGATAGCGTTGAAGGAGAGACCGCATCGCGGGTCAGGACACGACATCATCTTGATCTCATTCGACCCGTCCGACGCAAGAGCGAGCCCGTCCTCCTCCCCGAGCCCGTCTTTCCCCTCGAGCCCTTCAAAATGGCTGTCCAGGTGCTGCTGCCAGGGCGGCTTTTTAGTGTACTGACGGAACCGCACTTCGGGAGGGAGGAGCGGGTCGAACAAGCAGAAGCCGCAATAGCCAACCGCGGCCAAGGTCTGGCGGAAGGTCAGGGGATTCCACTGGACGGGGAGTGACTCGAGATCGTTCAGGTGGTGCCGGCAATGCCCGCGCCAGCCCTGCTTGCCAGTGATCCACTCGTCACATTCGAAGCACAGCTCGGCCGTGCCGTGTTTGGCCGCGAGACTGGCTTTGTGGCATCGGTAAATATGATCCCATCGGGCTGCGAGACGGAGGCTGTCGAAGTCAACACAGTCAGCTGGGCGCCGTTCGCTGAACGGAGAGCGAAAAAATTCTAGCGGGAATTTCAAAGGGGCCACTCACCTTCCCATCTCTACTGCACACGCCGATACGGGGCAAAGGCCGTTTTCTGGACGCAGACTCGGGCGGTAAGCCACCTTGGGGTTCTCTCGACACAGGGTGATCATGTCCTGGAGGGAGGCCCGCCCCTCGGGGCTCCGGAGAGGAACGTCGAGAAAAAGCGAGGAGGCCAGACGGTCACGGGGCGGATCCAGCCGCCGGACACGGCTGAAGAAGCTGGGTAGCGATGCGACAGGCGAGGTCTCGGCTTCGGTGTCCTGGTTGACCTTCCGGGGTTGGATCTCCTGCCACCTGCTGAGTTCTTCCGACACCATCTGGCGTTTCTGCCAGTACAGTTCCTCCCGGCGGGTCCGTTCTCTTTGACCGTCGTGCCCGGCTGGAAGGCGGCGGATTCGTTCTCCGAGGGACTCGATCTCCTCGTTGAGCGCGATAAAGTCGGCGCGCCCTTTCAGATTCGCCTCTACTTTCGCCGGCAGCGATTGCAGCATTTGCGGGTGGTGTTGCAGCGAGAGGCCGCGGAAGCCCTCGAGGTAGACGGTGCGGCGCGCCTTTCCCCAGTAGCTGGATTGCCCGTCGACGGTGCTGATTTGAGGCATGTACGAGCCGAAGAAGGTGTCAGAATTTTCGTGGCCTGCAAACTTCATCCTTTCGGCGATCGAGTAGCCGTTGTCTGCGCCGAGGTCAGCACGTTCCCTACCCGCGGCCTCGTTCAGCAGGACCTACCGTCGGCTCTGACCAGGACCTCCCTCCTAAAATCGTGAACCCGGATATTTTCTTCATACCCGGCCCGATGGCCCAAGCCCACCAGGCCACTACTGAAGGACGCTGCAGTTTGGATCTTTCCCGTCGGGCCCTCGGGGGACATGGTCTGGAAAAAGGGCATGCGGTGCAGCTCTTTCCGAATGCGAAGATGGTGTAAGGACCCATCGACCGGGGGCGGGATCGCCTCGATTTCCTCGAAGGTGAGGTAATCTTGGAAGGCGCCATCGGCGAGGGCGATGGCCAGAAGAGGCAGGACCGGGTTCGCGTACAGCGGCTGCATATCCTCGTACACTCCATGCTGTGGCCTGGTGGAAGCTCAATGTCAGAAGGATACCCCTTTCCGTTCAAGCCGAGAAGGAGAAGTTTTCGGTCGACCGACCTTTTATGTGGCTTATTGGTGAAGCCTTTGGCATCGCGCGTGGCCCGGAAGGCGAGTTCTGCCTCTCCCTTCTCATTCTTGAAGACGACGAAGACGACATCCTGCGTCCGAGTGTTCAGCGCGGGCCAGTCCCCGGTCGGATGGCACGGTGTTCTTACCTTATATAGTAACCCTCGCCCGGAGCCGCGGCGCATGTTGGATTCGAAGATTTCTCCTACCCTAGACGGCGTGTAAATAAAGAGGTTGTTGGCCGCGTGGTTCTGAACCAGGCTTCTCGGATGGGTATACTGGTGCCAATCCTTTTGCCAGTTATGTTTGGTCAGGATGATAAAATGGGGCACCGTCATGAAATGTGGCTGCCGTCGTTCGGTTGAGAGGTTGCGCTTTTTCTTCAACTCCGTTTCGATGTACTAATACGAACTCTCAGCGTGGCCGACGAAAGCGAAGTAGGGTGAAAGAGATAGGAAACGAACGTAGTACACCGACTCCGATACCTCGTGGGGGATCTTTCGGTTATCCGGTCGTCGCTTCCAAGCGGCGCCAAAGGCGGTCCACTTTTGCTTCGCGTAGCTCAGACACTCACCATCCTTGACAATACCTTCCATAAAATGCTTCGCGGACCGTAAATCGTAAGGGCTCACGCCAGGATTTCGCCTTGCATACCTACGCGCCAGCGTCCACCTCGTTAGTAAAGGCGAGCACGACCCGTACCTGGGCGGGCGAAGGACTTACTCGTCCCAAAGGTCGGTCATTCGGTCGTAGTTCAGCTGAGTCCCCGGTTCGATAGGTTTACTGACCCGATCGCCATTCACATCGGCGTTCGCAATCAGCTGCCAGCCGTTCTCCTCCGCTTCATCAAACACTTCCGCCGCGGTTTTCTTTCTCTTCGGCATCGGGAAACAGCAAGCGGAGCCTTGAGCGCCGGAATATAGCAGAAGACTAAGGATAGACGAGCGCCGAGAGGAAAGGAAAAGAAGACGACTGGGGAGGGAGGGTCAAAGTACGACGAAACGCCAGCAAGGTGCGTTTAGGTAGTCAGAAGACCGGATAGAAGGAGTGATTCGCACGATGAGAAGAGGGAGGGCAGGGGAAAATGTAAGGACCGAGAGAGGGAGAGGGAGAGGAAGAGAGGAAGAGAAGCATTGTCCTACAGAACTGGGGGATTCCGTTAACCCCGTCCAGCGATGTAGCAGGGCATCCTCTCAGAGACCCTCTCAGGGATCCCACCTTTCATCAGGGCAGAAACGGGCCCTCATCACCGTGATCGGGTAAAGTTACCACGAGGCTGGATGTGCGCAACGTTGGCGCCTGTAGGACTGGAGCCCAAACGGGATCCTCGCCGGCACGTGAGGGAGCATGGCAGGAGCGGGCCAGAGCCGTGAGGGAGCAGAAGGGAGCAGCAGGGAGCAGCAAGGGAGTGGAGGGGGAGCGCGCAAGAGAGGAAGGGAGTGGAAGAGAGCGGACGAGGGAGCGAATGGACTAAATAGTCGTTAGCGAAAGAGCAAAGCGGCGAGGGATGAGTCAGCGAAAAAGGGCTGGGCGACGACGGTTCGGGGATTCTATATATATATACTCCGTAGCGGGGATTTGCAGCAGTCTAGTGCGCCACACGGCAGCCACATGTACGCGATTTATGTACGAGTGCACGTGTCAGAAGTAAATGCGTACGGCTGCGCATTCGCGAATCTACCTAATCCCAAGCGTTCAAGTAACACTACGGCATACCACCTGTCGACGACCCCATCCCACTGCCCGTCTATCCATTTTCATGGCTATCTTTTCAACATTGGCGGGGCCTCTCGACTAGACTGTGGATGCTATTGCAGCGCCTACCGTCGTTCGAGCCCTCCCCACCTGCCCGTGTCCAAACCCATCCCCGTCGATACATTCGTTCCAGCCGCCGCAGAGAATGATGGCGTCCGAAGTCTCACGCGTCTTGGGTAAATCGACATCCGCTGCTACCAATGTCCGACCTTCTAGAAGTCCTCCCTGACTTTGACACGGGACCGTTCACACACCTGTTCCATTCCCTCGAGAAAAACAACATCTCTGTGGCGGATCTTATCTCCTTGGAGCCCAAAGAGGTTTCCCGAAAATGCCCCCTTCCACTAGCCGATGTGCAGAAGCTACGGCAAAGCCTTGTACAGGCTATGCAGAACGATCTGAAGATCTTGGTGACCAAGACCCCTAGGCTGGGCTCCAGGGCTGTTCAGAAGACTACTAGCCCACCACCTGTTTCGCAAGCTGGTCCGAGCGATCGACACGTATCTCCTGTTCAGAACACGGCAATTGTAGATGAGTCCGAAGATATGCAACTGGCACATACATCTACATCCTACCATCCTGAGCAGGGCTTGAAGTTGTCTATCCTGGACCCGCGGCTGGATGATGCTTTAGGAGGAGGCTTTCGCCCGGGACATGTCTCAGAGATTGTGGGTGAGAGCGCCGTTGGTAAGACGCAACTTGTTCTCGGATTACTGCTTTCCGTTCAACTGCCTCCGCCGCGAGGGCTGGGTAAGTCGGGCATGTACATTTCAACTGAGGATAGCCTCAATACCAGACGGCTGTCGGAAATGTTAGATTCACACCCCGAGTACCAGAAGCTTCCTCCGGAGTGCCGGCCAACCATGGATCGTGTCCACGCTGTTACTGCCGACAACCTCGTGTGGCAAGAACACATTATTCGATATCAATTACCGATTGCTGTTCCGCGGATGAACATCGGTCTAGTCATCCTCGACTCAGTCGCAGCAAACTTCCGAGCAGAGTATGAGACAACAACATCAGCTGCCCTGGCGGGTCGTGCAGCAGATCTCATTCATTTGGGCAATTCACTCCGGCGCATTGCCAGTGAATTCAACGCCGTGGTCATTGTGACAAATCAAGTGTCTGATCGATTTGACGATCAGGGTGCTCACCGCACACGAACCTCATTTCAGTCAGTTCCTTTTGTCGACCCTGCCTCGTCGGCAGCAGTTCCAGGGCTGACACGGCCGGTTCAAGCGGCTGACAGTCAACGTCGCAGAATGGAGGTCCAGAGTCTTGACCATCAGCTGCGCTTCTTCACAGGTTGGGGGAGTCAAGCACTGTCCAGCTATGAAAACATGAAAACACCAGCGCTGGGTCTCGCCTGGGCAAATCAAATCTCTGCTCGTCTCGTCCTTAAGATGGAACACGAGCGAGCTTATGCCGGGGTTGGCAACGGATCGAGAGAGGGGAGGAGGAAACGTTCTCTAAGCATTGTGTTTGCGCCATGGACTCCTGCCACGCCGGTACCGATCGGCTATGAAATCACTACAAGTGGAATCAGATCTGTGGGAGGAGACATTGCCAACAGGCAGCAAGAGGAGGAGCATGATCCTGATCTGCTCAATCCTCAGTTCTGGGCAGAGGATGAGGAATTCCCATGAAATGCATGGTCTGTGGGTTATGTGTGGCTAAGAAGGCTTTGATTTTGGATGGCCAACAGGGGCGCATTATATACTTGTTGGCTAAAACTGTCGTCTGCATCAACAAAACCAGTCCATTATTTTAGCTAGCCTTCAATATATATTCCAAATGGTGCATGAATAGGAACAAGAGCACCAATGCTGTCTGAAGGTGACACTAGAACCTATGCAGATGAGTGTCCAATCCATTGCTGAATGCTCGCTATCGTATAATGGTATTGGTATATCGTTCTTGTGGAGGAAGAGGATATTTGGTTTGATGGATATGGTTTTTGGATAGGCAACTTGACCGAGAGGCACTCGTATGACTTTTTGGCTGGCGATTCGCAGCTCCTCCGCCCAGCGACCTTTACATCTGTCAACAACGACTTTCATCGAAACACTTCCCAACAAACCCCAGTCTTTGGACTTTCCCGGCTGTGATCTGAAGATGGCGGGCATTGTCTCTCAACCATGGCTCATATCCAAGTAAGCAGATTCAACAGATTGTCTCTGGACGCACTGGTAGGAGATTAACGTCATTCTCACCCAGGTTTATTGACCCAATTTTCGCTGTTGGCGTAGGGCTGTCCGCCGCCGCTCTACGTATTCGCCGAGAGGAGCGCGAAAAATACCCGGAACAGGATTCAAGTTTGGCTGGTTTGTGGCAGAAAGGTGTCACTATGGGAACAAATTACATGACGCGATGGCGGGAGTCCAAGTGACACAACAATTTGCTTTGGATCATGGAAGCAATTGCCCTTGATGGGCGCATATCTCTCATACCCGTGCGCAGAATTTCGGCCAGAAGATGGACAGTTTTCAGGACGAAGATCAAGTTCGAGCGATTCATGTCCTTCAAATTGTCATCTGAGACTCTCTTTTCACCAAACATGCCTTGCTGCCTGGTGGCAAGGCATCTGGCCCTTCGGTTGAACGCACTTTGTTCTATCCAAAAGTCGGAACTTGGCTGGCGTTCTCCTGAGGCTTCTGGTACGAGAGTCTGTCCTTGACATAAAACTCGACCTGCATTTCACCAACATCTGGCTTGTCCAAGCTTCCCGCTCTGCAGTGGACAGGTCAGCAAAAAGTAAATTCGGAAAGAGTGAGGTGGGGAGCGTACTTGATGACCGTGTTGTCCGGCATGACCTCGAGCTCACAATAGAGGCTGGATCCGCAATCGGCGCAAAAAAAGTGCTTGTTGATTTTTCCACTTCCTCCAACGATGTCAAAAGCCTTTGGCTCGCCTTGCAGAGGATCAGATTTGTCAGTCGCGTGCAGGGGTCAGACAACGCACCAGCAGTAACTTTAAACTCGGACCGAGCAACCACTACATTGGGGAGGCCAGCGGCTCCGCCTGTCGGATCATCAGCATAGATTTTCCATGTGCCCAAGAGCGATTATACCCCATTTTTGGCAATCTTTGCAGTTGCAAAATGCCTTGAGGCCAATGTCACCTGGGTGGAATCAGCATTGCTAGGGGACGAAGGGTGCACGATTCCGGCGTACCCGTATACTCATATCTGATTTTGCCGCAGAGACACCCTCCTGGAGTGGCCATGGTACTTTGGTGGTGATATGAAGACAACTTTTATGCTCGGGGAAAGGCGAGATAGGATAGAGAAGACGACTTGAATGAGCGAAATGGTGTTCTTGATATACTGTTGGTGGACGGTCTGGATGTGGCAGTGTGGCAGTGTCGTGGTCAGGTTCGACAGCTGGGCTCTACTGAATCTGATCACGGAAGCATTCTACGAGAGAGCTGGAAGATGTGTTTCACACAGACGCTTGCGTGAAGACTTTGAAATGCATGATTTGAGATTACCCGAAGCAGGTTACAGCATTGGGGCCAGGACACCACCATTTTGATCCGTGGGAGAGTTCGAGAGGACATGAATGGAGCCAAATTGCGAGTGCAAAATAGGGCGGTGTGAGATATCGGGGAGCCATGTAACTGGCGAAACCGATGGCCATGTATGAGGCTCCCACGCTCCTCTTGATGTCTCGCATCTTGTGCCTGCTTTGGTGGTTGTGATGCTCGGTAGCCCCTCGACTCCTCATGGCCCCTGGAGTCTTGTGTATCAACTAAGCACAGCATCTACTTGCTTACCTAGATACCTAAAATCCGCAGTCACTTTACTGGGCTGCAGCCTGTTTGAAAGCATGTGTTGTTTAACTTGAATTGTACAAGGGGTCTGTGTTGAAAAGATTGATAAACCAGTCGGTTGCTCATCCATCATATCTCCTTGACAGCAATTATCTGGTAAACAGTGAGTCCTCCGGCGGCCCTCGGGTTCTTCTTGGACCCCCCCCCCCCCCCCTCGGCGCCATCTTCAAACAACCTTTAACAGTGGTGCGGGGGTGGTTGACGGGCCCGAGGGCCCCGGCCCTGACTGACGGCCCTTGAGCCGGAAGAGCCTCCTCTAAGCAAAGTACCCTAGGTAACATTTATGCCCAGACGGCGCCCAGCCTCAAGTTCCTCAGGCTTCAATGCTTCTCTTGAGTCCCCTTGACTTCCATCTCTATTATTATTAGTGAAACTCAATGAGTCTTTTCGAACAAGGTAGGATCCTGACCATGCCATATCCGTTGAGCAAATTGCATTCTTCCCCATGCTGCTTACTGTCAGACCATGGCACAACTGGCACTGTTGGTCTCGCCTAGCCAAAACCCCGCGATATTGTTGGGTGGCTGCCTGCAAGCACTTCCAGAACAGGCAGGTCGCTCTTGGTTGACTTTCCGTCGCTCTTGTTCGCTCTCGTTTGGGGCCAAGGGGGCTTCTCAATTCACACTTCTGACCGACTCTAAGCACCAGCGGCACCTCAAGCAACTTCTGGTTGGACCCGAGTGCGAGATGGCCTTGCAACCGCAATCATGAGAAGCTACCCGTACAGCGTCTCTTCCCGTCTCACCAAAACCTAGAGTCAAGCATGATTGAATAGCCTGACTGAGTTTGTGGTCAAATTGAGCCCATCCTCCCCCAGACCTTCTAGAACCGACCCATGATCCCATCAGTCTTTTCGGGGATAAAATTGGCACAGACTCTGGTCGTCGAATTGGTAACACTGGGCGGAAATCTCTTGAGCAGTCCCCTTTAGCATCGTATTGCCAAATAAGCACAAATGACGGCACTCAAGTTTGAGACTGGGACCGTCCCCTTCAACCATCCTTCTTTGCCCTCTCCATGCAAGACCTGGTACAAGATTGCCGGCGATCTATTCTCTTCGGCTAGTGGAAGGCCCTTGGTTGTCCTTCATGGCGGCCCAGGCATGGCTCATAACTACCTGCTCTCGTTAACCGGACTCGCCAGCAAACACGGCATCCCCGTCATCTTCTACGATCAGATTGGGGGAGGACTCTCGACCCACTACCGTGAAAAACGCCTGGACACTGACTTCTGGACTTCAAATCTCTTCATCGCTGAGCTCGACAACCTGCTCCTCCACCTCGGCATTGCCTCCGACTTTGATCTCCTTGGTCAGTCTTGGGGTGGCATGCTTGCTGCCATGTTTGCCATCCGTGGCCATCCCGGCCTGAATCGCCTAATTCTTTCCAATTCCCCTGCCAGCATGCCTCTCATGGTCCAATCATGTAATCAGTGGCGCTCCCAGCTTCCTCACGATATCAAAGATGCCCTGTCAAGGCATGAAGCCGATCAGTCATATGATGACCCGGAGTATGTCAGCGCCGTGGAGTACTTCTACACCCTCCATCTATGTCGGGTATTGCCCTTTCCCAAGGACCTGACAGATACCTTGGCATATGTCGAGGAGGATGACACCGTCTACAGAACTATGAACGGACCTAGTGAATTCACCGTTATTGGTTCGTTGAAGCATTGGACGATCGTCGACCAGATCCACAAGATCAAGAACGAGACATTGCTGCTCAATGCTGAATTCGACGAGGTAAATGACAGGTATGTACTGCGCATCATCTATGGCTTCCCAATCGCCTCGTCCTCCTATTCCGTCGGTCTCGTCACTCTCTAATTCCCCTCTGCTAGTTGTATCGACCCTTTTTTCTCAGAGATCGACAAAGTCAAGTGGTACAAGTTTGCCAATGCCAGCCATTGCACCATGCTCGAGATCCCGCATGAATACAATCGAGTAGTGGCTGAATTCCTCTTGAGGTGATCCATATCTGCCTACCTAGAAGTAAAAGAGTGGCCAAGGGTCCATGACCGATGGAACTCGGAGGTGAACGGCTTCGTGCGAGGTTCTGATGCCACTGCCTCCCCACCATCTTATCAGACTGATAGTGTAGAGCGATTTCGGTCAATGCGAGAGATATATACACCTATGTATTACTATCATGTCTCTCTGATAAAGTTTTCAATTCCATGTCACTGAAGCGCATCACGAAGAAATGGGAAATGACGCGTTGCAAGGGTATCATGTTTGTCTGTCCAAGATTGGCTCGTCCGTCAGATCGAGCACAGCCGGCCAATCCCCGTACTCTATAGACTATATGACATTTGAAGTCTCTCAGTCTCTCCTCTTTCCCATTCTTGTGGGAATAGCCGACTCTTCCATTACACGAGTGTCAACCCTGCGAGTTCACAACGGATCATTAAGCCACCGTCTCCTGCCGTTGCAAAGCTTGCCGATCTGGTCACAGCACGAGGCCCTCTTTTCTCAAAGTATCCCTTTGGGCTGCACTTTGCGGCTCGAATAGAGGTCTTTTGTCGCCAGGAACTGGTGCCCGCTTTAGCACCGGTTGGCGCCATGGCCATTCCTCAAAAACTCCAATATTTCTAGACGAACAAACGCCTCGCTGTTTTAGAGGAGAGTCTTGGTAATCACATCAAAATACCTCTCAACGCCGTAGAAGACCCTATCCTCCATTTACAAGTTCAGGGCAGCATCCCATACATTCACCATCGCTCATCCAAAGGCATTTAGACAATGGTGCCAAAGAACGGAATCAATGTCTGGGCCAGCCAGAAGCTGAAAACCAGTTTGGGACCCGTCATGAGCATCTTGGGGGTCAGACCTTTGAAGAAACTCGTCACACCCTCGTTCTTCAACATGCTCGACACAATTCGGAAACCACTCTCGGGGTTCTCGAAATTGCGGTTCTGGATGCGAGTCTTGATGACATCGAGCGGAGCCGACACAATCAGGGAAGCAGAGGCACCGGCGATGGACGCGACAAAATTCTGGCCCCAGGTAGCCTTGTTGTAATCTTCGAGTTTAAAGACTTTCTCTTTGGCCCAGGCAGATCCACCAAACAGGGCGAAAGATCCGGGAGCATTGCGCGCTGCAGTCCAGCCAGCACCTCGATAGAGACCCATTCCCTCATCGGCGACGATGCGGAAGAACCCTCGGGACCGAAATGCCTCGGGATTGGTCTGACGTTTGATCTTGAGGACATCGAGAGGGAGTAGGACAATTTCACCAATGCCGATCAAGGAACCGGCAGTGGCGTTCAGAATGGCTTTTCCTGTACCCTTGCCGAAAGCGTTGTCGAAGTCTTGAGCATAGTGTGAAGTCAGATAGTCACGAACAAACGGTTGACCGCCATATTTGTATATTCTTTGAAGAACCTTGTAACCAGCGGCGTATCCTAATCCAGGGAAGAGAGAAGTGAACTTGGTACCGATCGAGGCCGAGGCATACTCCTTGAAGATGACGCTGTTCAGGTTCGATACGGAGGTGATCTGGGCAGGGTTAGTGACTCCTGTGACTCAGGGGATAAGACATGGTTTGCCGTGTACCTTCCCTGAATTGCTCATTAGCCTTTTGGCGATGGTGTCTACTGGGTGGAAGACCATGAGCTCAGCGATGCCGGCGGAGCCTGTGCAAGGAAATGATCAGTGTGCGTTTGGGCAAAATAAATTAATCATCGACCGGGTTGCGCACCTGAGCCTAACAGTCGAGCAGTGCCGGACTCTCTCTTGTACTCTTTTCCAGCCGTACCCAAGGCCGGTGCCATTGCAGGAGGGGACATTGTTGGGGAGAACTCAGCGACCGGAGTGTAACGTCGAGTGATTGAATGAGACTCAGGACAGCGAAAGCTTGTGCGTTTGATTCGAAGGAAACCAGAGTACTCGATTACGGGGTGGTAGCCGGCCTAATGCCAAAAGCAGCGGATGCAGTGTCGGCGTTTAGGTATATAGAGAAAAAGAGAAGGGGAGGGGAGGGCTGGTGAGGATGTCGACCAGGTAGAAGAAAAATGAATCTCCGGAAGAAAGAGACGAGATGGAATTCGAGTTGGTGGAAGAAGCAAAAAAGTTGGGTGGAGATGGAGTGGAAGGAACAAAGGGCCGATTAAAGATTGTGGTAGCACGGTAGCTACTGCACTTTGGAGACTGATCAAAAAAAAAATGTATGGGGATGCAGGCACGCGGCAGGAGTACATACGAAGTACACACAGCAGGAGCAAGAGCAGTGCAGGAGCAGTGCAGGAGCAAAATGAAGCTGGACCAAGGGACCGGATGAAAATTATCCAAAAGGGCTAGCGGGTTTTATCGGACTTAACCCGTGCCCGCTTTTCTTCCTTCCCCGTTCCTCTGCCGGGCGCTCCTCTCCATCTGGCATTGCGACTCACCTCTTGTTACTATTGAGAAGATCAAAGGTCTTGTCTAGAATAATAATATTGTGTAGCTCTTGTCATAACCTACAGGATCTTTGTGTCCTGTCTGATCAGAGACTCATTGGACCAGGTCGGATCTGCGTGACCCAGGGAATTCCTATATCACGTGATGATCCACATGCTCTCCCTCCAAAGTATGTCATGATAAATAGATCACCGCAAACCCTCCCACCATATTCTATCCCAGGCGTAAGCATGCCTCATCCGGATTGCAGGTAGTGGCGTTGTTGTGGTTTCACTATATGTCACATTGGTGAGGATGCGTTGATAGATACTTCTTTGGCGCCACCATAACGTGTGTCCGACGTTCTATCTCCTTTCAACGAACCACCCTGATCACACGCCGGCCTCAAACTTGATCTTGGATTTTGACGATGTCATGTCTTCCTGCTGGGCTGTTAGTGTCATTTTCAACCATGACGCTGCCTGATTGGTGGCACCTACAGCAGCTTTCCGCTTGCCCAACACCGAGTCCGGCGTGGCAGTTCTTCCGGTTCCAGGCGGCACAGGCGTGGACAACCCGTCTCTGTCTCTCTCTCTCTCACGACCTTTGGACACTTCGGCGTAACAGCTCGCGTGGTAATATCGCCCCCCCACGAAAATGGCATCCTTCCAGATGAAGTCCTGCACTTCCTCGCTCCATTCGCTCTTGAAAGGTTCCTGGTCGATAGGGCAGGGCAATGACCGTAGAACTGGATCCGTCGGAGCACGGACAAAGTCCACCTTCTTGACCACAGGTGCTCCATTGCTCGGCGCCCCGTTTGCCTCTCCTCCATCATCCTCATACTCCTTGCTCGAGATCCAGTCTCTCTCGTCCACGTACCAACTTCGATTCTGTCCCCGTTTCTCGGCTTCGAGCATGCGTTCCTTAGTCTTGAAGTGCCAGTCCAAATGTGCCGCTTTCTTATCTCTCCCGATATCATCAGACGAGAAACGTCGCCCACAGGTGCTGCATTGATTTGGTCTCGCATGGAGGAATGAATGTACGAGATGTGGTCGAGACATTCGAACCCAGGCCGACGTGAAGGTCACTTCGCTTGTTGCTCCCTGCGAAGTCGTCCCAGGAACAGGCGTTGCGACCGAGGACAACAACCCCGATGCCCGTAGTTGCGCGAAGAAAGAACTCTCCAGAGGCGCAGCGGGGGGCGCGGTGTTTCCATAGGCGTTCGTCACTGGAGTGTTGACGCCAGACTGAAGCTGGGAACCTAGACCCGGCAGAGGAGGTATTGGCTGCTGCGACTGTGATTGTTGTGTGACTCGCAAAAGCTCAGCTAGATTGGTCGTGTTGAAGATGGAATTGAGGGATGTTGGAGCAGCTGGTGTTGTGGTCTGCTGTGTCTGCGGTGGTGTTATGCCATATCCTGGAGGCATAGTGGACGCCGGCGTGATTGATTGTCGGGCTGCCGCCGATTTTTCGGCCATTTTCTGGGTGATTGTGGTCCGAATGTCTTGCAGATCGCTGTCGGATGCGTTGCCGCTGTCGAGAATCTCCTTGAGGGTCTGAAGGCTCGCCAGCTGCCTTTGAGCGCCATGGTTCATGGGATGCGTCGCACATTCAATCTTGGCATCGGTGATCAGGTCGTCGATTTCCGAGTGCAATTTGACCACATCGACCCGAGGCGAAGTTGAGGCATGACCCGGTCCAACAGCTACTGGAAAGTGTTCTGTTGATGGTGGCTGATGCTGGTGGGGTTGCTGGTAGTAGGAAGATGTCTGTGCCGGAAATGCGGCAGGGTAAGAACTGGGCGTCGTCTGAGGATACGGAGACGCGGAGGAAGGGATGGGGCTGCGAAGATGTGTCGCGAGGCCAGGCGGGTATTGTGCCAGTGACTGAGGGGGGGTCGGGGTTTGTCTATAGGGCTGCTGACTTGCGGCCGCCCGAACTGGTCCCCCTTGGACGGGAGTACCTTGATAGCGACTTGCTCCCGCAGTAGTAGCCCGAAATCTACTCAGACTATCAACAATGCTTTGAGTACTAGAGATAGGAAACACGGGCGTAGAGGACAGTGACCCTGGTACCGGCTCTCGCCACGTCTTCAACATTTCCTCAAATTTGCGCCGGACATTGACATCCACCTGGGAGTATGCATGCATATAGGTCTGGTGAAGATTTCGCCCAAAGTACACCGTGTATGGCGACCCAACATTCTTGGCTATCGAGTCGAGGACGTACAAAGCTGGAAGCTTGCGAGTCGGGGGTGCCTGAGACAGGTTAGCATTACCCACGATGTGATTGAGACGACGAAAAGACGACGAAAAAGATCGGGGAACGAGTACAGGTGCAGGGAATGGGAGAGGGAAACATACCCGGTTGATGTGATTGATCAACACACGTGAAATGGCCTCGGCATGTTCGACATTTTCTTTGGCGATCAGGGTCAAGTTAGAAATCTGATATCGGTCGTTGGTCACAAGATCCTCCAACGAGCCCTTGTAGTCCTCAGCGACCTCATCTGATGGAAGGCTGGTCATGATGAGAGAAAGAGAGAAAAAGGAGAGCTTGATCTGTTCACAGATGCTTGCTGACAGAGAAAAGAAGAAACCAAGGAGGGGTTTTCAAAAAATGGTCAGAAGCCGAGTCATGAACCCAGAATAAAAGTCGTGGGGCTGATCGGGTTTGGGTTGGGACACAGTCAAGTCCCAGTGGCACGCAAGGCTCTTGTGAGGGACACTGATCTCATCGGGATATGACAGGATTTTCCTTTTTCAAACGTCGAGGCAGACGGTCATGTCTGTTGGGTGGGACAACGAAAGAGAACTGGCGTGTGTATCTTTTCTATCTACGCCTGCTGTGGCTTTCACATGTGGTTGGACCTCTTGCAAGCTCGAGACCGCTGCCTGCGGCAGAGCCGACGCTTGGGCTAGCCTTCCTCCACCAAAACCCTGTGATAGCCAGAGGAGTAATGTGAAGTCCAAGGTCGGTTCGATGACTCAAGGAAGGGATAGTGGGGTTAAGGAAGGTCGAGGGTTGACTCGAGGATGTTTTGGCTCGGGGACAGTTTGAGGACGAGCAAACAGTGGACCGGAGTCTTTGGTTCTGAATCAGGTTGCGCTTGTACTGAATTTTAGGGTAGAAACCCAGTTCCCACCCAGCCAGAGTAATATGCAAAACAAGAATAACCGCGGGAGGCAAGCAAGAATGTGGCAAAGCAGAGTGTTGATTAATAGAGTGCTGATGAGAGTTGGCTACAGTCGTTTAAGTATCAATAATGCCAAGGCGCGTCATTCCTCTTGTGTTCAAAGACGCACTTCTGACATTCGCCGTATTTGTGGCGCTAAAAGACCAGATACTTCGCTGGAGTATTTCTCCCCGCATCGAACCCCAGGATATGTGTAACAAGTACCTACGAGTACCTTGGGTAGTCACAACTATGCATACTTGCCTGCCATGACATGTGCCAAAAGACACGAGATTCCATTACATGCATGAGGCTTGTTTCAATGTGGAAGTGTAATGGGAGGTCAAGTTCCTCCAGATTTCCAGACCTCACCAAAAGGGCATATAGTGTATGTCCCTGGATTGCCATGATTGATAGTAGATCAACCGGGGCACTACCTGCACCTGCCGTGAAATTGAGCGGCGGGGGTACAGGATGGGCAACCACATTCGTCCTCGTGTCCGCCTTCCCACTTGGCTGCATGAGGGTTCGTCGATGTTGTTCGTCGATGTAGCTGACGGGGTCTTCAGGTGGACAGACACCAGAGTGGCAGGCTTTTCAATGGTAAAGGATGCTCTCTCGCCCGCCTACTCTTGTACGCATAGTCTTTGACTCACTGTTCCTTGCTAACTTGTTTATTAGTGACCTGCCCACCTACTCCAAGACTTTACTCCATCGATGCCTAGCTAAACAAGATTCTCGTATCAAACAAGCCTTTGGCATTCCCTTGGCTTTTCTGGCTTGAGCCATCCTGTCATGTTTGCCAGCCGCTCAGCGTTGTATCGGCAGTTGGATCCAAGATTCCAAGGCAATCATACCGCAGTACCATCTGCACTTTTACCCGCGATTCGCCAATCCCTCCCATGTTGCATCTCCTCCATGATGCGTTAAACCCGCTATCATCTTCCCCACACTTTCCCGTCATCCAACCAGCCTCTATTTCTAGTGGACGTTGGCATCAAAGTAAATTCCACTTCATGCCTGCTCGGGTCCTTCTAGAAATCTATTCTCCGAAGCTGGCATCTTGACTTCTTCTGGACCGGAAGACTCTGTGCCATCTCTCCTCTCTCACACATACATACACGCCCTGTGCGTGTGCTCGCTGCTCCAGATGAGCTTCGCCAGGATTTGAGATCATCAGAATGCAGCCAGATCCGTCAAGACAGCTTCAAGGCCTCGTTTACACCTTTTCCGCCAATCCTTCGATCGACAATGATGCTCAGACCAAAGACTCGGAAAAGCCTCGCAAGAAGAGGCATCGGGGTGCCAATGGAAAGCGGTTTCGTTGTAGCAACCAGGACTGTGGCAAGACCTACTCCCGTGCGGAGCATCTACAAAGACATCAGTTGAACCGTAAGCTGTTCCTCTCACAGCTCCTGGTCAGACCCCACACGAACATTCTCCAGCCTGCGACGTAGGCACGAATCATAGCACAATTGCAAGAAATGCTCCTGACGCATTCGCTTTGTCTGGTGATACTGACAAAAGCTCTTTGTAAATGATCCCAAAGAGATCTTCTATTGCGGGACTTCGGGTTGCAACCTCTCATTTGTGCGCAAGGACTTGTGTGACAGGCATCGAAAAAGACACGGCCAGCAATTTTCCGATGGCCCGACCTCCTCTACAGCCATAACCCTGTTCTCCGGTTCCGAGGATATCAACCACAGCCAGGATGAAGGTGATACCGAGTCCGATAGCGAGTCTGAAGAGGAGCATTTATCGCCTCCCAGCCAGTCCACTTTCTCTCAAGCACCTTTGATTCGAGATTCGTGCAAAAAGAGACCATCCATACATGAACATGACGATTCACGATATCAAGACTTGCGCGACCGCCTCCCCATTTCTCCCAAGACAACAAACGAATCGGCCTCACAAAATCGCGATGTTTCGAAATCCCAGCAACCATCTCGACAGCCTGACAACACATTCTCCACAGACGTCTCACCCAGTAACGACGACCTCCAGAGGGCTGTTGCTGATGCGAATGATTACCTTGCCCAACAAGGCCCGCAGGTTGTCTTTACTCCGTTGACTCGCTTCCAAAGTAACATATCTGTCGACTCGCTAAATCCCACCACTTCGACATCGTACCATGTACATGGCGAATTTCCATCGACCTTTCATCGACAACATTCAGTCTCCAGTACATCCTTTCAACAGCCTAGCCACCTCTATGCCCCGGCCCAGGACGCAGCTACCCCACACCCCGACTTGTTTGATTCCAACTCACCTGCAGCTCTACGACACAACGGGACTTTTGGTAACTATGGCCATAATAATGACGTTACGACGACTACTTCGCGGGGAGAAGATCACAACTTCGGCATCTCGCCGTCGGCTGGAACCGATGAGTTTACGACGTGGCTTTTTGACCAGAATTCTGCTGTCTATAATGGCACCGCGAATGTTGATGCGTCGTTCACGAATGTCTATCAGCCCAATGTTTTTGGCCAGGTCTACTCAAATTACCTTCCCACATCTGACCTTGAACTCCCATTTGGAAGTGCCCTGACACAAACATTGCCATCGAATCCCACAGCTGAGGCCGTCACCGGTCTAGAAACACCCTTCATGTCTACTTGGAAGAGACAGCATCTCTTGGAGATCATGCGGCAAAGATTTACCGGAAATGGAGGGCCAACCTTACACGACCGCCAGATCAAACAACAAATTTTCGGGGGCAACGTTGACGAGGATGATCATACACTTAGTCTATCTTCTTTGAATCGCTATCTCGAGAGCTACTGGAAAAACTTTCATGACCAGTTTCCCATCCTCCACAAACCGTCATTTCTTCCGGACTTTGTCCATGACTATCTCGTGCTTGCCGTCATAGTCATGGGATCATCTCTCCTGGCCCAGTCAGAACATGGTCCCGGATTCACTGAGCGAGCCGCACAACTGGCCAATTTTATCGCCTGGAACCTTCGTTGGCAAGTGTTCACCGATCCGGACTCGTGCCCGCCCGCAAAGCTATGGGTTTTGCAAACGCTAGCAATCTTGGAAGTGTATGAGAAGACCAACTCGACCAGATCCCTCCATGAACGGGCTCATGTGCATTTCGCCGCTACGTTGACGCTGATGAGGCGAGGAAGTGCCTTGGTCGGTGACCCTGCCGCCCCCGCACCGCAAATGGCAGACATAGTCGCGACGAATCGTGAAGAAACCCACCAGGGAGAAGAGTCGCCCCCATTACCAGAAAAATGGTGGAGTCAATGGATCGCACAAGAAGCCACACGGCGAGCATCGCTCGGCGCCTTCTTGTTGGACTCAATGCACGCCGTCATGTTTGGTCACGCCGCGACCATGGTCATTCATGAGATCCATCTTCCGCTACCCTGCGATGACACACTTTGGTCGGCACCGACCTCCTCCGAAGTAGGACGCATTGAGTTCAGTCTATATACAAACGGCATCAAACCTGTCTCGTTTTTGACCGGGTTGAAACGTACATTGAGCTGCCGAAGAGTCCGTACCAATCCATTCGGACGCATCATCCTCATGGCAGGGCTGTTGTCTGTCTCGTGGCACATGCACCAACGAGATCTGTACGGGAAGAGTCTGGACAAGGACAATATGGGAGTTCCAGACGGGTGGAAGGCGCAGATAGTGAAGGCACTGGAGTGGTGGAAAAGGGACTACGATGAGAGTCTGGCGTACATGCGACGGTCCGGCATCGATGTTCACAAAACCGGGTTCACCCAAGAACATATTCAGACGTCTGAGTCGCTCGCTTCTGTACTCTATCATCTAGGCCACATTGGCGTGCAGGTGGACATGCCGGATTTGTGCATCCTGGCTGGCGCAAAGACTCTGCTGGGCCGCGTCATCACCATGTCGGATCGTGAGAGAGTGCACATCAAGATGAAGGCATGGGCATCCTCGGCTGCCGCGAGACACGCGGTCTACTACAGTGTCCGCTTCATCTGCTCGGTGCTCATGCCGTTAGAGCGGATGGGCCACAAGAATATGGTAACGCAGCCCTCAGACGCAGAAAGCACTTCGATCTATTTGTACAGCGCGTCGGCCGACTTCCTCCTCCCTCGTCCATGGGTGCTGTACTTTTCTGCTCTGGTCGTCTGGGCCTACGGCTTCCTGCTCGACGGGCCTCTCAAGCCCTTTCCCGAGCAACTGAAATACCCCGCAGCGAGCATGCCGACTCCACTGGTCGATGGCGTTGGCGGTATTGCTCCGTCTCTGCAGATGGAGCCACTCCGGGAAAGAGAACAAGATGCCAAACAATATCTCCGATTAATGAGTCGGTTCGAGACGGCAACGGGCCTCGAGACGGTCACCACGGGACGAAACAAGGTGATTGGGGTCCTCAGTGTGGTGTCCAAGGTTCTTGAAGGCTCGCGATGGGAACTTCTCGAAGAAGGGTGTGACAGATTAAGAGGGGCGGCTGAAGCCTTGAGACCGGTGGGCTCTAGTTGAACGGTGGATCTTGATGCACGGATAGACGTGTTGATACATCCTGCATGTCCATGACCAGTCTCCAATGTCACGAGGGAGACAAATGCTCTTGATCCGTTGGCTTTGTTTTGATGTAGTTTCAAAAATCGTGATATGTAAATCTATCTCCCAAGGCATCGTGACGCGTCGGCGCTAGAATCTATGTTGACGATGGAAACTTGTCTGGTAAGCTGTTCTCGACTTGCATCAACTCTTGAATGCCAGCGGCAATCCTTTTCACTTCAACCTCAGGCACTCTCCTCAAAGGCTGTCGTGCGTGGGCGCCATAGCCAAAATAGCTCTGCAATGCAGCCTTTGTTCCTGGAACGGCGGTCTTGGTCAAAACCCAATCACCAGCGCTCAGAATCTTTTGCAACTCGGTTGCCTCAACATGCTTGCCCTCAGCCCACAGATCCCACACTCTGACCACAGTCTTTGGAAAAACATTGCTCCCTCCAGCAATGACGCCACTGCCCCCGGACAAGAGTGTCTGGGCGGTGAAATCGGCCATTCCACCAAGAGCCATGTATCCACTGCCCTGGTGATGGATGGTCTTTGCATCGGCTGTTCTGGCGACTCGGGTTAGCTTGCCAGTATTGCCACAAGTAAACTTGGTGCCCACAATGTTGTCGTGCTGGGCCAGGCGGATCAAAAAGTCTGAGTCCATGTCGATACCAGCAACGGCGCCGGGGTAGTTATATATGATGATGGGCAGGGGGCTCTGGTCTGCAACGGCATTGAAATAGGCTTCAAGTCTCTCTTCGTCCATGGCAGCGCGATAATAGCTGGGAGCAACCAACAAAACGTAATCACCCTGGGCCTGGGCCGCCAATTTGATGTTCTCTAATGTGCCTCTGACACTCTGGTCACTGGCCCCGACAATGATGGGGAATTCTGGAAATCCTGCTGCGTCAAGGGCTAGGCGTGTTTGTAATGTCACGGTAAAGCGTTCATCGTTGGAGAGGTGAACAGCTTCGCCATTGGAGCCCAAGGTCACCAGACCAGCCAGACCGGCTCGAGCCAAGCGGACCGCATGATCTCGTACTTTTGGAATGTCGAGTTCTTCGGTGTCGGGGTCGAAGAAAGTCACGGTGGGACAGTAAATCCCATCATGCAATGTGCGGCAGATACGTCTCTGACTGCCAATGGATCCCATCTTGATATTGCACGACTAAGTCAGTTGAATGAGAGAGGAGAGTCGACCTGGACTGAATTTGTATTGGGAATGGTACAGGGTGTCTTCGTAAATGTAGCACGGCGCGAAGGAATATCAAGGGAATGCAAGGCGTTTTGGTATCACCACCATGGCCAGGAAATATTCGAAAACGACCAGGAGAGAATCTGGGCATGGAACTCTTTATACATGCATGAGAAATGGCCTGACCATTATGAAAGTAGCGTCCGAGAGGGAAAGGACGTAGTGGGAAATTGAGGTGTTGCTAGTGGCGGGAGAAGAGATATGTACAGGTATTATGGTCAGAGCCACCGAGGGAGGGAGATAGGCTGGCTTGGGTCAGAACCAGATAACTTTGGTCTGGTGCTGGTGGGTAACAACGAGAACATCACAGTGCTTCTCACGCCATCAACGTTTGGGGATCTTGAACGATGCTTCTGTAGGCTCATCTGGAGGAGATGGGCTCTGTTGGGATTAGGCGTAATCGAAGACCGATTCATGAAGCGGTTCAGTGAGGATGGATGGGCCGAGGGGCACGGAGATACTTGGTGTATGGGTATAACATGGAGATCTGTCTTGCCTTGGGTCATGTTTATGTCTCAATCTGGAGTTGGGGGTACACAGTGGGGGGCGCGCTGGGCGGCCAAGGGCGGACTTAGACTTGTTAGAGTATATGAGGGATTGGGAAGAAGTAGAAGAAAGGCGAAGTTTTGTATGAGGCGGTGGGGGGTTGTGCTGAGGATGATGACAAGGCATCCTTCCAGCGTCCCTTCCTTTGACTTGTCTGTTTTGCACTGAACAGCGCCTGCCTGATTGGCATTTTAGGCAGGCACACATTAGAGGCCGAGAGGCTTGTCAGGCAGTCACACTGCAGAGTCAACGAGGGCAGTGGCGACCCACATCTCCTCGTGCAGTGTCTCTTCTCACTCCATTTCTCAATCATGTAGCAACGAGTAACTTTTAGATGAAGAAAAATATGAGGCCGGGTAAATAGGTCATCGATTAGAGGGAATGGCGAGTCTGTTGCTTGTTGCCGTCGTTGATTGATCGCCATGTCCACTTCTGGAGATAGCGAGCGCATGGCAACCACGACCATAACCACTTCGGGCAGAAGGGCCCCTCGGGCTAGCCTCTGGGCTTCTAGAAGCCAAGCTGCCCGCCTAAGACTTGTTGTCGTTGTGCCAGTTCATTGTGTCTATGCAGGTGGAAATTCTGCCAGGTGTCTTGCCCATGAACGGAGCAGAATGCGTCATATGCGTGGAGTCCATGTGTGAATTAACCCTCTCAGGTTCCAGTTCAACACCTGGACATGGAAATTCTCATCCCTCTAACCCCGCGTGCCCCATCAAGCCTGGATCAAGAGCCATACCAAATTATAGGAAAACGGCATAGCCGACGATTCCACACGCTAGGCTTTGCTCCCTTTACATCAAATGTTGATAGGCATTAAAACTCATCTTCCTCCTCTCCCCGACGCCTCACTCTTCTCAACTGCTTGTGTTGCCTTTATTACTGCAATATTCGCTCTTTTGCAGTGGAAGACTTGTTCCAGTTGAAGGATCACCAGTAGTTACTATCATTGGCACCTTTGGATAGTCCGTGACTTTCGACACCACCGAAACGACAATTCCAGAATGCCTTACCCAGAAGAAGCCGAGGGTTTCCAGATCGACAGCGCCGATACCTGGACGACATTTCACAAGAGGCACTTCAAGCTCAAGCCATTTGGCGACTACGACGTCGATGTGAAGATTCTGGCCTGTGGAGTGTGCGGCTCCGACCTACACACCATCAGTGGAGGCTGGGGCGCCCAGAACTTCCCTTTGGCTGTCGGTCATGAGATTTTGGGCATCGCAGTGCGGGTAGGGCCTAAGGTGACACTGATCAAAGAAGGGCAACGTGTTGGTGTTGGCGCCCAGAGCTTCTCATGTGGACAATGTAAACAATGCAAGAACGAGAACGAGACATATTGCCCAGTCATCATGATCGATACATACGGCTCTAAATGGCCAGAAGAGTACGGCGGCGTGGTCTCCCAGGGAGGCTATTCTAGCCATGTCAGAACTCATGAGCACTGGGTCTTTCCTATCCCAGACGGCCTCGACACGAACATTGCCGCACCAATGTTGTGTGCTGGCCTTACAGCCTACAGTCCATTGGTCAGAAATGGAGCAGGTCCGGGCAAGAAAGTGGGTATTATCGGACTCGGTGGGATTGGTCATTTTGGAATCTTATTCGCCAAGGTACGTTTGAACAGAATCAGATCCTTCTGACAATCGACCGTCATCTCATGAGATTCGTACTGACATGCTCCAAGGCACTCGGTGCTGAGGTGTGGGCGATCAGTAGAAGCCGGTCTAAGGAGGAAGATGCTAAGAAGCTCGGTGCGGACGGATTCATCGCAACCAACGAGGCCGACTGGGAGAAACCGCACAAATTCTCTTTTGACTTGATCGTTAATTGTGCCAACTCGTCCAAAGGATTTGAGTTGCATAAATATCTGAGTCTGATGGATGTCCACGCCCCCTTCGTCAGCGTTGGCCTGCCCGAGGAAGCGGGACAAGAGATCAAGGCGCAGAACCTTTTGTCCAATGGTGTGATGATTGGAGCCAGCCACCTGGGCAGTCGCAGAGAGACATTGGAGATGCTGCAGCTAGCAGCAGATAAGGGAATCAAGTCTTGGGTAGAAGAAATCCCTATCAGTGAAGAAGGACTGAAGGAAGCGGTCACGAGGCTAAAGAATAACGACGTCAAGTATCGGTTCACCTTGACTGGATACGACAAGGCATTTGGGGCATAAAAGAGCCTTGACAAGACTGGGCTGAGCCTGCGCAATCAGTAGATAAATCTGATTGATCGATAATCTATTAATCTCAAAAGCTCGCAACCCTCAATGTGAAGGACCCACTTGTGCCTAGAGGGGGGAACTAGCATTTGAATAGCATTGACGGCTTTGATCAAGAGAAAACGCATGTAGTTTGAATTCATAACAAGACGTATGGGAGACTCCCGTCGCACAAATGAGCAGAGGGCATCATCGACATGAACAGTGATGTGCATATCAGATCAGCTTTGTGTCGCCGTAGCTGTATGTGTCCGGCGACGTATAGGGAGGAGACTTGACTCATTGGAAACTGCGCCAGAATCTTCGTCTGACGATTGAATTTATCCTAACACGCCCATTCTTGAGTGAGCGGTTTTGGCTTCAGATGTCTGACGGAGGATTGTTGAATTTAGTCGCCTGTCATCTGCCGAAGAAGAAAGTCGTCTTCCTCATCCTCAGGCTGCCGCATCCTACCTAGGTAATCAATCACGCATCGACATACATTTCCAGACATCATTCACCTCCTGCTCTCTGCTATCCTACCATCTCGATTCATCCAATATCCATTCAATCAGAACAGCTTCACTCATCCTGACTACCCGACTTTTCAGCGCCCACAACAATGCGTTTCTACACGACAATTCTCATTCTCTGCGCCCTCTTCGTGGCAGCGCTTGCTAGACCTCCCCCATTGAAAATGGTGGTGGTGTCATATCCCAAAGATACGCCTCCTTCGATCGTGGACAAGGCTATCGAAGAAGTCAGAAAAGCGGGGGGCATCGTCACCCATCAATATTGTAAGAGTATCCGGCAACAATTGGCAGCTGTCCATGGTCTAACATTCCATCTAGCTCTGATCAAAGGGTTCACTGCAAAGGTTTCGGACGCCATGATTGAGAAGATCAACACGTTGTCCAATGACAAATATCCTGCATTCGTTGAGGACGATAGCATCATCACGATCAGCAACTCCTCATAACTGTCTTGCCATATGGCGGTTAGTGCTATGGCTACGAAGGAGATGACAATAAAAATGATCGATACGATGTGTCAGTAGGAAGTGCTCCAGCGACAATGTATCACAACACGTATCATAATCTCGAATGTATTGCTCACGATGGAATGAGGGAGGTAGTCCCAGGACGAGTGTCTGGCTATTTGCCAATAATATATCATCCGGATGAAGACCAACTCGTTACTTTGATTTCTTTGTTCCCCAAGATTACGCGCCGAGCAAGGAGACATGGATTGGGAATGAGAAGGTTGCGCCGTCGCCTCTGGTGTGCATCTGGTGTGCATATTGTGCAGTGGCAGCAACCACTTGTCAAGCGAGTGTCAGCAGAGGGCCAAACCCCAAAATGTTGATGCGACGTCATTGCTCAGTCTAAGTAGTTTGGGGTGGAACGCGCTTGCCTGGGGAAGTGCCTGAGCCCCTCGGCCCATCGCCCCTGCCGCGATATGCAATCAGCCAGAACTCGCGTTTCCATCTTCCCACCCAAACCAATCCACCATCCACCATCCACCATCCACCATCCACCATCCCATCCCATCCTAACCTACCTGCGCCATCCCATCCCATTCCTATACCCATGTCACCGTCCCACATGCCGCGGAGAACACTCTAGGATCAATTGTTTCACGTGCATTCATTCTCAAACTATGCGTGCATTTCGATAGCCCCGATCCAGAATGATCTGCCAGGTGTCAACAAGACCTCAACGCTCTCCCTCCACCCTATGGCGACCGAAGAAGCCATTGCTGCAGGCCTCATTGACTGGGTCAACAGCCTCGCTGTCGCCCCTCCAGTGTACACCGTAGAAGATCTCAGCAACGGACATGTCGTATGGAAAGTTTTGCGTAAGACTCATCCTCCCCTTTCAGCCTCTCTTTCCCACCCATCTCACCCTACCCAGATCAAATCGACCGCTTCAGTTTTTCCGGCAAACTCCCTGAAGGCCCAGATACTGATCAATGGATCAACAAGTGGACCAACCTCAAACACATTTACGATGCCTTGTCCATCTTCCTGCTCGAAGACTGCGGTCAGAGACTCCAGGGCCACCGCCCCGACCTCAAGGCAATCGCTCAATCATCCTCCCTACCAGACACTATCTCCCTCCTCAAACTCCTTGTCGTTGCCGCCATCAATTGCTCCGAACGTATCGACTTCCTCAAACAGATGCAACTATTGACCGAATCCACCCAGGAAGTCTTGATGCAGACCGTTCAAGAAGCTGGAGATGAGGATTCCCAAGACGAATCGACCCCCTCTGACCACGACCAACAAGTCCAGCCTGGACCAGACAACCTGACTTCGCCGCGCCACTCCACCGATCTCGACTCAGTCCTCGCATCCGAAGAACGCCTTGCAAGGGTCGTGGCCGACAATCAGCGCATCGCCCACGAAAAACGAGAGTTGCAAAAGCAGCTGGAAGAGTTCCACCTGCGGTACGACAAACTCCAAGAGCGCTTTGATCAGGCTCAAGATGAGGTCAAAGAAACATCGGATCGCCTTGCTGCCGTGTTGGCCGGTCGCGGTGATCTCACTAACCGACCCCTCGATACGAAACACGATACTCTGATCGCATCTCTCGAGCACAGAGCCGTCGAGGCTGAATCCGAACTCGAAGACCTCCGGAAAGCCGCCGAGGTACTGAGACTGAAGGCCGAGAAGGCTCAAAAGCTGCAGGATGATTACGATGAAATCAAAATCGATCGTGACAGATTGGCCCGCAAAGCCAATACGGCAGAAAAGTATCGCCAAAAGCTAGAGGCAAGTCAGGACCTAGAAAAAGACAATGCCACCCTACGCAACAAAATTAATGATCTACAAACCCAACTCAAACAGTCTGACTTTGCTCGAGCGACATCGAGTGATTTGGAGAGAGAGGTCGATGAGTATCGACGACTTCTTCCCAGCATCGAGCAAGAGCGCCACGAACTTAATGAGATGAAAAAGAGACTCGAGTTGGACTACCACGCCCTCGAGGCGAGGTACCTCGATCAAGCCGAACAGCTTAGCAGACAAAACCAAAACGTGGAAGACTTGCAGTCGAGACTACGAGACTACGAGGATGGCATCGATCCTTCCGATAATGACCAGCGCCTACCGAGCCCCGTCCATCGCGATCTGGAGAGAGATGAAGCCGACTTTCTCGAGTCGGAAGCCCGTCTCACTGCCGCCTTACTGGACAAGGACACGCTACCAATCCCTCTAGAACCTCCCTTGGCTACTACCGTGTCAGCTGATGCAGATGAATCCGCCGTCCCAACACTCAATCTCCCCGCCGAGTCAGACACGATCTCCGAAGAAGAGCTCAAAGCCATCATGTCGGCGATGCGCTCCCAAGCTGCAGCAGGGTCTGCTTCGGACCGGGAGTCGGCTCTCTCTGCGCAGAGGAAACTAGTCATTGCTATCGAACGGCAACGTACCAAGAACAAGCTCCTAGCGGAGCACATCCAGAAAATGAATGTTATGGTCCAAGAGCTCCAGCAACAACAAAACAAGCCACAAGACGACAGTCCTCCACCCCCTCCACCGAAGGACGACCCAGTGCCACCAACTGTCCAAGCAACCAATGACCCACAGTCTCATTACGAGGTGGATGATTTGACCCAGCAGAATCAGATGCTGAGTCGTGAACTTCGCCTTATGGCATCAGCATGGTTTGAGCAAAATCAGCGCCTGGCCAGCATGAGTTCTGCGGGGTCATCCGCCAGAGGCCGTGGAGGAGTGGGATTCGGCAACGGCACCGAACCCCGCGGATTTCTAAACAGGCAGAGGCGGAAGATTGAGTTGATTAGTCTAGGGCGGTGACAGGAGACACATCCCAAATTTCGATCGATCTCTCAGATGGATCACAAGCTCGAACGAAATGGTTCTCAAGAGCGACTGCATTGGATACACAGAGACGATGCAATAAAAGTCGAGACCATTCAATCAATGTTCAATATTTCGGTTCGAAACATGCTGTGCAAGTGTGACCTGTTATAGGCATGTTCTGTCAGTGCCTTATTGTTGACCCACACAACACTGAATGGTGGCATTGGCGACGTAACGAGAATGATATCCAAGCTGTCTTAGGCGGCCTAAGCTCAGAGACAAACTCAGCCGTGGGCAGCAAGATCTTGGTCGAAAAACAGTCAATCCGGACAATCGATCATCCTCGACCATAACAGACAGACTCAATGGCATTTCAGCCAACGCTGTATCGGCGTTTTATGCGCATGTTTCACCGACAAATATTCATGTTGCATACGATTGTGGGTGATCGTCATAACCTTGGGTCCAAATACCTGATATCAAAACAAACTCAATTTCTTACCATTATACAAAAGTGGTTTATCATATAACCACTCGTCGAAGCCACGATGAGATGGATCGCTCCTATGTATCACTTGTATGAAATTCAACTGCGTCGAAAGTGACTCTGCACAATGTATTCATGCTCTCTTGTCTTGCTCTCACTGGCCGCTTCCGCCCTGTCTGCGGCCTTAAATGGACGCCCCGATGTATTGAGCGACGGCAACCCCCAAGAAGCCATCTCCTGTGCCCAAGTCTTGCCATTAGTTGGTTATTCTGCCGGCCGAAAGTTTTGCCTTTCTCGTCGAGAGTACAGCACCCTTACAAGCACGATTAATCCCTTTGTGAATCGGACCGCCACTCCTACTCACAGAGGGCAAGGATGGCGAAACCACAGTCGCATCACCAGCTGCCAACAGCTTGCCATCCGCACTTTGGGGTTCGTTAGAAGGAGCTGAATCTGATCAGATCGATCATATTTGTTCGTGTGTAGCTCAGGCTAGTGTCGTGGTAGGTTTCAACAGTGGCAGAAATTGGTCAGAAGGCCAAGTGACTAAATTAATGTCAGATCGGCCGTCGAGACTCACCCATCACCACTCAAATCCCAATTAGAATTTTAAGAGGTCAAACAAGGGACACAATCGGAGCGCTAGATGCCAACCAGAGTTCTAGGAGTTCCTTCACCTCGATTCGACCTAGTCGAAGCTCATCCCCGTCTCTGTCATTGCATAGGTGTACATCAAATTCCTTGACTACGAACACAGCTGTCTCGGGTGATGTCAAAGCCATTCACACGGCCTTTGTGACTTCAGCCAGGAACTCGGCAGGAGATCCCACAATGGCATCGACGCCAGCAAGTGCCTCCAGCTGTTCCTCCAGCCACAGTGCTCAAGCTTTATCTCCTTCAACACATTCAATCGCGTCACAGTGTGATGCAAGTATAGTCTACACTATCTCCAATGGCATGTGCGGATGTCAAGTGAAGCCATATTGCTCTCAAAGAGTCTCAACTTTGGCAGTGCCACTACTCTCCACTATCGTGGAAAGTCTCCAAGATTGTCTTTATCTACTGGATCAGGAACCTGCGGCTATTCTATTTACGTTTGAGAAGGCCGCGAATCTGTGTATGTTGTATGATTCCCCGATACTGGACATGGCCACAGATACCCTGGATGTGATCAGTGGGGCCAGGTTTGGAAAGTGTGGCAACCCAGTGTGTCAGGTAATCGCCGTTGCTGAGGACGATGACATTGTCGGCTCTACAATACTGGGAGCTGAGCAAGATATTCCCTTGAGCCCAGGCCCTCGCATCATCGAAACAATCACCGACACAGTTGGACCGCTGAGGGGAACATTAGGATAGATCAGTCAAGTCGCGTTTCATCTTTCACGAAATAAATACGTGTAATACTTGCTTTCACACTTGATGTGTCAATAAATTCCACCCAGACCTGAAACCGAGCGTCAACTTCAGCTTTAGTGGTATCCTCAACCTTTGCCTCAACCTCGACCCGATTCCACGACTGCAACAACCTCAATTTCATAGAGTAGTTCCGGTGCAGCGAGGCTCTGCACACCAATAAGGGTCGACGGTGGCTTTACTGCATCCCCTAGCCATTCCGTATATAACTTTGCACGAACTGGGTCCTGTGGCAGTAGATTCACCACATATTGTCGGACTTGGATGATATCGGCCTTTGTAGCACCTGCTGCGGCCATGCATCTGTCAACATTGGACAAAGCTAGGGCTACCTGCTCTCCAAGGGTGCCGGGGACATGGTGTGTGCTGGAATTTCCGCCAACTTGGCCTGCAAAAGATATAAGATTATGGGTTGCTGAGATGGGTGTTGATGAAATATGGCTGTAGGTAGGCGACCAGGTATCGTGACCTGGAGGATTAAATGTCTGGTTCTTGGACGTGTCGCTCATGTTGGAATAGCCTGACCGATGGAACAGTCACAATCTGAATTGGTGACAAGATCGGAGTCGAGGAACACGACTCGACAGCGATATTAACCTGAACAACGCCCTAATGCCTGGAAGAGCCCCTCATCAAGGAGATGACCGCCCTTGAACAAGAACCTTGAATGAAACTTTTTGCTAACAGCACTCGTCCCACTTGAGACACATTCATTTCGCTCGTTGTCAACCGGACTACTATTAAACAACACGCATTGATTAGCGGACATTGTGGACATGACCACATGTTTGCCCATATACACATATTCCAATATCGTGTCTAAGATATGTCATCGTGTCATTGTAGCTCATGGCTTGTCATGAACAAATTGCCAGGTATTGTTCCAGGTTCCAGCAAAATAGCACCGTGAGACAATAAATAGCCATTGAAAGATTTCATATCAAGATCCATCTCATGGGCCTTATCAGGGTTAAGAGAGATCATGTCCTTAGCCACACGTTTGCCTGCCGAGAGGCCTACACCGACCCAGACATTAATTTTGACTTCGCAGCCGGCACCGACGAGCAATGCTTGTTCCAAGTACCTGTGCCAATCAGGTTGACTCGACTACCATGCTTATTTGAGTGTCGGCACTCTTGTGGAACCAAACGTCGTCATCAGGCTTTCTCAACCTGCACCCTCACTTTGTTGGACGAAAGAACTTCTAAGTAATAAAGCATCACACAGGATGCGGTCGCAGCATTATGCCGTGATGCTTAGATAGAACAAGACTCTGCACTATCCATCATGCAAAGATTAAGCTCGTTCGCGCGGTCACTTAGTGGGGGTGGGAAGACTAATGGAACCGCGAGTGAGTTCCCATCGTCGAAGAGGTTTTGGGGTTGATATTTACAGACACACTCACATTTCTTCATAGACTCAGACTCGATTCCACAAAATCAAACAATATTTCAAGGGTTTGAATGGCATCTGCCCGGTCCCGAGAAGCCAGAGCAACCCTCCCACTGGACTCTTCTCAAACAACTTTTACCCCATCTGTCCGCACTAGGTGTATCTCACATATGGTTACCGCCAGGTTGTAAATCAACCAACGTCCACGACAATGGGTACGGCATTTACGATCTGTGGGATTTAGGTGAATTTGAAGCCAAAGGTAGCCGCCGAACCAAATGGGGAGTTCGCAAGGAATTGGACGATCTTTGCAAGGAAGCCAATTGCCTCGGTATCGCGGTTCTTTGGGACGCGGTCTTGAATCACAAGGCCGCTGCAGATGGCAAAGAGACCTCAAATGGAATCAAAGTGGATCCTCGAGGTGAGTACCTACTCCCTCTTCATGATTTTGTGTCCGGCGAGCAACGATCGACTAAATCACTTATGCAGATAGAAACAGGCATATCTCTCCCCAAAAGGAGCTCGAGACTTGGACGTCCTTCGATTTCCCTGCTCGTGAAAATCAATATTCCAACATGAAATATAATTGGAAGCACTTTTCTGGAGTGGACTATGACTCCCGCACCAAGGACCATGGCATATTTAGGTTTGTTGAGAAAGGCGAACATGGAAACACCGAATGGGCGCAAGATGTAAGCCACGAGCTGGGAAACTACGACTATCTGTATGCCACCCCTTAGATCCTCAACCAGTCTCTTAATTGTCTTCTAGGATGTTCGCCGACCTGGACCACTCGCATCCAGAGGTCCGCAAGGACATATTTGATTGGGGAACTTGGATTACCTCCGCTCTGGGCCTGGGAGGCATGCGTTTGGATGCAATCAAACATTACTCCTTGTCCTTTCTAATTGATTTGATCTCGCACTTGGACCTTCAAAACAAGGATTTGTTCTTTGTAGGTGAATATTGGGTGGCCGACTCGAAAATTCTTCAAAACGTCTTGCGAGCATTCAATGGTCGAATCAGCCTTTTCGACGTCCAACTGGTGTACAACTTGAGTGACTATTCACAAGGCCGCAATACCGATCTAAGGAGACTATTGGAAGGGTCTCTATCAGAGCTGGATCCCCAACATGCTGTGGTAAGTCTCCGCTTCTACATCATTCGCACGCCCGGCTTGACAATATTCTTAGACCTTTGTTGCAAATCATGATACCCAGGAATCCCAATCACTGGCTGCGCCCGTCGACGAGTGGTTCGTCCCGTTGGCATACTCTTTGATTCTTCTCAGGCAAAATTGCGGGATTCCGTGTGTATTCTGGGGCGATGTATTCGGCATCAATGGCCCAAGGCCTCGATTGCCGGCGTGTGGTGGTAAACTAGCTCGCTTGATTGCCGCCAGGAAGCTGTATGCGTACGGTGCGCAAATTGATTACTTCGACTCCGTAGATTGTATTGGCTGGACGAGGATGGGGCATCCTTCAAAAGCAAACGGGGCTGGTCTCGCTGTTATTATGACTAATAGTTGGGATAGGAGGACGAAGCGGATGAGTGTAGGCCCAGGACACGCAGGCCAGAGTTGGAGGGATATCCTTGGTTGGGAAGATCGATCTGTATTGATAGATGGGAAAGGCTACGGAGTATTTCCAGTTGGTCACCGATCTGTTGGCGTCTGGACTGATGAGCGGGCAACGGGCTTCGACAAGTTGAAGGAGTTCGTATTTCCTCGGGTCGTATAGAGAAGTTCTGATGTGCAGCATCAAAGACCTATGGCATCTTGTATGATTTTATATGTCAATTTTCTATTAAATTTTTGATAACGTCCGAATGTGATTGATATTTGAGAACGGAAGTCTGTGTGGAGCAGAGATCGCTTTGTATTGATGTTGCTGGATTAGCCGAATAACGTTTCGGTCTGATCAGCATTCCTTTGTCGTTCAAAATTCATCCATGCCCTTCAATCTCGACTGGTGTATGAGCAGGCCGTTCAAGCCCATTTAAGTGCCAAAAGTTGATGAACAGTTGAAAGTTTGGTTGCAAACATACGAAAGGACATGCACAGTTATATAGCGTAGGTCACCGAAGTACATTAGACTGTACCCATAACAGCGCTCCCTCATGTGTCTTTATCTGGAGCCTTTGTCTCGAACTTGTAACAATGCGATGTAGAATTTGATGGAAGACCGTCTCGTTATCTTCTGGGTGGACCACGTGCGGGGAATGCCAGATCTCGACATTCAACCTCGGGAAAAGGAGAGTGAATATAAATACAGGTATGTCGTTCACAGGCCTACGAAGCGAGTTGTAGGATTTCAAGAATCTTGAACCCGGCCTTGTCACAAAAACCTTGTTCACTATGGCGCCGAAACTGTATACGATGATAGAATCTGGCAACAGCTACAAGGTTCGCCTACTGGCTGCCTTGCTCTCGATAGACCTGGAACAGGTGGAGATCGACCTTGCCAATGGTCAGCATCGCACCCCAGAGTTTCTCTCTATCAACCCCCGAGGGGAAGTGCCTACATTGGTAGATGGTGACGAGACGTTCACAGACTCAGCAGCCATCCTGGTATACCTCGCAGGAACATACCCAGACAAGAAATCTTCGAGGCAAGCACCATCCACTTACTGGTCAGCGGACATCACCGAGCAAGCCAAGATTGTGGACTGGCTGGCATTTGCAGCAAGCTGGGTCCAATATGGGGTTTTCACTGCGCGAGGTATAGTGTCCTTCCAGGGGACATATAATGGGATCGGGTCAAAAGTGCGAGAAGGGGCTCTCGAGGAGGCCACCGCTCGCGGGCACAAGTCTCTCGAGATCCTACAGAAAAAGTTGGAAAAGGAGGACTGGCTAGCACTCAAGAGGCCCACGATCGCAGATGTTGCGGTATTTGTGTATGTGGCCCTGGCCCCTATGGGAGATATATCGTTGGAACCTTACCCGGCAGTGTTGGCGTGGATTGCCCGGATCAAAAGTTTGCCAGGGTTCATACCAATACAAGGCTTGGAAGATCCTCTTTACCGCCGGCGATGAGACTTTCCAGCTAGATCTCATTGGGCATTGTGTTGACCTGGTGGTGGAGGTTGATATGAAAGACTACCTATATACCTTGTGTTGCGTTCAGGAACACGTGTCGAATAGAGTTGTTTCGGGACCTCTGACACTGCTGGATCCTCCCGCTCTTAAAACGGTAATGGATTGATTCCGCGTAAGTCCCTTAACGGACGAGGGGGCTTGGCACTCCAACACGGCATGAGGGGCGCCGTCCACCAAACGGCAAGCACCAACCCAGAAATAATTGGCACCGACAAAAAATTAGATCCAAGCTCATGCCCCATTGACCCTTGACGCGTTAATGTGTGTACAGTACAGAACAGAAATAGAGAGAATTGAGTACCATTGTTCAGATCCTGGTCTTTTGACGCGATTGTGATCATCGAGAGGGCCTCCTTTTTCTCTGATCTTGCATCAATCCATTCTTCCGTCCCATTGCTTGAAGTACTGCAACTTTTGATCGACCGTTGAAGATTCTCCATACAACATAACAGGGTACAACCTCGCACATCGGTCCAGGACAACAGCAATAACCCTCAGTACTATCTACTAACGCACATCCTAGCCATGGACGACACAGACAACCAACCTTCCACTCCGACCAGCCAGAGTCGTCCACGACAACCCCCACCATCGTGGCGATCAACCGCCTCGAAAAACTGGCGTCTTAAGGACGACTCCCCACGCGTCGAGCCACCACAGCGTTCGTCCCGAGGAGGCCTCAATGCTGGTCGTGGTGGCCGAGATAGGGAGGATGGTTCGTCCCACCAGGACTACACCTCACCGAATTCCCCAAGCGTGGACGACGGCAACTCTGGTTCCCGCCTGTATGTTGGCAACCTCCTCTACTCGGCACAGAAGTCCGACATGGTCACATTATTCTCATCGGCCGGATTCCGTGATGTTACGGTCAGCATCTCCACCGACCCCTTCACAGGAAGGAATCCGAGCTACTGCTTCGTTGACGTGGAGAGTTCCGACGAGGCGAGAAGAGCCATTGATGAGTTGAACGGTGTTGAGGTCCTAGGCAGGAGGGTTAGAGTCTCACCTGGCGTCGGCAGGAAGAGCAATGCTGGCCAGGATGGTGATGGGGCTAAGGAAAGTCGCATCAAGACCTATGATCCACGAGGCTTTGGGAGGGAAGAGAGGGGTGAGCGAAGTAAGTTTGGCGTCCTTTATGTTCTGATCTCGGTCTTCCAATTCCTTGGCTGTTGGCCGCGTTGCACGAATTGATACGCTCAACGACTGAGTGTAACGAATGAACTCCTCTAATCCCACATGCACTATCTAGACCAAGACTACAAGCCATCCTTTGATCGCTGGAATCGCAATGACGCACAATCACACTGGACAACACCCCAAACTGAAGGGCGGCGGCTGTACATTGGCAACCTTCCTCGGATCGAACCGCAGTCGGCACTCGACTCAGAGATCCAGACACTGTTCGCCACCTACTTGCCAAACGACAAGATTGTGCCGCAAGCAGTGTCCAAGCTTCTCTCTCCCCATCCTTCCAAAATTGTGGAGCCCGGCAACCATTACTACACATTTGTCGATCTAGAGAGGGCCGAGGACGTTGATGTGGTGATCGCGGGGCTGGACGGTCAAGAGGGCAGCTGGGGACCTGGCGGAATCCGCGTCAACAAAGCCCGCGATCGCGAGAGGAGGGATACCCCAACTGGCGACGGCACCGACAGGAGAGAGCGCAAAGTGGTTAGAGAACAAGGCCTGAGCAGAGATGGGCAGGAGAGAAGAGGATTTGGTGGCGGCAGTTGGAGACGGGACTGAGTGCAGACAGGATTTCTTTGGTCAATAGCGACAACAGCGACAACAGCGTCAATGGCGCTATAATCTCGTATGCATAGTGTGTCCCACATGTTGATTATACCAAGCAGGTTGAGATAGAACCACTCTGTCGTCTGTCGTGGGATTATGACATTTGCACCAGGACCTTGTCTCCAGGCGATGCGTCGATGCCTTGTTCCTGCTTAATAGACCTTCTCGGGCTTTCGCTGGGTTTGCGAGCCACAGCTACTGCTTCTCGGTCAACTTGACCGGATATTCAGTACTCTCAATGCTCGGGGGATAAACCAGGCCCCCTTGTCTTCTCGCTTCATCCATGATCTCCATGATCAGGATGCTTTCAGCCCACGGCATGGTCTCGGATTCAAGGGCTCCCGACAGTAAGCTGCGGGCTGCGGCATCCGCTTCATACTGTGCGTCGTATCAGACATGTTAGCGGTGGCTCTTGTTGCATACAAAGCGAGAGACGTGGTCCGATTGGACGTTTGAGTCGAGTGAATGTGACCTACCATCATGCCATGGGCACCACCTTCAAATTCAAATCTTCTGTCGAGAACGTCTGATGCGGGGCCCTTTTTGATCAGGCGATACCGCGTCGGGCGATAGATCGGCCCAAAGACCTGAAGTTCGCCCTGTTCGCCCTGGATCCGCACAGCAGGGACTTCAATGTCGCCTTGTTCCTCCACAAATGGGCGTCCGGGGTCATCGCTGATACGGAGAGCGGTGGTGGCAACAGCGTGGGCCTTTCTTTTCCCTGTGGGTGTCGAGTAGGGGAATTCGAGTAGTATCAAGGTGGATTCATCGGCGCCAGTCCGGGGTTCGGGGGTCATGGCGGTGCCAACGACGGTGGGGCGGGCGCGGGCCTTGAACTCTTCGGGAAGGGTGTGATACAGGGCCTGAAAAACCCAGGTGAGTGAGTAAATACCCAAATCGAGCAATGCACCCCCAGCCAAATCCAGGTTGATCATCCTGGAACTCAGGCTAAAATCCTTGTCTGCGCCGATGCTCATATCGGCCGTCACACGCAAGACCTCTCCGATGTCACCTCCAGTGATGTGTTTTCTCACTGCGATGCTGAGGGGGAAATATCGTGTCCAGACAGCTTCCATGAAGAACAACTTCCTTTGCTTAGCCGTTTCGTACAAGATCTTGGCCTGGGAAGCATTGACTGTCAGGGCCTTTTCGCACAAGACAGGTTTATCGTGCTCCAGGCATAGCATCGCATTTTGGTAATGATGCGAATGGGGTGTGGCTATGTAGACAATGTCAATATTGGGGTCCTTGACGAGTTCCTCATATGAGGCATAAGGTGTTGGGTGGGAGGACTGGGAGGGAGTGACCACATCTGCGATGAAGCTTTGGGCTGAAGACAAGGAGGAGGAAGATGCCACGGCGACAACGGTGTGTAAGATGTCAGTCACATTCCGAGTGTCGGGGGGTGTTAGAAGGTCTTTTGTAAATGTTCTGGCGATTCCTCCCGTGGCTGAGGTCGTCAGTAGAGCACGCAGACAGGCACAAGCAAGAGATGACTGATCGTACCTAAGATGCCCCACCGCACAGTCTTGGGCGAGGGCATAATGAGGCTGTTAGGTCGGGTAGGTAAGAGGGAGACAATTCACACAAGAGGTTAAAGGACCACAACCTATGGGAACCAGCAGATGGGACACATTAGGCTTCTTGTATAGAAATCCATGAAGTGAGGGGGGGAATTTCTTCGAGAATATGGTGAGTCGTGACGCGGGGAAGCGCAGTCTGTACAAGGCGGCATGCCATGACTGGAGGGACGTTGCTTGACGGCTTTGACAGAAGGTCCATAACTGCCGAAATTCAGCCTGATATCCGGGCCAATGTTTCTGTCTGCATCAAGGGGTCAACCGTCACCAACGGATCTTCGTGTCAATTGAACCATGCACGCCATGTCACCACAGTCTGGCAAAGTACTCGGTAATGTACCTTTACCTCAGTATGACGGCGTCATATGTTGACACGCATGCAGGCATGCAGCAGACCGAGCCAAGCCTGGCATCGCCTGGTATGGTAGGTTCGTCACGTGAGCATCACCGACGGTGCACTCAGAATAAAAAAATAGAATTGGAACTTGGAGCCATGCTGGAGATTATCTTGTTCTTTTGGTATTCGTCCCTCGCTATGGGTGCAAGCTATATACTCGAGTCAGGAAACTTTTGTCGCGAGGTTCCACTCACCGATGCAGATTTTGGCCTTCCCAAAACCCAGTATCTTTTACACATGCAGACATTGACAATTCGATTGTCCTGAACCTCGTCGAAAAGTCATCCTGGACCAAAACATGAGCATGTCTTGGCCGTCATTCGCTGATCCTCGTCAGTGGCTCAAAGCAATCAAAGAGACTGCGACCACCGTGCCATTCAGACAAGTCATTGTCCTCCCATATGCATCTACCGTAGACCAATCTTGCTAAGGATCTTGCTCGAGGAGGATCCCGTGGAATCACCAAACACGCCCAAGATGCTCTTCCAAACTTGTGCGGGTTCCTGGCTCGCATCGATACCAGACCAGATGCCCTTGGTCTTGTAATATCCGACGACCGGAGTTGTTTGGGCATGGTAGGTGCCCAGTCTCTTCTGCAGGGTTTCTGCGTTGTCGTCGGATCGTTGGATCAGGGGCTCGCCAGTAATGTCATCGGTCATGGGCTGCTTCGGTGGGTTGAAGACTTTGTGGTAGGATCGGCCGGACGCGGGATGGACTAAACGGCCCGTGATACGGGATACAAGCAGACCATCATCGATTTGAAGCTCGATGGCATGTTTGAGCGGCTTATTTTCGGCGTTGAGCATGCTATCGAGGCCTTCAGCTTGAGCGACGGTGCGAGGGAAGCCATCCAGGATAAAACTAGTGCGTGTCAGTGTTGACGTTTGGGCTGTGGTCAGGGATGATCTCACCCATTGGCGCATTCTCTATTGGTATCGAGCTCGTTCTTGATCATGTTGATCATGATATCGTCGCTGACCAGACCACCTTGATCCATGATCTTTTTAGCTTCCCGACCAAGAGGAGTCTTTTTGGCGACCTGGGCTCGCAGCATATCTCCGGTGGCCTGCAGGTAGAAATATGAATTAATGGGAATTGGCCGCACACAGGCATTGAGATGGACATACCAAGTGGCAGACGCAGTACTTGTCTTTGATCTTGGGAGCTTGAGTGCCCTTGCCTGTGAACTCAGGGTCAGTGAACGCGCAGTGAAGGGAATGCAAGGACAACAATGGCTTACCAGCACCCGGTGGACCGATGAGGATCATGCGCATGGACTCGGAGATGGATGGTTTGCTCTCGCCAGTCTTTAGAGAGTGTTCAAGCCTTTTGACTCTTTCTTCCAACTGGTGATATTGGTCCTTCAGGTCGTTGAACTTTTCATCGGTGATGGGGGCCATGATGTCGGTGGTGAGGAGAGGTGCAAGACCGGACCAAGGTCAAGAACGCGGTGTGGAGGTGACGGGGTGGTGAGAGGAGATGGACGACAGGAGTTGAAAGGAGAAGAGGAGTAGGTAGGACGAATTTGTTGAGGTTGTTGAGGCTGGTTGGTTTTGTGGTGAATGTAGGAGTAGGATGTAGGTAGCTAAGGTACTTGGAGGTAAAGGTAGCTAAGTAGTGTATACCTAGGCAGTTGCGGTGGAAGGTGCAGGAGATGCAGCCACGAAGCTCGACAATCTACGAGGAAGTATGGGCTGCCAGGAACGGATAGGGCAACTGGCAGGCTACTTAGGTACTTGGTAGCGAACCTGGTGCGATGATTCTAGCAAGAGTACCGAGTCTACGAACTTCAGGTATTCAAGATTCGGTTACTAAAAGGTCTCGGTCAAGCTCTTCTCTCCTTCTCCGCAGGTCCGGTCACAGACATCCAAGGCAAAGACTCGGTGTAGAACGCCAAGACCTGTACAGAAACAGTCCTGTTGCTCTGTTGCCCTGTTGCCCATTTGCCCATCCTTTTTTGGGGCTGGGAGCACCCGAGGGAGCAACCAAGTACCAACGCCCCCTACGGCCTGCCACCTTACCCACCCGTTAGCACCTCCTGACGTGCCTGGCTGCCTGGCTGCCTACCTACCTACCTTAGGTACCTATAGCCACTCCCCGAAGAAAGTCTTGTGCCCCTGTGGCCCCTGTACGGGAACTCTCAGGTACCTGAGTGTCTGGTTTCTCTCCTCTTGTCCCACATCTCCACCCACGCTTCTGAAGGAATTTGTGTCTCTCAAGTCTGCAGAATGACCTCACTCATCCGCTGACGGCGCCTCGTTGTCGTCCTGGACCTCGGCCAAATGGGGGTCCAACTACTACCAACCAGATCCGCCAGGTCATCTCTCCGATTCTTTCTCTTTGCTCAGCTTTTCCACTGGCTTGCCACCACTCCATCCCTTAGATGGCCGAGAGCTGTCTACCACGTGCCACCGATCAACACAGCCAACAAGAGTCCTAAACAAAGACCCGAGAACAGTCCGGGAGTCGTTTAGATCAGAGTCAACCAAGTAACCTACAAGATTTAAACGTGATTAGGCTTTGTTACTCGAATGTTTTTGATACCCACCAGCCACAAAAAATCTCGGGAATAAACCCGTCGCATCCAATACGGTGACTGGAAGTGAAAACAACTCAACGTCCAGCGTCAATTTGCCTCCCCAAACGTCCCTTTCTCCCAACGCAACAAGCGCCTCATGAGGCCTTCTCCATCTCTGCCTCAATCTTGCCGACTCTTCATGTAGATTCGTCCTTCAACTTGCTCTCAACCTCAACCCGTTCAATCTCTTGATCTTCTTGCTTCTCCACAATTCCTCGTCCGTCACTTGTCATGTGTAACGCAACGCCGTCATTGAACAATACCCCCATCTCCTCGATTGGCAGCCCTTTGGTCTCAGGGACGTAGAAAAATGCTATCACTCCACACACGATGCTGCAGCCCATGTAAATCAGGTACATGCCCCACTTACTATACCTTGGTCAACATGTATCTCAGCCATACCACCAGAGTTGAGACTTACATTTCACGAAAGGCTCTCGGACCTGGCGTTGAAAAGGTGATGAAGCCCACAAAATATGCAAACATGCTCAATCCAATTCCTTTGGCGCGCAGATTCGTGGGGAAGATCTCAGCGCACCACACGAATGAAGGCGCGTCAATGAATTGGTAGAGCACAATGAACCTGTCCATATCAGCTTAGTGTCATCTTCTACGTCGTCAAGTAAATCATGCGTACAAAAAGATGAAGGCTACGGCTGCTCCACCGGCCGCCTTATTACCACTGTTAAGATATTCTCGCTGCAACAATGCCTCGATGATGAGATTGACCGCGAGCACCGGAAACCCGATAACTAGAAGATGATTCAACTTCAGCACAAAAATCCACTATACCACCTCATTTCCCATTGCTTGACTTACTGAAAAGCTGACGCCGGCCAAAGCGGTCCATGACAAAACAAGCATAAATCGCAGCAGCCGTTCCAACCACAGCATAGATGCCTGGAGATCAAACGTCAACCTATGATACTATACCCCCTTCCACTGAAAATCACTCACCATATAGGAGAAGTGGAAGTATGCCTGTTAGGCCAAGATCGGCAAATATAACAACGAGATAATTGGCTATGCCATTGACCTGAGCCCTCGAGTTAGCCAATGCCTCGAGAATCAGCATGAATAACACATACACCTGTTGCTTGAGAAGAAAACCTATCCATCGTCAGTTCTCCTCTTCCATCCACACATTAACACTTACATGATGAACACCACAAGCAAGGACCTGCGTCTCCACGATGGCTTTGTGAACATAGTGATATAGCCTGACTTTTGCTCTTTGTCGATTTCAACCTGTGCCTTGATTTGCACAAACTCAGCATACGCCGCTGCGTTATTTAGGTCGCTTGGGTCATTGTGGAGACGTTCAATGACTTTGAGAGCGGCCTCGGCTTGTCCAACCCAGCAGAGATACCGAGGCGATTCTATTCACGTCTCAGTCTGCTGGCTGGCGGGCATTCTTCCTCGATGATTGTGTAGAAGACCTACCAGGAACAAATGGCAGCCCAAGCAGTAGACCCAGCGGGCCTACAGCTGCTAGTGCCAACGGTAGACGCCATTGGAGAGTCGGATTCGTCGAATAATATGTCCCCACTGAGACAAACGCGACGCTGTATCATCTCGTCAGCTAGAATTGCGGCTTGGATGTGTCAGGAGCCAGTACACGCAATATCCCACTCCGAATCCCATGACGGTCATGCCGCTGATGATACCACGACAGTGAGGTGGAGACACCTCTGTTAGATAGAGCGGCACGAGACAAATCAACATGCCCAGACCAAACCCGTGGATGACCCTGATGGTCAACAGCATAGAAATGTAGGGCGAGCCTGCGGTCCAGGCAGCTCCAATGCAAGACAACAATGCCGACATCGCCAACGACTTCTTCCGTCCGAATCGATCAGCCAGCCAGGCCTGTGATATGGCACCAAAGGCAGCCCCAGCCGCGAACAGTGCATTGATCGCACCTAGGATACTGTATTCCTGGATCAGCACATTGATCAAAGTCACTGTGACCTATCATACTTCGCCGTGTACCGGCTGGTCGCTGCGAGTGTGAGCCTGCGTTCATCTGCCAAAGTTCAGCGACTTACGATCCAGCTTCATATCAAGATAGAATCCAGGCTGGCCGATGGAGGTGATGAATACTCCGAAACCATAGCCATAACCAAAGGTTCCAATGGCCACTATGGCACCGATGCCAACGTTATATGGGGTTAATTTCGCCATGCTGTTCAGCCAGTTTGATGGATACAGGAAGCATTGTCATCGACTCTATGGATGCTGTTTATATAGAGAAAGGGGGGGATGGGGATAAGCGAAGCCTTACCGACACAATCTGAGGTCTAACACAATGTCTTACCATGTTCCCCGGTGCCTTGAATCATTTTCTATAACATGGCACTCTAAATGACTTTACACCAAAACAGTCTCCCCACGGGGCAGAAGTGCCTATCCAGAGCCGAAAGGCGGGATCCAATCATTCATCGTCTCGCAAAATGTCCTGGTACAGATACGAGAACTAACCATGTTGGTGTCATTGAATTAAGTCACCCGCCAATGGCGGTGAAAATCCTGTGAGGGGAGGGTTTTAGTCGAACTCCAAATTCTGACAAATTCCTCATTGGAAGACGATGATGCGAACCTTAAGGGCCCCTCGTTTACGTCTGAATAGACTCTTCTGAGCAAGCCCCCAGGCGCCGTTCATTAGCCTGTGTTTTGAGTATTTATCAGAAAATAGTACTTTACGATAGAAACCCCGCGCAAAGCTTTTCGAAACATGGCATTTACCATTGTACAATGTCCACCTTCAAATAACTGCATTTAATGCGCACGGCTGACTAAAGGACTTTCAAGGCATCAGGAATTAGTTCCTAGGCTGGACCAGTGTCATACCTAAATCCATGAACCAATTTCTTTGGGACGATCCCGTGTCTACATCTGCCCAAGCACACAATCTTTCTAGTCACGGGTGATGCGGTACAATGATTGGGTCAAACACTGAGGCCGGAAAAAGAAAACGAGGGCGACCTCAATTAGACGCTAAGCAAGATAAGTGGTATGGCGTTGAAGATCTCAGAGAGCGAAAGAGGATTCAAGACCGACTAGCTCAACGAGCGAGGAGTAAGTCTATTTCTTTTGTTTAACTCTAGAACAGCTGAGTGGCATGTCTGTCACAGCTGTAACCGATATTTGGACCGGGCTCGTTGGCTAACAGCTTTATGTTGACATGGTAGGAAAGAGAATTCATCCAGATCAACCTGCGAGCGAGATGTCACCACGCAAAGGCAGCGACAGTATCAAATCCACCCCTGCTAAGGATGCCGAGGCCCATGACGACGCAGAGGATGTATTTGCTTCCGAGGATAGGTTACCGGATGAATCACATACACTGCATGAACTGCTATCGTTCACGGATCAGTCAAGACTCACCATCAGCGGCTCGTGGGATAGCGCGAAGGTAATGCCCTGGCCTGTGTCGCGGCCGCCATCACAACTATTCACTACATCTATTGGTAGCGACCACTGGTATTTGTGCTGGCCAGCATGGTCTATTTACGCTGCGTTGTCGAGTCATGGCATGATCATGCGGACCTCGTGCCTTGACTGTACGTACGACGGAGTATCCTCGATTGATGACGGCAATATACCTGGAGCGTTAAAGCCATCACCATTGCAACTCTTAACCAAGCACCGGCGCTGGATTGATCGATTTCCATTCCCGCGTATGAGGGACAATATGATCTTGCTGAGCGAGGTTATCGATCTTGATCAGTTCTGCGCCGACTTGTTTGGTAGCGCAAGCTTCACCCTGAAGGACTCGCATCCCACTTGGGAGGCCACCAGTTGGATCGTGGGGCGAGAATTCGCCCAGAAATGGGGATACCTACTTCTATGAGGTTCGCTTTGAAAACTAGTTGTTGCTTCGAAGACGGATAATCAGGGCGCTGTTGACAGAGCTTCAAGTTGATGATCCATCATTTCCGACCTGCGCGAATCCAATACTGATTTAGAAAACAGTTGTGGGGCTTCTCAAAAGGGCTTGTGTAAGACTCGAGTTGCGCTGATTCAATTCCAGTGGGGTTGATCTTGAGACGTTTGGACTGCAACTCTCACGGGTTGTCACCGAGGGTTGGAGCACATGTGGGTGAGCTTCAAATTGGTCGCTCGGCCCCATGGTAGAGTTAGTTCTATGGAAAGCTAACCCCTGCTTTCCTCGTGGCGCAATAGCTCTATGACATGAGTGACACCTAGGGATGCAAAGCATGTACTCTGCTAGATCAGAAATCTGAATGTTTTTCAACACACCCGAACTACCTATCTTGCACAAGGTCGTGAATCGCGAACCATGCTCGCAGTAAGCACATCTTATGCAAACCTACCCATGTAGGACTGGGTTGCTGACTAAGTGGCCAAATTATGACGGGGCAGAAAGTTCGACATGATCTCTGAATTTGTCAGATTTTGACGCCATCATCTTGATAGATGGTTCAAGCACGAACCTATGCTACAGTGAACCCCACAGCGCGAAACCGCGCTCTGAGTAGCCTTTCAAGCCCATGCCCCTCAGACCCCTCGGCTGAGAGGCCCGAAAGGCTGTTGATGGTCATCCTCAGGCACACCAGGGATGAAATATTTTGACAAATCAATACCTAAGAAGGCGAGATTGCAATCTGCCTAACGTCAGCAAACATACTGTAGACAGTGATCTTGTTTGCCAGAGATATGGGTGGCCTCAGAGCCTGTATCTACCTGTAAGGTTCAGGTACTCTAAAAAGTAGATGGGCCGAGACTCTTCGGCTTTCGACCGCTTCGTCCGTGTTGACTCGACTCTTTTGAAGTGTCCCTCTACTTCTTTGGAGATTTGCCGCGGCTCAGTGGAGACATACCGTATCACAAACAGAACTGCGTAGCGTTGATGATAGATCGATCCTCTATACGACCTGCATGTGCACCTGGGTTTGAATGCACAAGATTTACGAAGCTGATGATGAATACGCGCTGGAGACGTTTAGGATGACCCACTACAATTAATGTGCATGATTTCACTCAAAATTTGATTTGTGGAATGAGGCGGAGGCCATTTGCGGGTTGCTTTCAGGCTCGGAAACGGGTGTGGGAGGGGTCGAGGGGGTTGTCCCGACTCTCGGCATATCCTCGTCACACGCCTGGACTTAGTCTCTCCAAGTATATGAGAATGATAAACTCCTGTCCTGGGAGTGAATAGACGTCTACTCTAGATTTCTCCTCTCATCCCTCACTCCTCATTCCAAAACCATGGCATCTCAGATTGATCAGATTCTGTCCAAATATGTCTCGCCTACGAGAGAAGGCGGCTCGCTGTCCGGTATTGCATTCGTAGTTAAAGGAAAAGGAGGTATGTCACTGTCCCATTCGTCAAGCCGTATCTGTTTCGTCGATTAATGTGGCTGCTAGGCAAGACGCTGTACTCGGGGTCGGCGGGGAAACTAAATTTTCAACCTGATTCGCCTCCATACACCGTCGACTCGGTCTCATGGGTTGCGTCAATGACAAAGCTAATCACATCGGTGGCGGCACTACAAATTGTTGACAAGGGACATATTGGTCTCGACGACGATGTTGGATCGGTCATTCCATACCTCAAGGGTCTCGATATCTTGGAAGGATTCGATGAGAATGGACAGCCCAAGATCTCCAAACAGACTATTCCGGTCACCTTGCGGTAAACGCTTCGCGAGCTTAGGCGTGAGATCAGTCTTCAGAGAGCTGACTACTTATTAGTACCTTGCTGACACACTCGAGTGGCTTTGGATATGATCTGTTCGATCCAGACTTGGGAAAGTGGCGTGAGTCCAACAAGGTCGAGCCTAACTCACTAGCATCGTGGAAAATGCCCTTGAAGTTTGACCCTGGGAAAGGGTGGGTATATGGTGTTGGCATTGATTGGGCAGGGCAGATCGTTGAGCATTTCTCTGGTCTGTCGTTGGAAGATTACTTTCAGAAGAACTTCTTCCAACCCCTCGGTCTCAAGTCGTCGACGTTTCGCATTGGTGAGCACAAAGAATTGGCACCTCAAAGAGCAGCAATTGGGGGACGCGGAGACCCCGTAGCCGCTCTTGTTGAGACTCAAAGTATGATATCAGACCATCCGTCGGTCGACTCTGGAGGAGCTGGATTACACACGACAGCAGCCGATTACTCGACTTTTCTGGGAGCTCTTCTTGACAAGGACAGTAGAATCTTGAAGGAATCAACCTACGATCTTTTGACACAGGCTCAACTAGCCGACTCCAAGCATCTCGCAGAGACTCTCTATGGAGGTTTTGGTCCTATCATGGCACCGGAATTCCAGATCCCCAAACCTTCGATCAATCACTCCTTGGTAGGCCTGGTGAACCTGGATGATGTGCCAGGCAAGAGAAAAGCCAACAGCGTCACATGGAGCGGGGTGACCAACCCCCGATGGGTAAGTCAATGCAAACATTCGTCACGGTTAATTTTGACATGAGTTTGGCAGTGGATCGACCCGAAAGCAGGTGTCGCCGCCACCTTGTACACACAAATCCTCCCTCCCGGAGACCTAGTTGTGAGTAGTCTGTTCGATGAGCTTGAACGAGCGGTCTATAAAGACTTGGTTTAGATAAGGTATATCTGGCACATCTGCTTCCAAGCCTGAAGGATTCGAGTTTTTACAAGTTGTATACATGGAAAGCCGCGAAAGGCGAGGAAAGTCAAGCCATTTTCTGGTTGTTTATCAACACGGAGAAGTCTGGTGGAGCATTAGACTCATATAGCAACACTAGTACGGAGCATTCTCCCATCAATGAAGTCACGTGGATAATCACGATATATCACGTGATCTGAACCTTCCATCACTAAAGGCTGCAACTGCAGGCGCGTCGTCTACGTCTACGTCTTGGTGACAAAATGTAAGAACAACCTGAACATCTTCTTGAAGCAATCGTCACCTGGACTCTACGACCATTTCATTACTCTCCATCGATCCTCCTCCCTCGACTGTCGCATTGTCACCATAGGCAACACAACACCTCAGCTCTGGCACAACAGGGAGAGCCTCAAAGCTTCCACTCTATCTGCCCGTGAATCTCCAAGGCCTCGCGGGACTCAACATGCCTGCAACCACCGCAGAAACGTTGTCCTTGGTCAACAGGCAGGTCTCTGTCGCTCCCCTCGTTCTTCTCTCAGCCGCAGATCATTATGGACGAACAGCCAAAGGAACAAGAAAACGAGTGGTTGGCGTCCTGCTCGGCCAGAATGATGGCAAGAATGTGAGAGTATCAAACTCCTTTGCAGGCAAGTGCTTCAAGTTCAGAGTCTCCCCGTTCCCTATCTATATCTAACAACCTCTCAGTACCTTTCGAAGAAGACGAGAAAGATCCTTCCGTATGGTTCCTCGATCACAATTATGTCGAATCCATGCGGGAAATGTTCAAGAAGGTCAATGCTCGAGAAAAGCTGATAGGGTGGTATCATTCCGGACCCAAGCTAAGAGCTTCTGATTTGGAAATCAATGAACTATTCAAAAAATACACTCCCAACCCTCTCCTTGTCATCGTCGATGTCCAGCCGAAAGAAGATGGCGTCCCAACCGATGCATATTTTGCCATTGAGGAAATCAAAGACGATGGGACTACCACAACAAAGACTTTTGTCCACACCCCTTCGATCATTGAAGCAGAGGAAGCTGAAGAGATTGGTGTTGAGCATCTTCTCAGAGATATCCGTGATGTCGCAGTCGGCACCCTATCGAGCCGAATTACTCAACAACTCCAGTCCCTGCAGGGCCTACACTTACGCCTTCGAGACATTGGTACCTATTTACAAAAAGTCCTCGACGGCGATCTTCCCATCAATCACGCCATCCTAGGCAATCTTCAAGACATTTTCAATCTCCTTCCCAACTTGACTACTCCCCCTGCCTCACGTCCCAATGGCAAGAACCAGATCGGCAACAGTGAGCTCGGCCGAGCCATGAGTGTCAAAACCAACGACCAGCTTATGACCATCTACCTGAGTTCCCTTGTCCGGGCCATCACCGCCTTCCACGACCTGATCGACAACAAGAACCAGAACCGACAACAGCAGGAAGAAAAAGATGGTAAAAAGGATGAGGCTGACAAAAAGGACGGGGATAAGGAGAAAGACAAAGACGAGAAGCAGTCGGCGTCCAACGGAACTGCTAATGGGGAGAAAAAAGAGGGAGAGGCTAAGAACAAGAAGAGAGGCTAACCTAAGACTGCCTGGGCCCAGAGGCGATAGACATGGCAAGGCATGGCTCCGTGATGCATTTAGCATGGCGTTAGAGTTGGACATGAAGTGGCTTCGACAGAGCTGCCGTCCATGGAATCAGGAATGGCACTGCACAAGGTCATTGTACAACATCAAGTCTACACAGACTGCGGGTTCCTGCATAGCCCGCTCGATCTGGTCTATCAGAACTGCTTCACGACGTGCACCGCCTTTGATTCGAGTTGAGTGCAAGGACCAAGTCTGCCTCATCAACAGTGACCACCCAGTTCCCCCCATCCCCCTCCCCATCCTGCCAATTCTTTCTTTGTAGCATGTCTTTCCGCCACACTGGCTCCAAACAAAGCTGGCGCCGCCCTTGCCAGTGCCGCAGCCAGAATGTGTTTACACACAGGGACGCCAACACCGTGACCAGAGTCGACTCTTGTGTCATGCTCGCCATCGTTGGTCATATAGTCCGAGGCCAACAGGGTCAAAGCTCCACCGAACCTCCAGGGTTCGACCATATATCTTGCCTGGCCCTTATCCCGAACATAGTTCTCCTCATTTACGGCGTTATGCCCATGGCCGTGATCCATCCTCATCAGACCGCTTGCCACGTCGACTGCAAACGCCGGACACGTGCAGTTCCAACTGTCGAGCCTGACTTCGTAGTAGACAGCTGTGCGATTGATAGCGGCCGTTTTTCGTCCTGTCCCGGACAGCGCCGAGCTAGATTGAACGTAGAAGACATCGCTTGCCTGGTCGAGCCCTGGCGTCATCTGTTGACCCTCGGACACACCATCTGCAACTTCTTGGGCTCCATAAAGGAGTCGGGTTAGCAGGCTTCGGTCTAGTAGGTCCAACGCTGGAAGAAGATGGTGTGGGAACAAGACGTGCAGCGTCAGAAACAGTGATCGGGCTTTGTTCGTTTCGGTCGTGGAAAGCTGTCGTAACGTCCCTCTATGCCAAGTGCTGTCGGCATCTAGATCAAAGTCCAACTGCTGCCTGTGGTCATGGAATTGCGTCTGTGGCATCAATGTCGATAGCTCAGTGAGGATTCGGTTCATTGACATGGCTGCTGTTTGCCCTCGAGCTGGTGTGTGGTCTCGCGAATACGTATCTCCGTCGCTGACGCTGGCGTGGGCGTCCGCCTTAGATTCGGCCATTCTTACGAATTGTCAATGACCAGGATAGAAATCCAAGACAGTACCTATACTGACTGCTCTTCTCCATTCCCACTAATCAACATTTACAGCCTGTATTGTCAAGATGTGTTATTGCTGTGGTCCATCATCAAGTGGGATTCGAGATTGATCAATGTCTGATTCTTTGGAGGCGGAAGTTGGGTTTATTGTATCTTCCATGTGATGATATTTTTATTTATTGTTAGTTGGAGACTATCCGTCATCGCCAACGACAACGAATGGATCTGCCCAACTTGACAAGATAATAGGTCACATTTGTCTTTTTCATTTGGACATCATCAGAATTTGGAGTTAGGAACATTCTTTCTAATTCAGATTACCTACTTGGTTACACACAATCTGATACCATTTCGTATCAACCCTAATCTCCCTGTCCACCTCTATCTCACCCTCGCCCTCGCCTTAACCTTGCCATCTCACCTTGGTCGACTTGTTTATACTCACCATTCCAAGCGGAACTTGAGACGCGTCCACAATCTGAATGCTCCCGTATTTTTCTACAATCTGAGAACCGTATACGGCTAGAATCCATTTCCAGTAAGGCTTCATCGAGCGAAACGGTTTACTGATGCCCGGGGTCGTACGCTTGGTTCCCCGTGGAACCACCGGTAGATCCTTCAACCAGGACGTGATCTCGTATGTCTCCAGAACGGAAAACTCGTTTGGTACAGACAGGATTTCGGTGAATGCGGCCCCAAGATTCTCGGATCGTTCCTCGCGGTATCGAAGATATTCATCCCGAGCCATGAAAGTGTCTCCGAAATTATTGCGCGACGTCCTGAGTGATGTGAGGCTTCTCTGAGAGAAACGTTGCTTGTGCGAGAGATAATTCAGCTCGTCCTGCTCAAGGGCATTTTTCAGTATCTGACTGGGAGTCGATCGGAGGTGCTCTCGCACGCAGTACAGTGTGACCAGTGGATTCTGCAGATCCATGCCACCCAGTTGCACCGGCCAGTACCACACGCCGTCAGGAATGCCACGTACCCCGAACCGCTCGGCAGCAAGCTTATTGAGGTGATCCGTGATGGATTGGTGGGGAAAAATAGCTTTCTCAATCCGCATAAAGGTGTCGATCATGTTATCGACATGTGCACGACCGAATGCAATAGAAGGTTTCCCAAAGTTGTTGCTGAAGAAGCGTGCGAAGTACGCGTTGTAAGCCTGGATGTATGAGAAGATAGACGTGCAATGCTCCAGCTGTCGTTTCAGTTCCTGGATGTGCCCATCGACCATGCTCTGATCGATCACAAACTGGCCACTGATTGCATCTAACTTGAGAAATCCCCACCTCACTTCGCCCTTGGGGAGGCCAGGCTTCTTGACCACGTTCTCGCCCAAATCAGAGTCAGGGTCAGAGTCAAGGCCAGAGTCAAGGTCAGAATCTTCTGTTTGTCGTGAGATCGAGCCTTGGTCAAAAACCACAGTTCCGGTCTTTTCCTTGTTGAATTCAATTCCCATCACTGATGCAAAGGTAGTCATGGAATTCCAAGCGCGAACACAGAGATCTTCAGCTCCCCAGAACCAGAAATCATCATGCAACCGGTACAGATAGCTTGAAGTTGTGCTGTTGACTGCAAAATCCATTGCAAACAAGACGACCTCACCAAAAACATCACTGAGGGCGTGTGACATTGGCACTCCTCTCGATCGCACCTGGACCTGGCCGTCTGGACCGTCTTGGATAAACCTCATCGGTGCCGTAAGAAAGTTGCGAAAGAATTGAAGCCAATGGTCGGTCACGCCGAAAAACTTCAAACAAGCAAAGATAGTTGCGTGTGGTAAGGACGGCCCAAACCACCGGAAATCAGAGCGGATTACCGCGTGAGAAGCTCCGGGCCTCAGATGACGAGCCAAGAATGATTCTGTCACGAGAAGATGCAGCAGACTCTGCTTGGTCTCGATCGGACTCTTGCGGGATGAGTCGTTCGATTCCTGATCATCTTCGTCGCCATACCCCCGAGTACCTTCGGTCTCGGATACCGGTAGCTGTGTCAAAAAGTAGTCACACTTGTACAGTGCACAACGCTTGGCTTCCACGGTGCTTGACGAGCCACTGCCATTTTCTGTTCCAAGGAAATACTCCCGGCGTTGCCGATCAATCTGGGAAATCTGTCGAGTTGCGGACTTCCAGGCCGGCGAGTTGAAAAATGAGGTAAAACATGTCTTGAAATGGACGGCAAACTTCATGCCAATGGCGTGTAACAAGAGGGCATCAAGAATGTCCTCATCCATAAACACCCTGTATTTTCCGTTCAACTGCCTGCGTTGCTCTATCGAAATTGCGCCGTTCACGGTTGTCCACTCCCATGTATGTAAAGAGGCAAATCGCATGTTGAGAACATCGGCCACTTCCTGGAGCACGTCGGGATTGGTCTTGAATGATTTGAGAACGTTTACCTTTTCCGGCGAGAGGAGATCGGTCTGCAAAAGGCCTTGGACAGTATATATGAGCTTGTCCGCATTGAAGTATTCTTTGTCGGATTGGAAAGTTTCGCAAGTGCGAACAGTGGCGTCACGGACGGCTTTCATCGCGTGTGAGACCACCATGTCGGTATTGAAAAGCTTGTCGAGATAGGCGGAAATCTTGTCTTCATTCGTCTGACACTGGGAGAACACGATGGACTCCCACTGGGCTCGTTGTTCATGCATCTCTTTTCGGCCGATGCTTTCGAACCCCGAATCGTCTGCTGACTTGGCCTCGGTCGGAGGAGGGACCGGGGTGTCGGAAAGCCATTCTGTGACGAGCTCGGAGAAGAACTGAGCGTGTTCATGTTGAATGCTCTGGAGCTCAAGATCTTGGAGGATGTCACTCCGGATATCATCAACCAATCTGGAAGAAAATGCGGGATCCTTTTGGGCTTGTAGAAGAAAGAGCTGTTGATTGCGTCGTCGACATTGTGCATCGGTGACGATGGCTCCACTGTCACTGCCAGAAGAGCCGTCTTCAACCACTCGCACACCCTCGAGGCGACAGATACCTTCTAGAAGAAGGCGAGTTTCCTCGAGGTCATCTGGGGCATCGTCGGCACTTCGAAGAATCTTGTTCTTGGAGCTCTCATATTGTCTCCGTTGCTTTTTGAGCTCCTTGATCTTGGTGGAAGTGATGGAGCGAAGTGTCTCGGGAAGTGCATTTGAGGCCATTGTGCCACAGACCGACCAGGGAAGACTGGATCAGTGGAAGAAGGAGTCTGGGTTCCGCAAAGGAAGTGATCAGGGGGTTGAGCCCAAATGGGTTTCAGATGTTCATCAAGTAGACAAGATACAATGCAATGAAGTCAAGGTTTTTATACAAAAGAAACACGATCACTAGCTTCAACCAATGACTCACCTGCAGTCACATAAAGCCGTAGCATACTATTGTTGAGTGAAGGATGTCTCAAATGAGAGACCATTTGGCTTTGTGGCCGTCAAGATGGAGGAGGAGAATGTTTCTGAATAAAGGAAAGGCAGGTGCCAGGCCCAGATGAGGCGGTGGCTGCCTGGATCCAAATGACACAGATGTCCATGTCTGACGAAACAAATGACACTCGAGTTGCTGCAGCGAGCCACTGCCATCTCGAGTGAATATCATACTACGGAGTACTTTTCCGTATATGGTAGTCTCCAATTACTCTGCCTTCAATCCCATCCCATCCCATACTTCACATACCAGGACAGAAGCAGGTACACTACAACACTCGACACCTAGTCTCCGAACACAGGACCCCTCTCCATCGTTGGATGGTTTATTCTGCGAGGCGCAGGGTTCAAAATGAGTTCGGTTGAGTCCTCGCCCTCTCCCCCTTCCTCTACATCATGGACACTGCAGACTTGTCCCCCTCCAACTCCAAGGTGATCATTCAATGCACAGATCCCAGTAATGTTTTCGAATCGTTGGAGCCTCGACTTTCGGCCAAGAGTCCTTTGAAAAACCTCCACTGGAAATCACCCACGAGACCCCTCCGATCAATCCCCAATCTCAATATCTCCGTCACTCGTGAAGACAAGTCTGGCGCTTCCACCCAGAATGTTCGTCGACATCAGATTCCCGGTCTACGAGAGACTCCATACGTCAAACTCTACCTCCTGCGATGTGATGACAAAGAAAGATACAAAGAGTCGGCAAGAAAAGAAGTTCGACAGTGGGTCAAATCCAACACGTCTCCCTCCGACTCCAAGTCTTCAACAAAGATTAATGAGAAACACGATGCCTTCGAATGGTTGATTGTCCACGTTGTGCTGCCCAACACTCCCGCAGCCAGTCAGCCCAGATCTTCCAAGAACATTCCTCCTGGTGCCACGGATAGCACAGATAGCGTCAATAGCAAATCGGCCTGGACTGGCAAAAGCCATTCGACCATCTTGGACAAGCTGAAGGCAGACTTTAACAGCTCGTCCAAATCTGCCTTTAACCGCGTGGTCCAGGTGAGACTTCTCGAAACTGGCGACAAGTCCTCGCCTCTATCTCCTGCCGACATCGAAGGCCAGTGGCAAGATCTGGTCGAAGCCCTCAAAGCCTGCATTCTACGTTCTTTTGACGCTCGGGTCCTGCAGTACGAGTCGGATATCCGGGAAAGAGACGCGCAACGCACACTTCCTGGCTGGAATTTCTGCACATTTTTCGTGCTAAAAGAGGGGCTGGCGATGGGCTTTGAAAATGTTGGACTACTCGACGATTCTCTCGCCGTTTATGATGAATTATCGCTGGGTTTAGACGCTCTTGTCCAAGATGAGGCAGAAAACGCCGACCCCGACGACCATGGCGCTTTGCTTCGCTTTTCCAAAGATTCCAAAAGCCTTCTGAGGACCGCGCTGGAAGAGGACGGCCAGGGCGCTTCACCAAACGACCAGGATGAAGACTGGAGCTTGTCCCGGCTTCTTGCTGTGGACCGAGCAATGTTTCCCTTTGTTGGCAATCGTCAAAGGTACCGAAATCTAATACTGGCCAATCAAGTGTCGGCTCTGGACTTGCGAATTTATCTTTTCACCCGACAGATGGAAATCCTGCTCAGGCATGGCAAGGCTGACACCACCAAGCTTCAGGGTTCCAACAAATCAGGGGCCAATCTAAGTACCATCGCCGAGGTTGCCGAACGTGGTGTTCGTTTTATCAATCTTGCAGCCCGTACTTTACGTTCCGAGCTTTACGATGCATGGGGTGGACAAGAAGGACTTAGTGATGCTGAGTTGCATCATCAATCGACCGTGACGGGGAACATTGTTTCATCGTGGGTATGGACAGCGACGGTCCAAATACTTTCTGAAGTACTTCCCTCTCTGGGGATTGACCTGCATCACTGGACTAACTCCCTGTCCATTGACACATTGGAATTGTCCCAGAACGCGGGACCTGGATCGACGGGGTCCGATCTTGAAGCTGGAAACTACATACGCCGGCTCTCTTTCACATCAAACCTCCGATCACCATCGCGTGATCGCTCATCGGATCGTAGCAATCGCCATTCCATGTTGACTAACGGTACGACCCCGCTACAACTTCTCCTTTCCCGTGCCGGCTCGCAGAGAATACTGCTTTGGACATCTAGGCTAGTGCTCCTGGCCAGACAAACAATGCAAAATCTTGAAGCTGTCAAGTGCTGGAATCAGATTCTACTTGGAAACAACCCGATGGAGCAACTTGAGACCTCGAAAACTAAGATTCGAATCTCGGTCGATCAGAGGGATGACGAACATGACATGATTGTTCGACCTCATGAGCACATGACTGGCCTGGACTCCAATTGTTTGAAAGCAGCGGCAAGATCCAAGAACACATTTTTCGACCTTTACATCTTGTTGACCGTGCTGGCATATCGGCTATTTGGTCACGCCAAAAGCTATGCTGGTCTCCAGCAAGTGTTGATAGACCTTGTCAGGTTCGAGTATCTCCAGCAGAACTACACGATTGCTGCTCGATATCTTAGCAGTGTATTGGGACCTATGCCGCGACAGGCATACAAGCCTACTGATATTGATCTTATCCAGCTTTACGCTGAATGCCTTCAGTATCTCGATAAGCCGAATGATCAGATCAAGTGTCTGATGGCTTGTCTTCAATCTGTACCGGGTGCAAACTTGTCCAGATCAACAGATGGCTCAACAAGCAATCAAGACATGGCAGATCATTTGTTTCGTCTCTCGCGAACTATTGCTCCAATCAACGTACCATTGACGCATCTTTTTGCCATTACGAGTGTGGCATCGACCATTTCGCATACATCAGGAAGAGATGGATTCTCTCTCGCACTGGAGATGAAGACGATCTGGGGTAGTGACACTCCTTCAACTCTGGACGAAATGAAGTTGAGAATTGCTTCCAAAAATACTGGCGAGCCCAGGTTCTTGACCTTGTATGCAGAGGAGGCTGTTCAAGTGAGAGGAAGTGCAACGAAGATCGTGTTGACTGCGCCCGTGGTGACTTACGGGTGGTACACCCTGGAAGAGATGGAAATTCAGCTCGGAAATTTAAGATTGTTGCACCACTTCCCTTCAGTTGAGGAAAACGAGAGCTTGAGACTGGACGAAACTGTTCAAACGCCAGCAAGTGGGGTCCCGATTCTTGTGTACCCCAATTTTGAGTCGCTTTCTGTAAGAGTGAGATCGGCAGCGAGGATACATCTGGCGCAGAATAGGCGGCTGTGCATTGAAATACTATCAGGACACAACAACGTCAAACAATGTCGAATACGACTCAAGACTGCAACGGCGGGTTTGAGGCTCAATATTCATGACTCGGTGTTGTTAGACGGGGACAAGCCTTCTCATTGTCTGAGAACGGCTCGAGAGGGAGATACGCTCATGATGATGGTGGACGAGCTCGAGCCGCAAACCTGCACGATGGTGGAATTACCGTACACGATCGAGGTCCAGTCAGAGGCAGCCATCAGCATTAGGATCGATGCGACATACGAAACTGATTCAGGAACGTTCCATTTGTACGATGTGGTGACCATCAACGTCCTTTTGCCGCTGGCTGTCAATGTTCAAGACGTCTACCGTCCGGGTCAGACGTACTCTCGGTTCGCGTTCAGCCCGGTAACGATGGTGCCACTCCGATTGATTGATTGTAAGCTCGAAGAAAACGAGTATTACAGCATCGAACAGGTCAGGAATATGAGGGGCGCTGTGACTGTTTTTCCACGGCAGCCTGCGCACTGGACTGTTGGCTTGATTCCGAAAGATGGTGATGCGACTCGGTCCAGTCGGACGCTCACTCTGGCTGTTCGGTTCCAATCTTTGGATGAGGTGATTTTAGAAGTACTCGAGGAGCACTTTGCGTCGGCTCTGGAAGCGGCAGGTTTTGCCAACGTTTCAAGACTACTGGTGCCTCATCTGACTCGCTCGATCCGGGGGCGATGGACGGAACAGGATCTGGAAGTTACGGGATTAACTAATGAGGTAGAGATGTGGAGATTCGATGATCTTGACTGGCACAATGTCCTGTGCGGCATCGAGCGAGATTCTAGGCCAGGTATTGAAAGTTGGCTTGCCCATTGGCATTCCTCGGCCTCGGCGATGAGTATCTCGAACATTTTACTCTGCCAACGAGAAATCAGACTGCACGTGGACGTGCCTCGCTACCCGGTGATTGTTTGTGCAGTTCTACATATTGGGACTTCTGATAACAGGGGGCGAGTGGCCAGCGTTGGGCAGCCTGCATTGGCTGAGTTGGAGCTGAAAGCGGAGGGTGGTGAAGATGACGAGTTGGAGGCGACATTTGAACTTGTGACAGTAGCAGACACATGGTTGATTGGGGGTCGTCGAAAAGGCAATATCAAACTGGGGCCCGAATCATGCCGTATTCAGGTTGTTCTCTTTCCACAGCAGACAGGACATCTGATGCTTCCGACCGTGACGGTGAAATGCCGGCGGAAGGCGATGGATCCCAAAACCAAACGAGAGTCATGGACGGAAGTGAACAGCGAAGTGTATAATGTTTCACAAGGGCGGAGCGTATTCGTGTCGTCGGATTTACAGAGTGCTACTGTTGAGGTTTTTGAAGCGATTCCTACGAAGGCTGGGGGGAGGTTGATTGCATGCAAACCACGATAAGGCTTGAAGCGTTGAGCAGAGATTGGGAATCTCTAAGGATCATCTGCAGCGTTGATAGAGGAGAAATATGGACGATGTAAAAACGTGGAAATCACAACTGACGAGAGGATGCAGGATGATTTGCATGTTTTCTTCAGAACAGTATTGGTGGTTACGTAAGGCCCAGATCAAAAGATTTAGGGAGTAAGATCTGCAGGGGTTTCGCAGATGGCAGAGTGGCACAATGATCCAGGCACATGGATGCAAGAAAAGCTTAGATGCAGCAACAACGAAGCACACGGCACGAGCCGCGGGAAAGGGAATAAAAGTAAAAGGATAGTGGCGTGGATGGACAAGGACTCGGTGGGAATTGAACACCAGCTCTAGTAGGTACCTAGGCACCGTTTCGAGATCAAGCACTTTGTGTCATTAAAGCCCATTGCGTAGCTTAGGTACCTAGATTAGGTATCTACGGAGTAAGGTATGCATGCACCTGTAGGCAGCTGGGCAACTGGCAGGCTGTGGCCTTGCATACCACATTTCTGCAGGGTCGTCAGGGCCGTGGCTCACGAGACTTCTGGTAGTTCCAGGGCAGGAATCCTCGTGTAGGGCGGACCGAGTGGTGCGGTGGCAGGGTGGGTGGAGTGACGACATTTCTCTTCTCTTCTCTTCGGCAGTCTCGCCCAGCAAGGGGTATGAGGGGCTGAGGGGCTGAGGGGCCCAAGGGCTCTTGAGGGGTCGAGGGACCACCTGTCCCTTGCCCCGACCCTGGCCCCGTGCACCTCCGCCACTCACATCTCTCTCGGGCTCATTCCACCGCCGTGCAGCTTCAGCGGGTCAAGCAAAAAACATCTTTTAGTGCGTCTGGTCTCCCCAACAATTTCAGTTTCGTGATGGGATTGAATCAAGGAACTACTCCGTAAACTTCTGGTCACGGGATGCACTCATCCTCATCACCAGGCTCGCCCTTAGGCTACCCCCTTCTGTACCAAGCATTTTACTTAAGTAGAGCGGGACACCAACTGGTAATCGATAACCGATCCTCGTGCTGCCATAACCCCTCCCATTCGACCGACCATACACCTACATATTCTCGTGATCGTCCAACATAGCTTTGCCATCTTCTCACAACCATCACTCGCATGTGGAGAAAGCCCAGTGCACATGTCAACCATATCCTAGATGATTGGAGTACCATCATCCATTGTACCTAGGTAGCAGCCTTGAGCGTGACGCGGTGATGACGCCCCCATGCGGGAAGCAAAGCATGTGCAAGAGCTGCTGTTCATCTGATCAACGTCGATACAGGCATGCTGGCACACTGGCCAGGTCGAGGCCTTGCCATTCCTGAGGAGTTTGGTTGACGGAAGCCAAAACGATGCCTAGATGCATTTGGCGATCAATTGATCCATAGAGCTCAGACAGACATCTACTCCGTAGCCAACAAAAGAGGGGCCGAGGATGTTCTTGGAGCGACACGAGGCGACTAAATTACTGCGACTCCATCCACAAAAACCGGCAGTATGTTGCATGCGGTGAGTGATGGTGTCTGTGAACGTTCATCTTGGGCATCTTGGGCTGCAATTGCAACGTCTTGTGGTGTCCATCGGTCAAAGGCTAGCGCACAGGAGAAGCCTCGGAGATGTGATAGCACTTTAGGTAGTAGGAGGTATTCAAAAGGAAGGTGACTTTGTCGAGTCATTTAAGACATTATTTGCTCTGCTTCACTGCAAAGCAAACTCCACTTAGCCCTCTTTAAGTGCCAGAGCCAAAGCCAGGCTAGATTATGTCAAACCCAGAGTGATCGGAAAGATGCCTAGGTACGAGATATACTGTCATCACCCAAGAAGGGCATGTGCACCATGTGGCTACCTAGGATACCTACCTAGGTACCTATCACTGCGAGCACACTTTGTATACCTTGGGTACAGAACACCACCACGACACCTTATGTCCCATGGTACTCAGGCACCTACCTTAGGTAGCTGGCGGTGGAGGATCTTCGGGGCAAGAATGGCCCAGGAGCCAAGACCATGACTCCTCTCACCGCCCAGAGCCCTTCGACCCCTCGTAGCGAGTGCCCAAGGTGCCCTGGATTTAGTGCCACCCACTCGTAACCCTAAAAGGCTAGGGACAATCTGTACGCAAGGGCACAAGCGACGGGCGACTGGGGAGCTTCCCTGGGTCCCTTGGCCCCATCGCGGAGGCTGTCATCCACTGGGAGCTCGCCATCTCTGATTGTTGAGAAAAGTTGGGGACATTTTTCTTGGAGCTTCCCTCGGGTCTGCCCACGGCACGGACATGCCAGCGTGCCAGCGTGCCAGTTACTGTACTGTAGCAAACAGCAAGAACCAAGCGCCAAAGAACTCAGTCTCTGGTCCCTGACTTTTTTTCAACGGCACCACCCTGATCACCACACACCCGATTTTCATGGGACCTCTGTCCCTCTTCCCCCAGCCCTGCCGCAATATTATCTTGACCCCGTCGAACCACCAACATCTTTTCTCTCCTTTATATATTCCTCAGACCAAGCTGTATCTACAGTCTCTGCCTCTGTCCCTGCCTCTGTCTCTGCCTCACATCTCTCTTGCTTTGTGACCTCTTGTGTAGGGTCTCTGCTGCTGGCCTGTTGGAACCTGCACCTTAGTCTCACTCAGCGTCCGCCACGCTTTCACCCACCTGAGTCGCACATTCCCAACAAATTTCACCACCTCCCCGAGTCCTTTAAAAGGCCCCAGACCGGCTCCAGCTTCTGTACCTGTCTCTGTTCCTGTCTCTGAACACTTCCCTCCTTGTCCAACCATGACGACCACTGCCCTTCCTTCAGATGTGGCTCTCCGCCGCTTGGCCACCACGGATTCCACTCCCACCTCATCTGCCAACATCTCCCCACTCGACAGCCCGAGAAGCTCTCCCTCGTCCACCTCCCTATCTTCTCTCGCCTCAGAAGATGCCGTCCTCCAAAAGCCTGTTGTTGCAGGTGCCGACAAGAAGGTCCAGCTTATCGACACCTACGGAAACTCCTTTGAAATCCCCGACTACACCATCGGCGATATTCACAAGGCCATCCCCAAGCACTGCTTCGAGAGATCGGCTGCCAAAGGTCTGTACTATGTCGGTCGAGACATAGTCACCCTTGCCACCACCTTCTATCTCTTTCACCGTTTCGTCACCCCCGAGAACATCCCCTCTACTCCAGTAAGAGCAGGCCTGTGGTTTCTCTATACTGTCATCAACGGCCTGGTCGGCACCGGCTTGTGGGTTCTTGCTCACGAGTGTGGTCACCAATCCTTCTCCCCCAGCAAGGTTCTCAACGACACGGTCGGCTGGATTTGCCACTCTGCTCTGCTCGTTCCATACTTTTCCTGGAAAATCTCCCACGGCAAACACCACAAAGCCACAGGGAATATGGCTCGCGACATGGTCTTTGTGCCCGTCACCAAGGACGAGTATGCCAGCAAGCGAGGCTACCTCGTTCACCAGATTCAGGAGCTTGCCGAGGAGACCCCCATTGTCACCTTCTATGCCCTGATCGCTCAACAACTCGGAGGATGGCCTGCCTATCTCTTCTTCAACGTCACCGGCCACAACAACCACGAGTCTCAACGCGAAGGCCGCGGAAAAGGCAAGCACAACGGCTTCGGCGGTGGCGTCAACCACTTTGACCCCAAGAGTCCTCTGTATGAAGCCAAGGATTCATATTTGATCTTGCTCAGCGACCTCGGTCTCCTGATTACCCTGAGCGCCCTCTACTGGGTCGGCAAGACGTATGGAATGGCCAATCTCTTTGTCTGGTACATTGCACCCTATCTCTGGGTTAATCACTGGCTGGGTAAGTCGAACTCTCACACCCTCGTAACCAACTTGTTGCACGCTTGCTAACATGTCTTCTCGTTAGTGGCCATCACCTATCTGCAACACACCGATCCTTCCCTTCCCCATTATCTTCCTGAGTCCTGGACATATACTCGAGGCGCTGCGGCGACCATTGACCGTGAATTTGGATTCATTGGACGACACCTGATGCACGGCATCATTGAGACTCACGTTCTCCACCACTATATCAGCACCATTCCCTTCTACAACGCCGATGAAGCCACCGAAGCCATCAAGAAGGTCATGGGCCGTCACTACCGAAGTGACACCAAGGACGGCTCATTGGGATTCCTCAAGAGCGTGTGGAAATCTTTCCGCTGGTGCAACTGGGTCGAGCCGTTGGAAGGCACCACAGGCGAAGACGCCGGTGTTTTGTTCTACCGCAATCGAAACGGCTTGGGCATGCCTCCAAAGCCGGACCAAAAGTAAAAGACCGGTCTCATGGCGCGCTCCTGGGAGCGGGTGGCTTGTATCAAGGTTTTGTTGCAACCTCGACGGTTGCTGGTTAGATTCGCCACATGTACAGCGGGCGTATGGAGTTGTCGGCAAAAGGCTGCAGCATACGTTGGAGGGATGAAGCCACTCCCCCAACCACGACCTAGACGTTAGAATAGACGGAGACTATCAGATACCATAGAAATGATACTTGATACCCTCTTCGTGGGCAGACAACTGATCCATTCAAGTGATCTTTCCAATTAGGCCACGAGGGTTGAGCTCACGTGTCTGGATTTGAATGAGGCATGTTTTTGGCCATGATAGTGGTGCTTGTCTTGACCCCAGAGAGATCAGAGAGATCTTTCTGCCAATCATGGATGATGGATGTTGAATGTCAGCCAAGCTTCGGCCGTCCTAAGCTCAACATATCGTATAGGTAGTGCGGTGAGTATTTGGTCTGTTCATATGCATCCTTCATACTATAGTGGCAAGGACGTACCCCTCTCATACGTGAAGTCGACTGCATCTCAATCATTTACGGCCGAGTGCACACAGTATCCGGCCGATGCGTTCGACGGACCAAACAAACGTCCGATATTGCGAGCCAGTTGCTAGTCAATGGTCCGGTGTGACACCATCGTCTTTCTTGGGCAGGCAGCGTTCAGGCCCCCGTCTATACAGATCCACCACCTTTTCATCATTCGATGCAGATTAGATATTGGGCCAGATATCCCAGCCGTGGTCCATAGTTCGGGTTCAGGCCAGACGGGGATAGAATTGTGCCTACCGTGCGTACATAGTTGCACCAGTAAAGGTTTGGGCCTCTGCCGTCATCAAGGTCAGGATAGACCAATAGACAGTGCGTACTCGGTAAAGGCGAGTTGGGTCTGCTACTGGGCCACGACCCCCGCGTCCACCTAGGAAATAGTCTCGAGTGCCCCGGACACACAACGTGGGCGGGCAAACTTTGGTGCGCCCGCAGGCCCTGGACCAGATGTCCTTTATATAACTGACCTAGGCACCCTGAAATGCATGCCATATACTGTGACAAGAATCCAACTGGATTGCACAAAACGAAAAGGCACTTGACGTGGTTGATTGCCAGGTCAACACCCCTTGGGATCCCCATTGCAAATCAGACTACCCATTCACGGCCAGAAGCTCCTTAGATAAAATGACGGTGCAAGCCTACCTCGCGCCCAAAGCAAAACACCTCAGATCACAGGCACATTGGATCAGTAAAGGGGCAGCATTCCATGACCTGTTACGTATCAATTTCGACATTTCCACCTGGCTGCTCTTTGGTGCCTTGATCCAATCTCTGGTGGTCGTTCTCATTCCCCGGATTTATGCCTTCCTCCCTGTGGTGCTCGTGCTGTTGGTACGCTTCGCCAACACCATGGCCATCACGTTTGGTTTCAAGGCCAATCCCTACATGAAGGATGCCGTTCTCCATCGAGTGACACCACAAATCCCCAACGCCGACGGCCAATTTTCCGACGAAGCCTCGAATGAAAAGGTGACGGTCCTCTTTCTGGGATTCAAGTGCAACCATCCCTTGGGCATCTTTGCGCCCAACTTGAAGAACGTGGGCGATTTTTTCACTGGTATGGTTCGCCAGCTCGAAAAGAACCCAACCGAGCACGGCTTCTACGGAGGGTCGCAGTGGGCGCAGAATGATAAGAACGGGGCCATGGAGATCCTGTTTATTAGTTACTGGCGGTCCGCCGACGATGTCCATAGATATGCCTACGGCGACCTCCATCGCAAGACATGGGACTGGTGGATCTCGATGGACGAGAAGAACAAACACCTGGGCATCAACCACGAGATCTACGAAGTGGACCGAAGACACTGGGAAGGAGTCTACGTCAACTTCCAACCAACCAATCTCGGAGCCACCACATATCTCCAAAAGGGTGACAAGATGATCGGTGGTACGGTTGAGGATCAGTGGATTCATCCTCTGATCGATGCCAGGAGGGGCAAGTGGAGGACCAGTTCCGGGCGATTGGGACGACAGACGGATGCTTTGAAGGAGAAGTTTGGATATGATGGCTACGGGCCTGATGCCTAATTAGTGCATCGCTATATCACTGTGTTGGGCATGGATTTATGGATTTATGGATTTCTGATGAAATAGGTCAAGGAGAGAAGATTTCTGTATATGAAGCATTGATCATGATCATGATATGCGGTTTGTATGTGGATAACGGATGGCAGACGAGCTGGACGAGTGGGTATTGACCACGTGACTAGGATATCTCGGCACGGCGTAAATTTATTCCATGCCGCTACACTATGATGAGTGTAGTGGTGAGTGCCACAGTGGCTATCTAGGTGGCCACGCCAGATACTTGGACGCTATTACTCATACGGGTATAGATTTGAGTATGATACCAGTCAAGCCCCAAACGGATCGATACCTATTTGTCAGGTTGGACCGATTCAAATGTACTAAAGACGAACTACCTACGGAGATAGGTAGCTATGAACCGACCTAGGGAAAACGACGAACAGCAACACTGATGAGGAAATCACCTCGGCTCTTTGGTTTTGGCGTCTCGGACTCTTAGGTATGGAGATGTACAGTAATTCAGCGAGCGCCTGCCCAGACATGAACAGGGACAAGTAATACTTGGGGAGCTCCTTCCCCGCATCTCCAGACTGATGGTGACTTCCCGTCCTTGTCAGTAGTGATACTCGTAGTTGCACAAATTTGTGCACCCATCGTGCCTTCCCTTTCCATTTCCCATGTCATGACGCCAAACGCGCTTCTCGACTTTTATGCCGCAGTCTGTCTGCCTTTTCTCACTTCTCGTCCGTAACCTCAATCCACCAAAAGCACCTCTTGTATCCATCGCCCTCTCTCGATTGGGGCCTCTAACCCCGTATCGGGTTAAGCTCACTGTTGTCTTTCACTACTCCGTACATACAACGCGGCGTCGCCCAGAACCTGATCTGCCTCGGTAAGTCCCACTGCGTCGGTCACCACGCAGCATCAATGATCCTGTCGCCTGGCTCGACTCGATTCCGTCCTTCTCGTCCGGGGTCAGAAGGTAAATATCTCCTCATCACCCTCCAGCCTCTTCACCATCTCTTCGCAGTCCCATCCGTGTCAAGTTCCATCTCGCTCGTACAGCCCCTTCGACAATATCGTCCCCGTCCTTCCTCACGTCCTTCGTCCCCAGCCAGTCATGCCCTATAAATCACGCTGGTCGGTCCCTATTCCAGACTGCTCACTGTCGACCTTTCTCTTCCAGTCGCCCCACGTCGACCTGGGCGACAGCGTCGCCTTCTACGAGGCCGCTCGTCCTGAATCACACTACATCACTCGTAACCAGTTCCGGCTATGGTGTCAACGCTTTGCGCTTGGCCTTACCAGGTCAAAACACTTCAAAAAGGGTGATCGCATCCTGCTGTTCAGTGGCAATGATCTCTTTGTCCCTGTAGTCTTCATGGGGACCCTCACTGCCGGTGGTATCTTCACCGGTGCTAATCCAACCTTTGTCCCCAGAGAGCTGGCCCATCAGTTGACTGACAGCGGCGCCACATATCTTCTCTGCTCTGACGCCGCCATCGATACCGGCATCGAGGCCGCGAAATTGGCAGGGCTTGATCCACAGGAGAGGGTCTTTGTCTACAACTCCAAGATCTATGACGGCCACACTCAGGGCGTCAAGGGCGTCAAGTACTGGAGTGACCTAATCGCCCCCGAATCTGATGCTAGTTCCTTTCAGTGGGATGATTACTCGGGCCCCGGTCAGAGTGACACCACTCTCGCTCTCAACTACTCCAGTGGCACAACTGGCGTCCCCAAAGGTGTCGAAATCACCCACAAAAACTACATCTCCAACACTCTCCAGGTTGCCCACATGGCCACCCTTTATCCCGACCACGAACAACGAAGCCTCCGAGCCCGTTGGCTTTGCTTCTTGCCTTTGTACCATGCCTACGGCCAGACATTCTTCGTGGCTGGTGCTTTCCATCGCAAAGTCCCCGTCTACGTCATGCCCAAATTCGACTTCCTCCTGTTACTCGAGTACATTCAGAAATTCCGCATCACAGACCTCCACACAGTCCCCCCCATTGCAGTCGCCCTCGCCAAACACCCCGCTGTCGAAAAGTACGATCTGAGCTCGGTCGAGAGCATCGGTTGTGGCGCTGCTCCTTTAGGTCGGGATATTTGTCTGCAGATCGAGAAGAGATTGGGAGACCGCTTAAACATGAAGCAAGGATGGGGTATGACCGAGTAAGTCAATCAAAATGCATTGTTCTTGCACCTTTTGTGAAGCACTCTAACACCATTGCCACCTAGATGTACCTGCTCCCTCTTGGGGTGGGATGTGAACAAGATTTCCACCTCGGCCGCCGTTGGTGAGCCCAATGCAAATTGCGAAGCCAAGATCATGTCTGAAGACGGAACTCGCGAGATCACAGAACGCGGTCCCGCCCACGTTGGAGAACTCTGGTGCTACGGCCCCAATATTATGAAGGGATACTGGCACAACCAGAAAGCCACCGAGAACACATTGACTCGGGATGGATGGTTAAAGACTGGAGATATTGCCTATGTCGACCAAGATGGCATGTTTTTCATCGTCGATCGCTTAAAGGAACTCATCAAAGTAAAGGGTAACCAAGTTGCCCCCGCGGAACTTGAGGCGCTATTGCTGGAGCACGAGGCTATAGCTGATGCCGCCGTCATTGGCATGCCAACCGATGACGGGGATGAGAGGCCGCGGGCCTTTATTGTCCGACAAGTCGGTCCGGCAGGCGAAAAATTGACCGAGTCAGACGTGAAGAAATTCATAGAAGCGAAGGTGGTCAGATACAAGAGGCTGACGGGCGGAGTCGAGTTCCTTGATGCCATACCCAAGAATCCATCGGGCAAGATCTTGAGAAGACAGCTGAGAGACACCACGAGAGAGCGATTGAGGAAAGAAGGAGCGAGATTGTGAGGTTGTTGGCAAGAAGAATGACGTGGATCTCGAGATGTGGTGTCACCGGGAATCACCATCCTCTCCAGAATCTAGCCCTCTTCCTCCTTTCCAACCAACCGGCTACTGCCGATCGCGATTCAGACTGGCTGATGTTGATCCGCAGTCGAATTCCCCATTTTGGGACACTCATAGAAGAGAGCCTTTCAAAATCCAAATATAGGTCTTGAGATGTCTATAGATCTCCACGTTGTCTGTTGTGTAGTATAGGTTTAGAATGATTAGAACCCAGGATGGCAAATATTCAAGAAGACATCTAAAGGATGCCTTCCATCAAGAATTAGCATAGAATGGAGAGGATGTCGTACTGTACTCGAACCAAATGACATTTATTATCTCTTGGGACATCTCCGACCAAGACGGAATAGTTTTCCTTTTCCCAATTCCGCTTCAAAGAATGAATCCTGCCAGCCTGCCAGGCTACCAAGTCATGCGGAGACGCCCGAGGGTCCCCTCGGCCTTCCCCAGTCTCCCCACGCTTGCTCCTCCACGAGAAAGGAAAGCTATCTTGCTGTCCAATAGTAAGCCCTTGGGCGTGGTGCGATTTTGGAGAATTGCTGGTGGTGTAGGTGATGAAACATGGGGTGGCTAGCTGGGTGACCTTTCCTTTGAATTGTCCTATGATTGATATCAGACGAGGGGGAAATGACACTGCCGTCCGATGCGGTGCTTTTTTATTCTTCCCATACCAACATTGATTCAGTGACAATTATTCCGACGTTCCCCCATGATTAGGCCGCTCTTAAACAACAGAGGACGTTCGCTCTAAGCATCAATCAATCACACTGGTATGGGCTCCTTGGACTCCCCGTCACATCAAAACTTGGATGTCTTGATCATCGGCGCTGGCTTGTCTGGAGTCTGCAGCCTACATCACATTCGAGAGCGCTTTCCATCATGGAAGGTCAAAGTTTTGGAGGCTGGTTCGGACGTTGGTGGGACATGGTACTGGAATCGATACCCTGGTGCTCGCTTTGACTCGGAATCTATATCCTATGGCTTTTCTTGGGACAAGGAGCTACTGAATCAATGGCATTGGAAAGAGTCATTCTCGCCTCAGCCTGAAACCCTCAAATATATCCAACTAGTCAGCCGTAAGCACAACCTGTACAAGGACATCCAATTCAACACACGAGTCAAATCCGCCACCTGGAACGATGAGCACCATCTGTGGTCCGTCGCTGACGGACAAGAACGCCAATACAACTCTCGTTTCCTTATCAGTTGCATCGGTTTCCTTTCGGAACCGACGCTCCCTGATATAAGTGGCGTGGAAACCTTCCAAGGGGAGTCATTCCACACGTCACGGTGGCCAAAAGATTTTGTGCTCAGTCGTGATTTCAAAGACAAGCGGATCGGCATCATTGGCACTGGAGCCACGGGCATTCAAACCATCACAGAGCTTGCAAAGGAGCCCAGCATTAAATCTCTAACCGTCTTCCAGCGGACAGCCAATTGGTCGGCGCCCCTTCGCAATTTTGACATTTCTACCCAACAGATGGCTCAATACCGAAGCGATTATGATGCTATCTTCAAGAGATGCAACGAAACTCCCATGTGTTTTCTCCATCAGGCTGATCCGCGCAAATCCGCCCATGTGACGGATGAGGAACGCCTCAAGCTGTGGGACCAGATGTACAATGAACCTGGATTTGGTAAATGGCTTAGCGTCTTCAGCGATACCTATACTGATCGTACTGCCAACAAACTCTATTCCGACTATATGGCAGAAAAGATCCGGCAGCGAATAGTCGATCCTCAAGTCGCTCAAGATCTTATCCCTCATAGCCACGGGTTTGGTACTAGACGAGTCCCACTCGAAAGTGGATATTTTGAGGTCTATAATCGACCTAATGTTCACTTGATCAACCTCCAGCGAACACCGATTGACCGGGTCTCAGAGAAGGGCATCATCACCTCGGACGGCGTAGAGCACAAACTAGATGTGCTGATTTTTGCCACGGGTTTCGATGCCATCACCGGAGCTTTCGGTGCCATTGACTGGAAGGCTAAGGGTGGACGCCCGCTCGTCGGCGAGAGCGATACAGAAAAAGGTCACACACCTATCTGGCCCGACCATCGACCACGCACTTTTCTGGGACTAACTGCTCCATCCCTGCCGAATCTCTTTATGGTTCTCGGGCCTCACCAGCCATTTGGAAATGCCACTCGCAGCATCGAACATGCTGTCGATGTCATCACCGAGCTGCTCCAGTTCTGCGAGGACCATAACTATACCTCGGTGGAGCCCGAGGAAGATGCCGTTGACGCATGGACAGACCACGTAGTCGAGTGTAGCAAGGGTCTCTTGTCAAACGAGGTCGACAGTTGGATGACTGGGGTCAATAAAAATGTCAAGGGCAAAACTGTCCGCAGCGTGGCTAGATATTCTGGAAGCGCCATTGAATTTCGTAGGAGATGTGAAGAGTGTCGAGCCTCTGGCTGGAAAGGCCTGGCTTTCGCTTCACGCTAGACAATATTTACTTCGGTCTTGTAGATAGCAACATGGTATTGCGTAGCGTAACCAACACATCTATGATCGAGCGTTGAATTTTGGCCCAGGCCCTTGTTCGACTCAGTATTGGATCAAGAATTTTTCCGGCATTCATTTCGAGGGTAACTACTTAGGCTCAGAGTCAAGCCTGAGCAATTCCCGAGGATCAACGTACCTCCATCATGTCAAGTGCGGAGAACTGCCTTGGGAGTTAGAGAAAGGTTCATGTCAACAGATACAAAAGCCCAGAGGCCCCCACACTGGCACTCCCATTCACGATCTACCATAAAGTCTAGAGCAGGCCCGAGGTATGAGTTGAGATTGTGAGCCGCAAAAACAACACATTTTGCACTCTTGGATATAGGATCTGCTTTTCTTGTGTCCAATCAATACTCTAATTGCATTCAGGTCAATTTTATCAGCTTCCAGCACAAGAGATGGACGTATCAGGCTATGCGCTGATTACTGGGGCAGCATCAGGTATAGGTCGAGCATGTGCCCTTACACTAGCCCGCGACGGTGCTAAAGGGGTAGCGCTGCTGGATATCAATCAAGAAGCACTGCTTCGAGTCAAGGGTGAGATTGAAAGTCAACAACAAGCAGCCACGAGTTCCAGCCAGGTCCAGATCGAAACGAGAATTCTTGATGTGCGAGACGAAGAGCAAGTTAACCAGGTGGTCAACGATATTGCTCAGACATTTGGCCGAATTGACTATATTATCAACGCAGCGGGCATTGCAAAGAAACATGAAGGAGGTGCCGCATATGCCGAGACTCAAGACTGGCAGAGAGTAATTGACATCAATCTCACGGGAACCTTCTTTGTCCTCCGCGCCGGCGCAGGCATCATGCTAAAACAAGAACCCATCAAATCGACCATCGATGGACGCCCGCTCCAGAGAGGAAGCATCGTCAATTTGGGATCCATCCTTGGGGCCGTGGGTGTCCCTCTGTCCACCGCATACACCGCCTCCAAGCACGGCGTCCTCGGGCTCACCAAGACCGCCTCAGAGGATTATGCTAAAGACGGTCTCCGCATCAATGCCATCTGCCCGGGCTATACAGAGACCCCCATGACCATGGTCAACCCTTTAGTCCGACAAATCACCGCCGACAAGGTTGCCACCGAGGTGCCCATGAAGAGAATGGGCACAGCTCAAGAAATTGCGGATGGCATCGTTTATCTCTGTGGTGGGAGAAGTTCCTTTGTCACAGGAACATCGTTATTTATTGATGGCGGCTATACTCAGAGATAGAGCCTTCAAAGTCCTTGAACATTTTGTGCTTCGCCGCTTTTTGCCTCTCTTCATGCCTTTCATTTCTTGTGTCTGAGAATCACTGCCTGCCTCCACATTTATACCATTCATGTTCCAAAGGCCAGATGAAGCCCGCTGTGTCGTGCAGGGATCCCAATGATCATAGCGGCAATGTCGACAATCAGGATGGGCCTTGTATCATACAATTCATCAAGTTGACGTACCATCTGCATCGCCGCGACAAGAGAATGGTCCCTCAACCAACTGGTTTCTATCTGCCTTGGCTAGTCATGATCTCTCGTCATCATCGCCTTCCCTTCGTAGAGCCGCCAGCGCCAGGCGAATTTCTCGTGTAATTTTGGCGTCCAATTCATCGCCATTACCAGCTTTCTGCGCCGCTGCTTCGCGCTCATCGGTGGGTACGGTCATCCTCTTCCTCAGCTCCGGTTTCAGTGCCAAGACGTCCCTTAAGTCATCCATGATCGCCTTTCTGTGCTCGTCATATCCGGCCAGAGGAAGGACATTCTCAGGGTCCACTGCCGCAGACGCACCTGCTTGTCGATAAGACGATAGCATGAAAGAGATGAGTGCAAGCGTGCTGGCTTCGTTCACCACAGGCAAAGTCAAGACATCTGTGCCTTCCTTGCGTGTATGGAGAGTCAGCATGAAACTACCGCTGGCTCTTGCAAGTTGGTTGGGGAATGAGTTCAAGAAACTGGAAATTTCCTCGGAAATACCACCACCCACGGCGTGGAGGAGGTTTAAGCAAAGGGGCAGAAGACCACCAGCCCATATCTTATACAGAGTTGTGCAGTGGGGTCTCTGGTCATGATGAGATACGCCTCCTGGTACTCGTTGCAGCACCTCGGTTGTCTTTGAACTCAGTATTCGACTGAGAACTCCTTCGATAGCCAGTTCTTCCGCAACAAGCGGAAGCGATGAGACAGATGCCAATATTTGGGCACACAAATCCGCATATCGAGGCTCGTGGTCATCTTCGGGTCTCGTGAGTAGATGTGACCAGGAGTAGAGCAGCAAACAAGATGAGATCATTCCCGAGGAAGAAATGCGATTCGATAGTTCTGAAGAGAACTGTGAAAGATTCGGTAGTCTCAAGATTGTTTGCAATATTGTCATCAGCAAGCAGACATCTCGCTCACCCACCAGAGTGCCACCCTCTTTACTGATTTTGGAAGGACTAAGCTTCTGCTCCTGGAGTGTCGACACCACTGTCTTGAATCCATCTGTGACAAGGCGTGACGCAATCTCCAGAAAAGTGACATTTGCAGGATCCAGTGCAATTACTGAGGTATTTGTCCCTGGCACCGTTGTTGATTTTGGACTTCTGTTGACGTGAAATCGAACGACCATCAAAAGGACATAGAGAATTGATCGCCAGTAGAGGAGGTCATTGTTGATAATAGCCAGTTCATACGAGCCACTGCGAGCTCTGACAGCACTCCAGGCAGGCTCGAGCAAACCCGAAATGCTGGAGCTCTTTGCGTTAACGGAGAGGAGTGTCTGTAATAACGCAATAGACAAGTCTGCTCGCGTCTGAAACAAGTCATCGAACAGACTTTCAGGTGGATATGCCTCCGAGTTGCTAACCAAACAACTTTGGACGATAAAAGCCAACAGCTTTTGATCCTCTCGCTCCTGTGCAAACAGGCCGCAGTGTTCGACACAAAAGTGTTGAAGACTGAACAGAAGGGTCAGTTGTGAGTCTACAAGAGAGAGGTTGGCATTTGCCCGCCGGAACTCAGACGAGAAAGAGCTACCGGCTTCTTTGTCTTTCCCACCGGACCAATATGGGTCTGAGCCCAGAAATCGGCTGGCAAAATCAACATCGTAGAAGAAGTTCCCCCCATAGCGTCGTTCAATAAGGCCCGTGCGCCGGATCGCAGAGACAGCAAGTCCACGGTACTTTGCGGCGAAATTCCTCTTTAAATTTGCGTGCAGTGAAGCGTTGTAGGACGAGACTTTGATAGCGTTTTCACCGAGCCATCTGAGTAGCGGTACGTATTGTTTGATGGCATTTCGATCCTGGGCCAATTTCGAATGGTGGAGGTGAATTGTAGACAGATCCGTGATTAGAGCAGCAATTGAGTTGTGGAGAGCCATATTAGTCTGTTCATTATCTTCGATACGAGACTCGACGATGAAGGATATCGTCTTCGCGAAAAATTCATCGGATGTCTGAAGACTTTCCGTTACCCACGCCCAGGTTGATTGAGCCTGAAGCACGAACTTGAGCATGGATATGGTGACGTTATGTGGCAAGGTAGAGATGTTCATAAGCTGCTTGATTGCAATTTGCAAAAAGGGCATGCCTCGTAGTGACTGCCCAGGCGGTTTCAGGTCTTTTGCTCTTTTAGAAGCGTCTGGAGAAGAACCACTGAGTATTACGGTGGCCAACCAATGCTGGGAGCCCCTTACAAGAAGGGGCAAAAGTCTCCAGACCTCATCCCGTGATTTGCTCGAGATGGATGACTGATCAATGTGTTTTAGCAAATGGAGGAAGTCGAGAGATGACGTCGAGCCAAGGACCGCGAGCAATGATGACGGTTTGTTGTTGTCAATACAAGTCAAGAGAGAGCGGAGTAGTATCAGAGTCGTTGGTCGTATCTGTGGGTAAGAGTGGAGGATGCGTATTAAGACTGGTAGAGTATGAAACATTTGAATCTCGTGTGAGGACAGTGGCAAATCCTGGACTTGGCCGTACCTAGTGACTAGAATAGCCAGCTCCAAGCCAGCTTTAACCTGGCCTTCAGCATCATCCTCTTCTGGGCCGCATTCAGTAAACGTCACGTCCAGGAAGAATTTGATTATGGGTCCCATGGAGACATTGTCTGTCAAAGGGAACCGGAGTGCATTCACCAGGAACTCTGCAGCTGGCATGAAGGGGACAGATGTCTCTTGGGATGACTTCACCGAATCTCCAAAGTTGAACGCAAATGATATTGTGTCGGAAAATGCCTTCGCGAGGCGTGATCGGATTCGAGCGGCTTGCTCCTGGTCTGCAAAAGGCCAATCCTGAATTTGCTGAAAGACGCCAAACATGATTTCTGTCGATGCGAGCAGAGTGGGAGCTTGGTTCCGAGAGAGGAAGGACTTGTGGGTTATTGTACCTCTTGCCGGTTCCATTTTCGATACAGCATCATCACGGAGTGGTGGATGAAGGGCCAATTTGATCAGAGTGTGGTGCAGAACAGAGCATCGCTCCAAAAGGTCATACTTGCGGAGAGGAATTTCCACTACGGAGATGATGCCCATTATGAGGCCTCCTTCAATCTGCCGATTGAACAGGCTCGTCCGGTTGATGGCTGGCCAAACTTGACCTGGTCGAATCTTGGTGTAAATGATGACAAAGTCGAGGCACGCGGTCAGAACTCTGCAGTCAAAGCTTGACACCGAACGTCGTCGGAATGCTTGTAACTCCTGCTCAAGGATCTCGAAAGCAAGTGTCACAAAATCAGTGTCCTGGCCCAGGTGGGTGCTTAGCTCCTCGAGGATTCGAGTCGCATGTCGTTGAGCTTCATGTGTACTCGTTGGATGTTCAGAGAACACTGTTGTCAGCAGGACAGCTACCAAGGATAAGACTTCGGCAGCTACTTCTTCACAAGATTCGAAGTTCGAGAGTACAGTCGGTGCCAAGCCCATGTAGTACATTTCGAGGAGTTTGCCAATGTAGCCGAAGCCAGAATACTCATGCTGCCATCTGATTACGGGGAGCTGGGAGTCACCAGAAATGACATTTCCAATGGTATTTGGAGGCATAAGTTCCACGGTCTGTGGCTGCCGTTCGGAATAAGCGAGTAGCAGGTGCTGAGACATATCAAGCAGGTTCACAGCCTTGGTGAGGGTGACCAGATTCGCGTTTTCGTTTTCCCGTGTGGTATTGAACTCGACGTCTCGAATTGCGGCCTGCGTGAAACTGTCGAGGCTCCTCAATCGGTGTTCCACGAAGTGAACCCCATGGTCAAAAACCTTGGCCTTTGCCAATTCCTTGGAGAATTTCAGAAAGGGCAGTGCCTCGTATGGAAATCTCGCTGCTGAGACTTCATAGAATCCTTGAAGTAATGAGTCATCCTCTAGCATCGCCATCGTCGAGTCGAATAGAATTGGACCGACTTGGGGAGACTTCTTGGGGGCCATTAGCGCGAGCTGGGCTGAGACTAACTCTGGTGTGTAGCTAAGAAAGGGAAGTGAAACAGTAACAAGCTCTTGCAGGGTTTGTAGTTTGTAGGCAGAAAGCATTGTTGTGGCACTCTGGGTCTCGAGACCTAAATCGGCAATGAAATCGAATGCATGGCAATGTCCAACAGCCGCTTCAAGCATAAGGTCGACCATCTCCAGCTTCTCGTTGGTCGCTGGATCATCTGGGCTGCCTTCTTTGATTGTGTCCCAGACATCTTCAAAGACAGATTGTTGGATGGAAGACCCACCACTACTAGACGCACGACGTCCAGTTGCCGCGTCAAAAGTTGCGACCCCATCTGTCAGTCGGGTCTGTGTGCTCCCTTCACGGTGATCTCGAGATTCCAAGGCGGACCGGCGAATCTGTTGCAACACGATGGCCCAGGACAAAATCACCACGCTTGCCGACTCATTTCCAGCCAAGGCTGGACCAGCCAAAAGGCCATTAATCTCGCCAGCGGCTTCCGGATCAAAGAAATATGAGTTCGGGCGCGAAGAACGGACAGATGAGTTTGAAGAAGCAGCTTCGGCCAAAGTTGAGATAGAATGCCCTAGATTGAACAGACTCGCACTTGTAAGAGCTGCGGCGGCCTGCAACCTCTTGATCGTGTTTTGTTGCCTAGGTATAATGGAGGTGAAGGAGTCAAAGAATCCATACGCAAGCATGAGCCTGAGCCATGAGAGCAAAGAGTCAGTTGAGGGCGGGGTGTTACTGCTTCTGACTTTGACGAGAACTTCTTCTATTGTGGCAGCAACAAGTTGGAGGGTAGATGTGTGGAAGGCATCGTCTAGAGTTGGCCATTGGTTTTCGTTGAGGTCCCACTTGTGGGGAGAGTGTAGATCGATAAGCTGCGTTGAAATGACATTCAGATATGCTTGCAGACTCTCATCAAGGCTTTCATTTGGTGCGTTTGCCAGCACATCGGCGGCAAGACCGCTAAGCTTGGGGAACCAGTATGGAAGCTGCTCGGGCAACGCTTGAAGATCGAGAAGTTCTCGATGTATGCGAAGGGCCACGACCTTCTGTTCCAAAAACCGGGATATGAGTCTTGAGCGACGTGCATCTAGCCCATCAAAATCAAGGTCGTCGCCACGGGTCTTGAGCTGCCTTGCAGTGTCCAGATGGCCGGTACGCTGAATTTGCCCGAGGCTTGCACTTTCAGCCTCGGAGAGGCCATGACTGATACGAGCTTCTGGTCGATACTGCCACTCCAAGACCACTACCCGCAAAGATTCTAGCTCATCCAGATTCTCTTGTTTGCTCAACCACAAGGCGTCGGATTTGATCTGAGCGACATCATAGAGATCGCTAACTGTGGGTATTGCACCAGCGGTGGTGTCGAAGGCGGTTTTGGAGTTGGTGGAGGGTGAAGGGAAGGTGGGAATCGTCTGTGAGAGGACGTGCTTGGGGCGGTCCCCAGACAAAATTTCGATGGCTTTCTCACATCTCCTGGGATCATGAGACAGGATCGCATCCAAAAGATCATCCCAAGATCTGTTGGATTTGCAGTTAGTCAAAGTCCGTATGAAGCGTAGGGAAATGCGTACGATAGCAGTAAGTCGCCCGTGAAGCATTTGCCTAGATCCGGCAAGTACACAGGGCTCAGTGACCCAGGCGCCATTTCGACAGGGGGAGAAAATGAGTTTAGAAAGCCATCTGTAATTGATGGGTTGAGGTCGCAGACTGGCTTGCGTCCAACGAGAAGTTGTTGATACTAAAATGTTTGAAGTTCGACGGAGAAACAACGCGTGAGTGACGACGGGATATTGCGCGAACAGTGACTTGTCTGGCCGTATATATCTTGGCATGAATTACGGCAAAGCATTACACTTCACTCCCCATCTCTGTCTTCATTTGAGCAATCAGAACTACATGGTCCAGCATTCGCTACTGATATCAGGGACTCCATTGATGCCACTAATAGTGTTATTGTCGAGTTGTTCGGCCGGGTGGTTAGTAAAATAGCAGTCACATCGCTCAGCAGCGAGGTGTGATCCACATGAGTCTTGGAATTTCTGATGATCCAACATCGTAACCCGAATACGCACGTAGACGGCCAAGCTCGACCGCACGAATAATTTTACAACTTCGCGTCTCTTCATTGCATCGACTTGATATGATAGCTCTGAGAAAGTGGCGTCTATCGAGTCCAACCTTTTGAAGCTATGGCTTCACTGCCCGTCAGGTCTAAATCTCTCACTCTTATAGCCGGCACCTCCGCCGCCCTGTTACTGACATGGGGGTCCCTCGTCAACAATCGAGTATCCCCAGTCAAATCATCAGCCTTCGAGGTCAAGAACGAAGGTCCTCCATCGTTGATGGCATCAAACACGTGCCAGGTCGTGGTGAACCCTAGACACCACATGTCCTTCTCCGACCAAAGGACTATGCACATCAGACTCCCATCCAGCAAGAGGCATTGGTCAGATGAGGAAATTCTGTCCTCATTCGTGCAGGGGTTTTTTGGCGGCTGGACGTTGTACCCCGAATCTTTAGTCCTGAAACTGATCCGCCGACGCTGGGTCGATTTTTCCGGTATGTTAGTATTGAACCTTTACTAGGTATAGCTGTGCTTATCTGTATGCCAGCCATGAAAGGCCAAGGCGTGCCCCTGTGGTCTTTGAATGATCTAGAAAGAGGACACCTTCCTGCGCTGGGCTCGAAGCTGTTTGGGGCATTTCAAGTCGTCGACAGACAGATTGACGTGCAAACATCGAAACCTGGGACAGATGGGACTAAATCAAGCTATATTGACTTCGGCTACGGCTCCGAAAAGTCCCAGTTTGCGGGTTTTCACCGATTTATGATCTGCCGCGATAAGGCAGTCGAGACCACCCAGAATGGTGCCACCGAGCGCGATGGGATGGTGACGATTATATTTGCGTCGATGACATGCAATCCAACAGTTGACAAACCCTTTGCACCAAGCGTACTCTTAGGATTTCACTCTATCTACGCTTCCTTGCTATTCCGGGAGGGAATAGCCCGAGTCCTATCAGAATAGCGTCACGATTTACTGCAATCTCTCCCCTTCATGATGTACCAACAGTTGAAGATGGAGTTCAAGGTATTGGAATAGAATAATGAGATGTACGGAAACAAACACCGCCACACCGGCCCTCACTAGCCACCTATTACTAGCCACGTGCCACTTCCACCTAGCCACATTTACCCGCCACAAAAGTCCGGAGAAACTGCGGTCCGAGAACTGATGAAACTGATAGTTTGATGTAGATATCAACATGTACCACTTCTTGAATTATGACTCCAACCTGCTGATCCCAGCGCACGCCTCCTCGCAACCCCTTGTTGTTTACTATATAACAGAAGCAGACACGGCGCAGACAGAGTCAAGCGGCTACCTTCACTTGTTGTCCATCCACGCGCGCCATGTCTCCCTCTGCCCTCATCGATCACTCCCCACAACATCCTACTCCTGCGAAGAAGCTGGCTTCTGCCTCGAATCTCATCCTCATCGACAACTACGACTCCTTCACATGGAACGTCTACCAATACCTCGTGCTAGAGGGTGCCACCGTCACAGTCTTTCGGAATGACAAGGTGACCTTGGACGAACTGATCGCAAAAAACCCCACACAACTCGTCATCAGTCCAGGTCCTGGCCACCCAGACACCGATGCAGGAATCAGTAAAGATGCCATTAAATATTTCGCTGGCAAGATCCCAATACTGGGGGTCTGCATGGGACAGCAATGCATTATCTCGGTCTTTGGTGGGAAAGTGGATGTAACAGGCGAAATTCTTCACGGCAAGACTTCTCCTCTCAGACACGATGCTAAAGGCTGCTATACCTCTCTGCCGCAAGATCTGCCTGTAACGCGCTACCATTCTCTTGCAGGCACTCATCCCACTCTGCCTGCCTCCTTGGAGGTGTCGTCTTGGATCGCCAAAGGCCCTGATGGTGGGAAAGGCGTCATCATGGGGGTCCGTCACAAGGAATTCGTCATCGAAGGCGTCCAGTTTCACCCCGAAAGTATCCTAACTGAGCAGGGCACTGTCATGTTCAAGAACTTCCTGAGCATGTCCGGTGGTAAGTGGGCGGATAATCCACAGGTTTCCCAGCCTTCTCAGCAGGCCACTGCGACCGCCAACGGACAGCCAAAGAAACAAAACATCTTGGATAAGATATACGCCAATCGTCGGAGACAAGTCGCTGAACAAAAGCTCGTCCCTTCTCAACGTCCAGAAGACCTTCAAGCTGCTTTCGATCTTGGCCTTGCGCCTCCACAGGTTTCTTTCCCCAAACGACTGCGCCAATCGCCGTACCCTCTCTCCCTACTTGCCGAAGTCAAACGTGCATCTCCTTCCAAAGGTATCATAGCCCTCAACACGTGTGCTCCTGCTCAAGCCAGGAAGTATGCTGCAGCCGGCGCAAGCGTCATCTCTGTCCTCACGGAACCTGAGTGGTTCAAAGGAAGCTTGGAAGACCTGCGTTTGGTGAGACAGAGTCTCGAAGGCATGCCCAACCGCCCTGCCGTGCTTCGAAAGGAGTTCATCTTTGAAGAATACCAAATCCTTGAAGCTCGCCTGGCAGGTGCAGACACCGTCTTACTAATTGTCAAAATGCTCGACACCCCAACACTGACTCGACTTTATCACTACTCCAGATCTCTAGGAATGGAACCTTTGGTCGAAGTTAATACTGCCGAGGAGATGAAAATTGCCGTCGACATAGGCTCAGAAGTCATCGGTGTCAATAATCGTGATCTCACTAATTTTGAAGTTGACCTCGGCACGACCAGCAGATTGATGGACCTCGTGCCTGAATCAACCATAGTTTGTGCATTGAGTGGGATATCCGGCCCACAAGATGTCCAAGCCTACCGCAAGGATGGTGTCAAGGCCGTTCTGGTCGGAGAATCGCTGATGAGAGCCTCAGACACAGTCGCGTTCATCTCGAGATTGGTCGGAAATCCAGATGTTAACCCGCCAAAGAAAAGGAGGATACCTCTTTCTGTAAAGATTTGTGGTACTAGGACTCCTGCTGCTGCCAAAGCTGCCATCGAGGCTGGGGCAGATTATATCGGCATCATCTTAGTTCCTGGAAGGAAACGCTTCGTTTCGGATGAGGTTGCTTTGCAAATTGCACAGATCGTCCGCTCAACCCCGAAACCGCATCAACCAAAGCGGGAGCCAATGGAAATTGGCTCATCGGACTTTTTCGATCACTCGTCTCAGACACTGGTCCGACCAGACCGTGCTCAATTGGTCGGTGTTTTTGCAAGCGCAACAGTTGAACACATCATCCAACAAGTGTACAAGCTCGGTCTTGACATTGTTCAACTGCATGGCGATGAGCCTATTGAATTCGCTAGGAGCATACCCACTCCCGTTATTCGCAAGTTCTCGCCAGATGACCAAGGCTTGTCGACCAGAGGTTATCACTACCTGCCCCTTCTTGATGCAGGTGCTGGCGGCACCGGCAATCGTGTTGACCCTGACCGGGCCAAGTTGCTTTTTGATAGAGACCCAGGCGTCAAAGTCATCATGGCTGGAGGACTCTCACCAGATAATCTGTCCGAGGTGGTTGGTCTACTCAGTCAATACAGGGACAACCTTGCTGGGGTGGATGTTTCAAGCGGTGTTGAGACCGATGGCGAACAGGATTTGAAAAAGATCACAGCTTTTGTCACAACCGCCAAAAGTCTGTGAATGCTTGAGCTTTCTCCGTCATTTTTAACCACGTCACTGTGATGAAGATGGCATTAGCGACTGCCAGCCCTGGACCATACATCATCGGCAGCGCACTTACACTCAGGTACACCTTGCAATGCCAGTGCGCCTTTGATGTGTCAGCACAGGTCTTTCCGAGTCTTGAGTGGAGGGTTCGTTCGACATACAAGACATGAATGTATGTGGGCTGCAGAACTCTAGCCATAGAAGTACGCAGGGCAATGCCTATTGACAGACGCCTCAGAGGTCCCGGGTAGGATTAAGATACAATTGGAAAAATTACATTCACTGGTTTGTCTCAGATCCATAATTCTCCCATGTGCTTGTTTGTCCACAGTTCTCCTGCTGAATTTGTTTCCATCTATCGTGGCTGGCTACATATTCAATCTCTCTGTCCATCTCGTCTGGCAAATTTTTTCCTCTTTCTTCCATTACTAAAATTTCTAGTCTGTACTCGGTCATCCTCACATGCTTTTAGTATCTGTTCTCTGATCGTTAATGAGCACGGATATGAGCATGAGTGCGAGTCCCGGAGCACATGCGTTTACATGTCGTCGTTTCTGTCTATAAAGAGTGATTCTCCTTCTCCCAAACTCGTTTCTCCCTTTACCAAATCACCTACTCACTGGTGTTCAACGTCCTCTCACTTACTATATCACTCGATTAGGCCCTGTCCTGCTTCCGGCAACGGCAACGGCAACGCGCTTACCGATATCACCATTTTTAGCCTGAATATCATCCTGGTTTGGACAAGAATATGACTTGAGTTTACGCATTCAAAAGTCTCAAGCCTCTCTCACAAACTTCTTCCGAGGTTAGTTTCACAAGATCTGCGAAGATGCCTGGAACATTCTCCTCCCTCGTCGTTGCATCAACAAACGATTTTCCCGGAACACAGAACGAAAGCATCAAACGCTGGGTCGAAGCCAATGGTGGAGTCTTCATCAAGCAGATCAGTGAAGATGTGACACATTTGATCTGTAGCAAAAAGGCTTGGAAGCAATATCATCCTACGGGTAAGTTGGTCTTGTCGTCCAACCTTGTATGCTACAAACAACCGGCCATTGCTTGCCCGATCCATCCTGATTGCATTCTTGCGCACACAATGATGCAGACAACTCATCAGAAAGTCTTCCTCCTTGGTGAACATGTGGACAATGAGGTCAAGTCTTGAGACCGGTGCCGAAACCTTGCCAATCTCAAATACAACATATTTTGAAATCAATCCTGTCAGCCACACCCTGCCAACTTTGGGATTGAAATTCGCCATCGACTTGTGCCGACAAACCACGACAGGACCATCCTTGAACACCTAGACACTTCTATCCCTTTCAACCTCTGATTTGTTCCACAATCTCGAATCATTAGATCTAACACCATTCACAGTGAAAGCAGCTCGACACGCCCGAAGCATCGCAATCGTATCATTTGATTGGCTTGAAGATAGCCTTTGCAGCAAGACACGCAAACCAAAGGATATGGCCAAATATGCATTCGAACCCAACCGAATCCGCCACGTCATCGCCGCCCAGAAGAAGAAAAGAGCCGACAAGAACAAAAACAAGGTAAAGCGCGGGATGAAAGTCGCTCCAGATGAAGAAGAAGTCAACGGGGGACAAGACGAAGGGCAAGACTACAGTGTCCACAGCGTAAGGAGTAAAGACGACAACAATGCAACAAACCCTGAAAGCGAAGCAAGCTCAAATGCTATTACTGCTTTGGTCTCTCCCAAGGCCAGTTCTACGGCTTCTGGTAACTCTTCAGTCAAGAATGAAAAGCACAAAGCAAACACAAACATGTCACTGGCCATGTTGACCAAGAGCGAAAAGATTGAAATTTCAGGTATGTTTTAAACTTCAGAGTTCAGGTTACCATCCCTGGGGATCTCTCTTTGTCGAGAAACTCGCTCCATCGAACTAGAATGTCTTGCACTCAATTCTCGAAAAGAAGGACGGCACTAGAATGCAATCAAATCCCGCACCAGGCCGCAGTCAGAGCCGTGGTTTTCTTTCCACATATGAATGATGCTTGTGGCCTAATCTCTTCACAGGAAAAGATTTTGACGCAGAGTGTGCAATTTTTGAAAAGGACATGGCAAAGTGTACGTATTCATTCCCTTTGTTCACCTTGAATACCAAGCCACAAGCTAAGAGGCTATGCTAACTCTACATTTAACGTGACACAATGCTGACGAGGCGCCCGCCTGATCTAGCTGGTTACAAACCATACATTGATGGCAACGGCTTCATCTACTTGATAACACTGGTCCGGAAAGATGTTCTTCGAAACAGGCTGGAGAAACATCGTCTCAAGGTGCGTTATGCATCTTGTGTTACTTCCCGGTCAGAGACGACATATCCTGTTTCATCTGAGAAGCCCCATCGTGTAACCGATCAGCCACCAGCACCGCTATACACCGACTCCTCGTGCAGTGGAACTTCACAATCCCCGAGCACCTGGAATCAGGTGAATAATGGCTGGTCTCGTCCCTCACTCACACATTGTCCTACGACCATGTACTACTTTCCCTCGCCATACCCTTTCTCAAGATACCCAGTCATATCATACTCCCACCCAAGAAGTCTGTCCCAATCAAATCCGAAACTCAGAGTGCACATTCCAAGTCCATATGCTCAGACTTTACAGCTTTTCGAATACACACCCGAATCTATCGACCATGCCGGAGACTCCAGTCGAGCTAAGCAGTATGCATGCTATACCGTATTCTCAACGGCTGGAAAACGAGAACGTGCCATGCACACGCTTGCTCCGCCCGGATCAAACTTTGACTTCGCTTGGGCCATGTTTCGAGGCTTCTTCAAACGTAAAGTTGGGGCGACCTGGGAGGACCGCGACACTGTGACGGTCAAATATGAAGGCGACAGGGACATTGATGGAGGCTGTGTGATGGGGGAAGATGGCACCGAAGACGACAAGTTCCGGACGTTGGGCCTCTTGCGCTGGAAGCTGCCTAGCGACATGGCTGCCCGTCAACCCAAAGATGTATCAACTGAGGAGCCCTGTGCCGTAGCCGTTGTCAACAAGCCAGCATTCGAGGAGCACTATATCTGTGAAAAGGCTAGCACCCCCAACGGTGGATGGTAAACAATGGCAGCGGCGGGAATGGGTATTGTCCAATTTTCTCACATGGCGGTTTCGATTTTTGGGGGACAGTCATGACCCTGAGAGACACTCCGAGGCTAATCGGGGCGCAGTTTCGCTGAGATAGTGCAAGCCGATTCGTGGACTGATGGTGCTGTCTAGAATTTGCTTGGCAGACGTGCTTTTGTGCTTTTCACACACATCGACCACCAGAAGAATAGGGAGCCTCACATATCAATGCGTTCCCTTAACCACTTTCGAGCAAGGGTAGGATCGCTACCTTAGGAGAAGCCTTGCTCACAAATAGTCCTTCTTTCTTGAAGTCCTCGTGTATTGAGTTAATGCCCACTCGACTTCGCCCCCAGAATCCTTCTCCAAAGTGTCTCCCCGTATCTCGAAGCATCTCATCGTCATCCGCGGGCCGACTTCTGCTAGTTCGACATCTCGATAGCTTGTCTGGACAAAGACGTGATGTCTAACTTCAATACTGTCCTCAACATTTTTGAATGTGACTACTCTGTTTCCCACTTTGTGGGGTCCGTCTCGGGGTGGAAAGATATGTTTTAGAATCTGGACGACTCGTTTCCCCAGGCGAGTGGTGAAGCCTTCAAAAATGAGGTGAGGGTACGATTCGGAGACTGTGCCACGGGATGCATCTGGGATATCGGCTCGTAAGATGACGTTATGAAGGGAGAAGGATGCCGTTGGACCGTGGGGGAGATGGGAGATAGTCATCGCAGTCGGCGTACCGCGATGCTCATGAAGTAGAATGATGTCAGTCAGAGCGGCGGCTTTGGCGCTCGAGATTAAATTCGGCAGGATGGTGTTCCCTCGATTGAGGCGTATGGAAGTTGGAAGGAGGAGTCTGATCTCTTTGGAAAAGGCACTGAGGCGAGTGGAAGGACTTCGTGAGGTGGTGACAAGAGGACGAGGATCGGAAAGGCCTGACAGCAGGGCATACTCATCATCGAGTGATGCCTGGGCTGCTGCGGTCTCGGGATCGAGAGATTCGTCGAACCGGAAGTCTTTTCTCAGAGACTTGTCATTTGCGACAGCGTGATCAAGAGGTTTGCCTGTGGCCAAAGACTTTTTCAACAACGCCCTTTTCTCAGCAATACTAGCATCTCGGAGTTGGAGGGCGCGACGGTAGATGTAGTCACGCCGTTCCCTAGCTTGTCTGCGCAGCATGGCTGCTGGCTGAGACGCAAAAGGGGGTGGTAGACTGTTCGTAGTTCGTAGTTCGTAGTTCGAGGTTCGTAATGTAATGGTTCTGTCGAAGTCGAGAGTCCAAGTCCAACGCAACAATTTTCAAGCCTGCGGAGGAAGGTGGGGCAACCTCCGGATGTGCCAGAGGAAGGCGCGAATCAGAGGTGCAGAACTGCGGAGGAAGGAGCGACCACAGTGGTGACTGACACTGGCTCCTGCGAATTTGCCGCATCTTTGCATCTTTACGCCTTCGCTCCTTGTCCTGAAGACACCCACACACTCAGCAAAGGACAAGATCCCTCTCCAACGGTGCATGTTATTGGTCTCGGACTCTTTTTCATTGCAGACTTGGGGTTTCAATTAGGGTCTATCACTCCTGTCGCCGGTGCAAGTTCAACTGAGAAGTCTTTCGTCAAAAGGACAAAAGCCTCCTCATGAAATCATCTCCCAGAGCAACGACATCCGACTTACCCACTCCCTTCTCCTTGCCCTGGTCTTGAACGGCCTCCTGTGATGGCTTCCTCGCTTCACCGCCCGACCATGGACGCCTTCAGCAACATGGGCAACCATATGGTGTCCAATTCTGCTGCCGCAATCAATGCCATCGACGACATCTCGACCCTTGATCCTGATGAGAGTGTCCTCTCCCTTGCCAAAGGCCCCAGGAGACGCCAGCATGACGACGAAGAGTCTGAAGGCATCGAGGAGGACGACCTGGAAAGCCTGGCCAGCGCTGCTGTCGATGCGAATGGAAATAAGCAGGTCGCAAAGGCCGAAGAACAGGAAGAGAAAGAGTTGCCTCCACACGCATGCGCGTACGTTGCCTTGCTCGCGCCCATGTTTCACGGCTAACCAATTCCCAGATACTGTGGAATTCATAATCCGAGCAGCGTCGTTCGATGTTTGACATGCGCCAAATGGTTCTGCAGTGCTCGCGGAAACACCTCTTCATCCCACATCGTGAACCACTTAGTCCGAGCTCGTCACAAGGAGGTCCAACTCCACCCCAGCAGCGCTCTTGGTGACACTGTCCTCGAATGTTACAATTGTGGCACCAAAAATGTCTTCTTGCTTGGCTTCATCCCAGCGAAATCAGACACCGTCGTGGTGCTGCTCTGTAGGCAACCCTGTGCCGCAATGCCCTCCACCAAGGACATGAATTGGGACACGTCGAGGTGGCAACCTTTAATCGAGGACCGATCTTTCCTCCCTTGGCTGGTATCTCAACCCAGCGACCAAGAGCAACTTCGAGCCCGCCATCTGAGCCCCCAAATGATTGCGAAACTGGAAGAACTCTGGAAGGACAATGCCAATGCCACCATCACCGACTTGGAAAAGGCAAACGGTACCGATGACGAACCTTCGGCAGTCCTCCTTCGCTACGATGATGCTTATCAGTATCAGAATGTCTTTGGTCCCCTGGTCAAAATCGAAGCCGACTACGATCGTAAACTGAAGGAAAGTCAGTCCCAGGACAATCTGACAGTTCGATGGGATCTGGGTCTCAACAACAAACAGGTCGCCAGTTTTGTCCTTCCGAAACTGGAGCTAGGCGACGTCAAACTTGCTGTTGGTGATGAAATGAGACTCAAGTACTCTGGCGAATTGCGATCTCCCTGGGAAGGCGTTGGCTATGTCATCAAAATCCCCAATAATCAGTCTGATGAAGTTACCATCGAGTTGCGATCAAAGGGCGATCATAAGTCGGTCCCTACAGAATGTACACACAGCTTTACTGCCGATTATGTCTGGAAGGCTACGTCTTTCGATCGGATGCAACTGGCCATGAAGACCTTTGCCATTGACGAGATGAGTGTATCGGGTTACATTTTCCATCGACTCCTCGGCCACGAAGTGGCCGCCGCTCCCATGAAGACACAAATGCCTAAGAAGTTCAGTGTTCCAGGTTTGCCCGACCTTAACGGCAGCCAAATCAGCGCAGTCAAATCTGTCTTGCAGAAGCCTCTCAGCTTGATCCAGGGACCACCGGGTACGGGCAAGACAGTCACCTCCGCCACCATCATCTACCATCTGTCCAAGATCAATGGTGGGCAGGTCTTGGTTTGTGCCCCGTCCAATGTTGCAGTGGATCAATTGTGTGAGCGGATACATCTGACAGGCCTCAAGACTGTCCGAGTCACTGCAAAGTCTCGGGAGGATGTCGAGTCACCTGTCGGCTTCTTGTCTCTCCACGAGCAGGTTCGCATGAACGACAGCAACATTGAACTGACCAAACTCAACCAGCTCAAGTCGGAGTTGGGCGAACTCTCCAGCCAGGACGAGAAAAAGTACAAGTCTCTCACACGCGCCGCTGAAAGGGAGATTTTGACCAATGCAGATGTCATCTGTTGTACATGCGTCGGAGCGGGTGACCCAAGACTAGCCAAGTTCAAATTTCGGACGGTTCTCATTGACGAATCGACTCAGTCCGCCGAGCCCGAATGTATGATACCATTGGTGCTGGGTTGCAAACAAGTGGTACTGGTTGGCGATCACCAGCAACTGGGCCCCGTCATCATGAACAAGAAGGCTGCTAAAGCTGGCCTCAATCAGTCGTTGTTCGAACGACTAGTGATTCTTGGATGCGCACCTATTCGTCTCAACGTCCAGTACCGCATGCACCCGTGCCTCTCAGAATTCCCTTCCAACATGTTTTACGAAGGTTCGCTTCAGAATGGTGTGACCATGCAGGAACGCCTTCGACCAGAGATTGATTTTCCCTGGCCTGTCGCGCACTCACCGATGATGTTCTGGTCCAACCTTGGTAATGAAGAGATATCAGCCTCCGGTACCTCATACCTCAATCGCACAGAAGCGGCCAACGTCGAAAAGCTAGTCACTCGATTCTTCAAAGCCTCGGTGAAGCCCAAGGATATTGGGGTCATCACCCCTTACGAAGGTCAACGTTCTTACATTGTCAGTTCCATGCAGGCAAGCGGCACATTCAAGAAGGAAATGTACAAGGAGATTGAGGTTGCGTCGGTGGATGCCTTCCAAGGGCGAGAAAAGGACTTTATCATCCTTTCTTGCGTCCGCTCCAATGACCACCAAGGAATTGGATTTTTGAGCGACCCACGCCGTCTGAATGTCGCGTTGACTCGTGCCAAGTTTGGGCTGGTGATTCTTGGCAATCCCAAGGTCCTATCCAAGCATCCCTTGTGGCACTATCTGCTGCTTCATTTCAAGGAGCACAATTGCCTCGTCGAAGGGCCCCTGACTAATCTTCAAATGTCACTTCATCAGTTCAGCCGACCCAAGCAGTCGTATCGCGGTCCCCAGCGCTACCAGATGGCATACAACCATGCCAACCATATGGCCAATGGAATGATGAACGGCCGTCCTCCTCAACCGCGCGGCGAATACCGGGACGGTGGCTCAGTGGTGAGGTACATCCCTGACGACGTGTCGTCGATTCATTCTTCTGCCATGGGGGGTGTTGGTGTCCCGGTCGGCTATCCGCCCATGTTCCAGGGGTTCGCAGCGGACGCATGGCCCTCAATCCAGAACACCTCAGGCCGTCGACAAAACGGTGCCAAACCAAGAGCCGTACCTGGCAGTGTTGCTGGAGAATCTACAGTTCCAACCGAGTCTGACGTGACTAGCAGCGTTACTGGTGGAGTCAGTCTAGATCAATTGTCCATCCACGACAACACCAAACAGGCCAGCTACAACCAAGCAGATCGCCTGAAGCGGTACGTTGAGAGCGGAGGCCCCAACGTTGGGTATATCGGCAATCATAAAATGAGCAAAGGCCTTCATCATGATGAGGATGCTCAGAGTGTGTCTACAGCCTTTGCAAGCCAAGTGGGAGGTGGCTATGATTGATCATGACATGATGGACCGTGACGATGAACGGTGGAGAAAAGTGCTCACTATTTGAGCAACAAGACCATACCGTTGATTTTGATGCATTCGTGCCAGACTCATGCGCACCTTTATGTGACACAGCCTCATTAGGACTGTTGAGATTCTGATTTAGATGCTAGCGTCAGCTACTGATCAGCACCTACGCAACAGGTTACCTTCAAAGCGTCATCGAAACCCCCGACGACAGATCGGTGAAGGAGTCTCTGCGACAAGCACTGGAGTGCAGGGCACAGGGCTTGAGAACCCGCGGAGGACTTTCCTCGACGTTCAGAAGGCAAGATGGATGCCTCGATGCAGAAGACTTTTGGGCTCGTCAATTGTTCAAAGCAACCCCGATTGACCTGCGAATGGTCCTTGCTCCGCACAACAGCCCACCTACCAAGACGCGACGAGGGCGACAAGACGGGTCCCGTCCGTGGCCGGGTATTGTGAGAAAGGGAAGGAAAACCATGCAGAAACAAGACTGTCAACATGCAAGCACAATATTGCTGCTTCCACTACCACTGATTTTTATTGCTGCGCGGTTGACGGAATTCCGTTGCCTAAAACACTCATTTAGCTATCATCATCTACTTTCGAGTAGTACCAAACATTCCTTATGTACCATCTTGAAAGATACCCACATCGATGATCCGTAGACACTGTGTAGACACGAGCCACGACCAGCGTAAGACTTGCGGGGCAGAAGATGAAGTTTGCTTCAATCACGGAGTCAGACTCACTCACTCAGTGAGTGTATGCGATGCAAGTGGGAAAGCAGAGCGATGTTCAGAAAGGGGGATGGGGTTTACAAGTACTTAATCCCCAAAGATCACTACTTGGACGCTGAGTAATTGTCGTGACATTTACCTCTACCACTACTCCGTATTACGACCGTCACCACCATCAACCTACGAGTAGACTTCTAGCTGCATGCTGCTTCATCTGTGTCAATCCTGAAACGACCGAAGTGTTGATGATTTTCTGAAACTCTCAAGCCACACCCTGAGAGTGGGTCAAGATGCCACAACCGCCACATTCTAATTGACGATGAGCCAATCGTCAGGCGTTGAAAGTCCCACGAAGATAACACGTCGCGTGCATTCTGCTGAGGCAATCGCTTCACGTCTGACCAATGATAGGGCTTCTCATTACGCGAGAACGGGGCCTGGTCGATTCAACAGCCAGTCATATTGTCGGAACGCACCTACCCTGATCCTTGTGTCTGTGAGAGTCGCGACTGCTTCTTCGCACCTGTCAAAAGCCCCGTCTCCCTGTTGAGTTTCGGATCATGGGTTTTCCGACATCTTCAGTTCCAGCTCACCAGACTTGAACCACAACGACATCCCTTTGGTGGGCTCGTAGCAAAGCTGCAATGACCGATGCAAACACACGACGGCGGCTAGTCTTGCGCCATGATTGCCAGGTAGCCAGGTAGGTCGCTTCTGATCAGATCCATATCGTGCGTTCTTTGCTTTTGCTCCGTCTTCCTATTGCCGTCTTCTTCTCGCTCACGTCTTGTCAATATCATCCTTTCTACTGAGGGATACCTCGTTCTCCATCCACTACATATACCAGAGTCCCTCCTTTTTGATGTCCAACAGAACTACCAAGTTAAAACTCTAGAGCGACAGCCATGATGGCAGATGAGACCCTCCCATCTCAGGTCATCATCAACCAAGCATTTGAGACGACAATTTATGCCGCAGATGGAACCGCCATACCTTTCGGCTCTTTATTCATGAACGACACCCATGGCCAAGAACGCATCTTGGTCATTTTTATCCGTCACTTCTTCTGTGGAAATTGTCAAGAATACGTTCGGCGCCTGTCGTCTATCGACTCCCCTTTCCACCCATCGCATAAGCTCGCACACTCTTCCATAACTCCCCATTTTTCCAAGCCCACCGCTCGTGCTCTCCCTCGAGTGATCATCATTGGTCCCGGCCTTCCCACTTTGATTCCCACCTATCTCAACATCACAGCATGTTGCTTTCCCGTCTATTCGGACCCTTCCACCGCCTTGTACGACCTCTTGGGCATGCATCGCACTTTCTCCTTGGGACATAAAGCACCCATTTATATCCAGCATTCCTTGGTTACCGGAGCCGTCAAATCGGCCGTACAGATTGTCAAACGTGTCGGCAATGGCGATGCTCTGGGTGGCGGGTATTGGAATGTTAATGGAGGCGAATTTTTGTTCGTCCAGCCCGCCTGGGAACATTCAGCTGTGGCCAAACCAACGTCAAAACCTCCTGTGACCTACGTGAGGCCTCCTGCACAAAACAAGTCTTCTCTCGGCAAAGACGCTGCCGCTTGGAGTCTGGCATGGTGTCATCGAATGAATAATTCCCGAGATCATACAGAGCTCAACGAATTGCACTACCACACCTGTTTCCCACTACCAGTCTCCCTATCCACCCCCAACTCCACTTCCTCACATCAAGCACCGTCTCCTCCACGCTCTATTCTAGTCAATGCCAATCACCCACCTCAGCCGGTCAAATCTCATACCTTTCCAATTACCTCGGTTGGATCAGGATCGACATTGACAGCTTCGATGAGGGAATGTGCTGGCGCATGCCCGGGGCCTGATGTCCACAAATCGCGAGGAGAAATCCACAGCCATCGACAAAGATCACAATCCCCGGCCCTGGGATCGTCCACACGCATCAGAAGTCGCAGCACAAGCACCCGGGCGCGATCACCGGAGAACAAGGGCAGTACTGGAGAGTCTACCCGCCGAGACACCTCTCTGACTCCCACGAGCACGCACCGACATAATGACCTGCGGCCATTTATGAATTCCACCCCCAATTCTGACACGGTGCCTTCACAATCAAAGAACAGCTTCAATGATATAATGGGGCGGGTCGGAGGCTTGGTTCGTAGTAAATCCGTCTCAGCCAGATCCAAGCCCAAGATCGAGCTACTTGTCCCAGAAAAGGACAGCGGGCCCAAGGAAGACATCAACAACTCCCTAGACTTGACACGACGCCCATCGACCTCAAAGTCGGCCACGAGGTCCAGGTCATCGTTGTCTATCTCGCGGCTGGGGTCCTTGGTCAGCAGGACGTCCACGCCGACGCATCTGGTCAGGTCGAGATCTAAACGGGCAAGATTACACTCGACTCGCAAGGATGAATGTTTAGACAGCCCTAATGGTACGATGGTGATAGATGGGGTGGAATTTGTCAATGTCATTAGTGTCCGAGCAAGACTTGAGGCAGTGGCAGCGACGGGACGAACTATCTCCACCAAGGGTGATCGAGCGGCAGAGAAGGAGAACCCACAGTCGGTACGGACTGTGGGGATCGAGCTGGCTCCGGCACGGCCATGTCGACATTCGGGCCCCGAACAAATGTCCAGTCTCGCGGGAAAACTCGATCAGCAAGGAACATCGGTCGTGTCACACATGTCGACAGTTCCGGTGATGACGGCGGTCGCAAGTCATTGACATGTCGAGTGACGACCTAGGAAGTCTTAGATAGCCAGTACCAGTAATGAATAGATAGTACACATGCTAGAGAATAGTTGGCCGACAATGACATGTTAATTCTTTGGTACAAAGACGGTGCCATGTATAACGGCAGGTCGTGGGAGGCTACTATAAATGTCCCTTTTTGGCCATCATCTTTGTATTGGGGTATCATTCTCTTGTGAGGTCGTCATCAACATCAATCTACTCAATTCACGTCCGATTGTTTTTGCCAGTGTCTGGTCCTCGACCGACATCTCTGACCGTCATATGTTGCATGCTTTCTTCGGCACCTCCCCCTTGCAGAAACAGGTAGGCTGCGTCCGACTTGTCCGTCGAATTTCGGCAACTGATGCGGGCAAAATGAAAATCCCATTTTAACGACAGCCTAGACAATGCTCCTCGTTCATACACCAACCCAATGTCCATGGGTCTCAACATGATCGCTCTTGATGCAGATGTGGGATCTTGGAATTTGGCATAATGATATGCAAATAGGAAATTTTCATTCAGGGTCATTAGCAGTTGAGAGAAGGCAATATCAGGCGCCATTTAGGATGGGAGGAGAGTTTGGAATATTAATCGAGGACCGCAGATCAGACGGAGTATTGTCGAACGAGTCGAGATCGTTCCAAGGTTGAGAAGCTGTGAGGCCATGATTGCTACCGTGGGTGCCACAGCAGGAATGTACAGCCGGAGGGTCAATTTGTGACTGATAAGCGGAACCTGGGGTTGCCTCGGCGGTTGTGGAGATGTGGTAGGAAGACTGCTGAATTTGAGACACGTTCATATTGAGATCCAGGGGATGCATAGATCGACTTGGTGTTGCGGCAAAGTTCGATGGCGGGAAAGTCATGTACGCGTCGTTCATGGGCCCGTTGACGGAGTTGTACTGAGGGAGGGTGGCCTGGGGAATGCCAAGGCTGTGCTGGAGTATCAAATCAAAGTTGACTCCGGAAGGGGATAGCTGTGCGCCGGGGGTGGGCTGAGGAACCTGGAGAGCCATAGGATTCGTGCTTGACGCAACGGTGGCTTGGCCGACATGATAGTCGGTGCCGCGAGAAGCATCAACATCCATCCAGCTAAAGCCATTGGTGCCAAGTTGGCCGTCAGAGAAATTCCAAGTGCCGTTAGAGTCGTCCGGGAGAAGTTCCCACGGGATCGTACTGGATGAGAAATCAGTGGCGGGATCGAGAAAGTTGGAGTCGGTGGGTTCTGGGGTCATGGTTATGGAGGCTGAAGGGGAATGAGAGTGCGAGCAATGTGCGCTGAGGGGCTGGTTGGTCCAGGAATGCTGTTGGATGGGATAGGTCAAGTAGATGGCATTGGGGTCGGACTCGGAAAAGAAGTGTTGTAGTTGTTGGTGGGAGACGTTGGGAGTTCTAGAGAGAAAAAAGGTCTGACGGCCTCCCATGCAAGACCTCGAATCAGACTGCGGCATGAACTGGGTGTCGAGGGAAAAACCCTGGGCGGCATAGGCATGCTCGGCAAAGTTCTTGACTTGGAGCTGGGTGTGATTGACAGAGGTAGCATTGTTAGGATGCTCGGGACAGTAGAGACAGGAACAACCAGAACCACAGGTACAGGTAGTGGTCCACAAGTCACTAGACCGCTTGGGAGGCAGTAGCAGAGAATCTGCGGTTGGTGGATCAGACGAGGGTACGGTGGAGAGGTTTTGTCGATGCCGGCACCCTGAGGCTGAGGGAATGTCGTCCGGCAATGCAGGGGACTGTGGTTCCTCTTTTGCGGGTTTGGAGGCACAGCAAGACTTTGTTTCTGGAGTAGAAGACGAAGGCGAGAGGGGAGTGGTAGCAATGCCTTCTTCTCTTTCGCGAAGTTTCCTCTTTCTTTCTTGGTATTCCTCCTCGTTGATCTGTTTACCATTGGCGTCGGCCCAAACTTTTTTCAGCGTCATTTTATTACCATTAGCATCTTCCCAAATGGGTTTTGGGGTGGAGGTGGAGTCTCGATTGATCTGGGGCTGAGGAGCTTCGACTCGGACAATGACGAACATCTCCTGTGTACAAGAACAATCTCGCTGGCATTTACAGGTTTTGGAAGTGCAGGCACAGTTGCGAGGGCATTGACAGCCTCTCTTTTGACCCCCAGAGGGTCTCCCCGGTTGGTTGGTCTCAGAGATAGGTCTTGTTCTCCCATGGTCGCATTTATGAACTCGATGACCTCGTTTGCAAGATTCGCAGGCGTAGGTTTTGCCGTTGATGTGTTGGACTGCGGTGATGTCTGATTTGGATTGGGCTCTCGGTTTCTTTATTTTGCCGTCTTCAATCCTAGCCGTGGTCGAAGTGGGCTTCGGAGGGCTAGACGCTTTGTCGGTGGCCTTGGGATGCATGGTCCATCTAGGTCGCGTCCATACAAGGGTGGTTTCGTCGGATGGTGCGAATAAGATGGCAACACGGAGAGAATATGGAATCGAACGAGTGGATTGGAAACAGAAAAAGGACGAAGGATCGGAAAAGTGAGGATGATGCCAGTAGGTGAAATGAGTGGATGGTCAGATGAAAAGGACGGGAAGGTCTTGGGTGGGTAGGCTACAAGCGGCGGCTGAGTGGGCGGTTATGGGTGAGCAAGTTAATAATAATGGCTGTCTTTGCAGAGAACCGAGGGGTGGGAGTGCCAGGGCCCAGCGAGATGGGCCTAAAGATGGTGGGTGGACATGGTTGATATGATGAACCAATGATAAAGGGATAAAGCGAGTTTGGCAGAATCGAGGGGCACGTCAATTGAACTCGGGCTGTGGCATGTGGTTTGACCTACAGCGATGGACTAGTTAAAAGGCAGATACTTGAGGGCTTCGAGGGGTCATCGCCGCTAAACCTTGAAGTAATAGATTCCAGGTTGTTAAAGGTCAGCCGGGTTTTATTAGGTGGTGTATTATGGGGGTGGCAGACACGGTCAACGCTATTTATTCCATTAATACCAATTCCAGAGTAATGGCCACCTACCTACATAGGGATTGGATACCAGTCTTGTGAGGAGTCGCCATTATTTCTTGAGACATAGACCACGTGAATTGATGTGGGATTCGAGCGGGCTAGAATGGGCATTGCAGCTCTAGGATTGGGGTTGAAGTCGAAGCTGACAGGTCGTACAGGTCATATCACCTGTTCATGTTGGTGTGAAAATCCCAGATTTTGAGTCAGGGAGTGGAGTATGTCTAAAGCTGTCCCTGAAGTACGCACAAGGTCATAAATGATTAGGCATGAATGATTAGGCATGAGTAGGGGCGGTAGGGGATCGCCTGTATGTGTACGCTACCACCTAACCTTAACGCGTGCGTCCACGCTAGGTTTATACAGGTGGATACACGTGGGACGGTAAAAAAGTTCCATTATAAGCCACCTGGAACCTGGTACCTACCTACCTGGTACCTACCTAGGTATTGTACCTAATATCGTAGGCCGAGGCGCCCGAGACCCTTAGGTACCCCGGCTCCCCGGCACCCCCCGTACTTTCTGGGACTAGCTCCATTGATTCTGCCTGCAGTTGAAGATTCATCAATTCATCAATACATTTCACCGCAGGAGGAGGTACACACTCAATTCAACCCTTTTACTACTACCGCCTTTCTCTTCTCTCATTCCCTCGTGGGTGCTGGACTGGACATGCCCGACGATGATGCTACAACCCCCGCGGCTCGTCCATCGAGGCCACCGTCCAAACAAAGTCAATCTTCAAATTCCATGAAAAAGCCATCACAACCACAGCCAGCTCAAGCACCGTCCCCTTCTTCCTGGTTCACCTTACCACATCCTTTACGACGCGTCTTCGATAGATTCCCGCTCGTGACGTATCCTGCCAATCTCCTCCCTCAGCGCTCCTCCAAGCAAGGAAATGAAAATGTCCTCTATATCTTCCAAAAATTAGACCCCAAGAGCCGAGATGCCCCCTCATATAATCCTTCGTGTCTGAAATGGCAAGCCTACCTCAAATTTCACGGTATCCCACTCAAGACTCGACCTTCCAACAACCATGCCTCCCCAACCGGCTCTCTTCCATTCCTCTTGCCCGCCTCTACCTCGTCGGATCCTCATCGCCCCGTCTCCCCAATCCCTGCAAATCGTATTGCAAGATGGGTGGTCTCGCAGGGAGGAAAAGAAGACCCTCTCATCTGGCGTCAAGATGCCTATGCTGCCTTGATCGACCACAACATCAGAAGTGCTTGGTTATACTACCTCTACCTCGACCAGGACAATTTCCAATCGGTGGCACGACCCATGTACGTCACTTCGGTATCCAGCGCTCTGCCCGTCCACTGGGCCCTTGCACATCAACTACAACAGGCGGCAAGAGACGAGCTGTTGAAATTTAGTCCAGTTATAGACCCCCACTATCTATACCGGCAGGCCTCACACGCCTTCCGCGCCTTATCCCAACTACTCGGCGACAACAAATTCTTCTTCGGACAGTCCACCCCAGGACTCTTTGACGCCAGCCTTTTTGCCTACACCCAGATCATCCTCGATGACGAACTTGACTGGGTCAATCTCGACCTCAAGCTGGAATTGCAGCAATATTCCAATTTGGTCAGTCACAGGGACCGATTGATGCGAGGATTCTTCAGGCTGAGCCGCGATCGAACCGAGAGCGTCTCGGTTCAGTCATGATTGCTGCCCGAGGGCTTCCTTTTCAGAAGACCGCCAAACCATACCGTCACGCCCACCCATTTTTCGGACCGAGCACCGAGCTTAGAGACCATGTCGCGGTTCACACATCTCTCCTCCATCTCATCTACCAATTCCAAGCCATTCTTCTCTGCTTCGGCCATGATATCTCCCAAAGTGTGGGCATAGCTGGTCGGTCGGATTTTGTCTCCTGTGGTGGGATCGACAAACCCAGCCTGGCTGATGGCCCCCATGTCCGAGTGCATATTTGTCAAGAGAAGGATGCCTCCAGGTTTCAGGATGGATGCCACCTGACGGAAATAAATTTGACTGGGAACGTGCTCAATGACGAGCGTCGACACAACTAAGTCGGCTCCCAGAGCGACGTTGGGCGGCGTTTGGTGCTGAATCAGATCAAATACCTCCACGTGGAGTGTGTTTGAACCGACAAGTTGACTCAACCTCTGTTTGGCGACCTGCAACATACCGGGACTGACGTCTAGCCCAACGATGGTACTGTTTGCAACCTCTAGCAGAGCAGCGGTGTTTCTTCCCGTTCCACAACCCAAGTCGACCAGCTTCCACGGTCGAGACGGTCGAGACTCTTCGACCAATGCCAAAGCCTTGGGAAGTAGTACTTTCATCTCAATCGAGTCCAATGCTTGCAGGAAGTTGCCGTCTGTGTCGTATACTTGGGCCCACAAATCGTAGGCCTGGGCTGTTTGCAGGTACCGCACCGAAGGGTCCTTGATTTGCGGGATCGCCATCATGTGTAGGGGTGGTACGAGGGGAAATTTCTCTAGAAGATGGTGTATGAATCTGAGGCGACTGCGCAAGACGTCTGTACATATGTAGAAAACTGTATGAACACTGGGATGCTCTCGAGGGCATCGAAGATAGAACATTGAATGAGTCAACTATAATTGACGACAATTGGCCAGTCGAGGGGTGTTTGAAGGCTTGTTTAGAGTTTGCGGCGCCATTCGCCCCAATTCAGGTCCACAAACAAGGGTTTGGTGCATGTACTCCGTATACGAATATATCCAGGGCATGGAGGATCGGGACTCTCCGCAAGTGCGTACAAAGTACTATACGAGCATGTACGGATATGCTACGTACTCGTGACGTGCCAGCATGCTCGGTCTCAAGTCCGGCCACCAATAATGACTCACGCGGGTGCATGGCTACTACCATGGGCATAGTACAATGCGTCCGACTTTGATCCGAATTCATGCCTATATGCGTATCCTGCGCCATGAAACCAGTTGTGTGTCCATTGTTACCTTGTTGTACAAGTTTAGAAACAGACCAGCTTTTCCGTTATGCCGGTTCCTGCTCCTGCTTCTGCTTCTGCTTCTGCTTCTGCTTCTCCCTCTATTGTGAGGTGGTAGCTTTCGATCTCTGCAGGGGACCACGGTCAATATGCGATGCGCGATTTAACCAATATCGCAGTGCCAGCAAACATCCATGACAATTCAATCATGTATACGAGGGGGTATCTTTGCGTTCATTGGTTTATCTCCACCAATCTGTTTCGCCATCTACACTTGTTGACGTGCTCATGATATGCCTCCGACACCAAACACACCTCCTCCCTCTCTGAGATCCTCGACCAAATCCTGCACATTGCTCAAGTGCTTGCCGAGCAAGCTCTGTTTCTCTTCCGTGGTCCTTGTGTCTGGTCGACCGTCGGCCACTGCGCTCTCTTGGCCATTGACTGTTTCTCTTCTCCGGTCAAATGCAGCGATCAATTCCTTGCCTCGTCCTCCCAGGATTGCTGTGTTTGTGGCAGATGTCGAGGTCGAGAGTTTGGGGGCGGGTGTCTCTGGCATGAGGTAGAAATAGAGAAATTCGACCAGCTTGAGCTTCACTTCACGAGAAGTACTGCGGGATTTGAAAAGAGAGGTGACAACCAGCAGGCCATCAATAGCTTCAAATGTTCTTGTATTCTGTGGGTGGTCGAGGAGGGATGTAACGAGAGCCATGATGGTGGATGATTGGATTGCCGGACAATTGGAGGGGTCGAGCAGGTCGAGAAAGAGCTATTCTCTTGTTAGTCATCGGGGTGGGAGAAAGTAGTCTTGAGGTGGATTCTCACATTCATGTATATCTCCTGGGCGAACAGTGCGCGAGAGGGAGGGTGTAATAGCAGGATGCCTTGAATGAGATCCAGGTTTTGAATGACCAACAGGTCGTTGGTTCCGTTGCTCTCCTTGCCGAGAAGGCGTTCCAAACAAGCGACCAGCCTCATAGCAATATTCCATTGGAAGCTTTGTTGAAGTTTGAAGAATTCCCGAAAGGCTGGATCCTCAGGCAGTTCTGACAATTTCTTGCCTGTCGGTGCGAGTGACGAGCCTAACAGCAGCATGGACTGCCGTTTATTGGCGAGAGATGTCTTGAGAAGGCATAGTTGTGCAAGGAGACCTTCGACCTGTCTTAGGCCCTTGCGAATCTTTTGGGGAGAGGACGAGGAGAGGTAGTCGAAGGAGTGGGAAAGTAAGGTCTCCATTGGTGATGGGTGACAGAGAAACCAGTTCTCTGATGGTATAAAAGGCGATGAGGAAGACGTAGTGAGGTAGTGATTGAGGTGAATCGTCCAGATACTTGGGAAATGCTGAGAAGAGGCAGGAAGTGATCGGAAGTGCAGGATATGGTTGTCATGGCCACAAGAGGTTAGTTCCAAACATGCGGGGGAGCGAGAAAGAGAGGATCACGGGGCGAGGGACGAGAGTCTAGGGACCAGAGGGGTCACGCTTGGTAAACCTTTAGGGCACATGCCTAGTTATCTGTCAATTATGTAGGATCATAACAATGGTATCCAGTAAAAGGAACAACAGTGATGATAATTTGATTTCATCGTCTACACCATAGCACTTGATGCCTACACGACCCTAACTGCGCCTGCAGTCTCTTCCTTCCTACCTCGTGTCCTGTGCCAAGTGTCTGCAGGGTCTGAAGGCAGGAACAACCGTCCAGCCCTACTCTTTCCCAAGAATCCTGATAAGTTGAGGCAGTTACCTGGTAGTAGGTAGGAAGGTACCTAGGAGGTACATACTCCGTAGTAGCTAGTTACTAAGTATTTGGATCTTTTCCACCACTTCATTACACCAGTTAAATAAATAAAACGCTCGAGATTAATTGTCCTCAGGTCCCTCCAAAAACATCTCGTGCCGAATGTGTCTATATATTTCTAGATGTACGTATCTTTGTACCTCGTGTAGATGCATGTGGTGGCCGCTTCTAACCGATGACCATTTCCCCAACAATAAAAATAGAGGATACTCTGTACGTAGCGAGTAGCAGCAGCGACTAACGCTAAGTCGCCTACAGAGCTCAAGAAATCACTCTACTTAATCCACTCTCTCTAGGACACCCTCCACATGGCACTTCTATCTAGGACACCTTCTCCGGAAAGGCAAGATATAGAGGCCGAGGGGCCCAAGGCCCCCTTCAGCCAGGCAGAATCCTACACAATTATCATTATTTCGTGTCCACAGACTCAGGCCAGTGGGAACTTGTCTAGAGTAAGCCAGGCACCCAGGCCCCCAGCATGGCTGGATTATCTTTATTCATCCAAGGCTACTGCCTCGGCGCCGCGTGATTCTCATGCGCCTTTGGTGGCTTCTGCTCCATTTAATCGCGTCGCTTTCGTCATCATTTTGCCCACCATTCATCATCCCATCATCCCATCATCCCATCACTGTCTTGTACCCAACCAGCCTGCTACCGTGTCGACATTCACCCACCTCGCTCCCTCTTTAATCGCCTTGATTTTGTATAGATTCTTCTGCCTAGATCCATGCGCCTTTCTCCTGGCACACTTCCAAAGTTCCTCGCGTCTGCCTGTCTCTCCGTTTCCTCCCCCACTTGTGTGAGCAAAATCCGCACCACAACTTGCCTTGACACCTCTGCCCTTCCGTTTCACTCCTCCCTCTCTGCCACGCATGTCGACCCTCACCACCGAGAATCCTGCGTCACCTAACGCAATCCCCGTTCGCTATAGTTCAGCTGGCTATCCCAGTGGGATTCTACAACCCCCTTCTAAATCTGTGCTGAAACCTCTCCCAGAAGAAAGCTGGATCGCCCAGAAACAGTCGGTCGCCTCGTCCCTCTCCCATACACCCAACTCGCCCGAACAGACACATGGCCTCAAGCGGAGGCACTCCACAAGACATTCGGCCTCGGATACCATCAGCCCTCGCAAAATGGGCGAATGGTCGTCTCAGAAAGAAAAGATAATCATGGGCCCTTATGATTACCTGTTTGCACATCCGGGGAAAGACATCCGCGCCGCTCTCATCAAAGCTTTTGACGCCTTCCTCCATGTCCCTCACGACTCTCTCGAGGTCATCACTCGGGTGGTCGGAATGCTCCACACCTCCTCTCTTCTCATCGACGACGTTCAAGACGGCAGCCAGCTTCGTCGCGGTGTCCCCGTCGCCCACAACATCTTTGGCACCGCCCAGACCATCAATAGCGCAAACTATGTCTATTTCATCGCCCTCCAAGAATTGCAGCATCTGACCAACAAGGATGAAGCGATTGAGATCTTCACCACCGAGCTACTCAATCTACACAGAGGCCAAGGGATGGACTTGTATTGGAGGGACACGCTGACCTGTCCCACCGAGGACGACTATCTGGAGATGGTCCAGAACAAGACTGGGGGGCTGTTTCGTTTGGCCGTCAAGTTGATGCAAGCCGAATCTCCCGAAAGGGGACGAATCGATTGTGTCCCGCTCGTCAACCTGATGGGACTCATCTTCCAGATCTGCGATGATTACCTGAATCTGTCGTCAGGGACATACACCAAGAACAAAGGCTTGTGCGAGGATTTGACCGAAGGAAAATTCTCGTTTCCCGTCATCCACTCCATCCGCGCCAACCCGTCCAATCTACAGCTAATCAACATCCTTAAGCAAAAGACCACCGACGATGGCGTCAAGCGATATGCCATCTCGTACATGGAGAGCACTGGCAGCTTCGAGTACAGCAGACGCGTGATTCGGGAACTCAAAGTCAAGGCTCGCAGTCTGATATCCGAAATGGACGGAGGATCCGACAAATCAGACGAGATCAGTCGCATTCTCGACCGGATGGATGTGGATCAATAGCTGTGGTTTGTGGTTCTTCGGCGGTACATTGCGAATACCCAGCCTTGTAATTTGTGTCGACTTTTGCTTGGATCAGTGGCCTCCAGACTGTCCTTCTGGGGGAACGCAAGTCGAATTCGAACTAGGAATAACATGTCGTGCATGTCTAATGTGGGAATCTATCTCATGAATCCAAGTATTATAAATGATAAACTCTCTTCGTTACGATCACATTTGATGTTTGTTACGGCACGTTCGGATTGTTGTTGCACAGGCGTTGCATTGTCAGTGAACTTTCAACGGATCAACTGTCGGCAAATGAATAAATATAATAGTTTATTCAGACGCCGACGAGCCAGTGCGGGGATCATTAATGAAAGACAATCTAAACAACCCATCCCCATCTGTCCATTCCAGTGTATATTACATAGTGTTGACTATTTATTTCAGCTCTAGATTTCACCGTTAGCAAGGCGCCATGTCAGTAAATAACTCTGCCTGGACATTTTCTGCGGATCAAGTCCTGCAGTTTGCAACTGAGGTGCTGTTGGGCAATGGCATGGGTCGTGATGAAGCAACCACAGTCGCCAATTGTCTGGTGGCAGCCGATCTACGAGGCATTGACACTCACGGGTGCAATCGACTGCCCTCGTACATGGAGAGAATTCGACAGGGAGTGCTCGACCCCAGGGCCACGCCCAGTCTGGTACAGATCACGCCTGTTGTTGCCCAAGTCGATGGGAACAATGGGTTTGGGTTTCTGGCCGCCTCTCTGGGTATGGACACGGCCATCACCATGGCTCAGACATACGGCATTGGGATGGTGTCGATCAAGCATTCCAACCATTTCGGCATGTCAGCATGGATCGTGCAACGAGCCATCGACGCGGATATGATGAGTCTTGTCTTCACCAACTCGTCCCCGGCACTGCCCGTGTTTGGGGGCAAATCCAAACTGTTGGGCGTGTCACCTCTTGCATGTGGTGCGCCGGCCGGGCCAGATACACGGCCCTTTATTCTCGACATGGCGCCGTCGATTGCAGCACGGGGCAAAATTTACAAGGCAAAACGACGAGGGGAAAAGATTCCCCTAGATTGGGCGCTCGACGCGGATGGCAACGCGACCGACGATCCGGATGCGGCGCTCCAAGGGGTCATGCTTCCAATGGGGGGACCCAAGGGCTCAGCACTCGCCATTATGATGGATGTCTTCAGTGGGGTGCTCTCTGGCTCAGCCTTTGCCGGCCACGTCACGAATCCATATGACCCCAGCAAGCCCGCCGACGTGGGCCACATGCTTATGGCTATCAAACCGGATCTCTTCCTGTCTCTGGACGAGTTCAAAGCTCGAATGGATTATCTGTATCGCCGTGTAGTTGAGTCAGAGAAGCGTCCGGACGTGGATCGCATCTATTTCCCTGGTGAGATTGAGCAGATGACACAGGAGAGCCGAATGAAGGATGGAATCCCATTTGTGGAGGCCGAGGTCACGGCGCTGAACGCCGAAGCAGAACGGGTTGGAGCACGGCCTTTGGCGAATCTTACTGGTGGCACCGAAGCAAGTGAGCCTGTCCTTTGATCCGGTGTCTTCAAAGGGCGGGAATGGCATAGAGGCACAACACAGTCGGAAAGGGCGTCAAGAGAGTAGGTAAATTGGCAAAGTTGGCCTACGCGGAGGCAAAGAGCGAGACGAGGTGAGTATATCTAGTGTTCCCGTACCGCAATTTGGAGTTTCGTTTCCTAAGGCAGCCTCACAGTTGGTTCATCTGTATGTCAAGGTGGCCTCTGCTTAGGGTTACATTATTATAGTAATGGTCTGCAGTCTCCCAAAGCAGGTCTCGTCCCCACATCATGTTTAGGAAGCGATGAGGACACACAGGCAACAGGATCCTAAATCGCGTTCAAGAAGAAGCAGGTCAGGTATCGTGTCAAGGGATCAATCGAGACTGCTTCATACCATAATCATTAGGAGAGCGAACGCTACATGTGCCAAGCAACAAACGCGTGATGGCACCGCATTTGCTCACGTTGAGGGCAAAAGAGGTCGTGATGCCAACCGGAAATTCTCAACCCGAAGCGAGAATGATGACAAGATGATTCTTATGGGCCTTAGCAACATGTGCTGGGTGCCCATTGGTGCATAATACACAAGTATATATCATTATTTTGGATGGACATATACTGTACATACCGACGTGTAGGCATTGGATGTTGGTATTTGTACGTACAGTATCTACGGAGTACGGCAAACCTCCATTGTTGTGACTGGCGTCAGCATGCCAAGGGAAGCTTGAACTCAACAGGCAATCGAACGTGTCGGATGTTTTCTAGAGCCGAGCCGATGACGATGACAGAGTATAAGTTAGTAAAAGTCGAGATCAGAGAAATGAAGACTGGGTCCGAGTAAGCAGCTTGAGTATTGCTACATGTTTCTCTAGGCGACAAGGACAGACACACGACCACTGAAGGGGCCTATAGAGAGAGAGGCGCATACGTCTACCTCGACTCGTGAAGGCGTGGCTTGGACAGAAAGAAAGCCGGGTAACCACCTAGTACATAGGTACCTAACGTAGCTGGTACCTCATGTGCCCACCATACCTGGTCTGGTAGGTACTTGAGGCATGGGTAGGCAACTGTTGTGGTAGCCTAAAGGTTGCTTGAATGCCCACTCGGGTCCACGTCTGCACTCTACGGGATGCAGTCATACATTATGAGTACAGTGCCACGGTGCCACTGTTTCAATATCTTCGCGCAAGGAAGCTTCACAAAAGGAATGGGATAGAGATCTAGTCAAAAGCTCGAATCCGAATGGTTGCATTTTGACCTTGAGCCACCAGTACGAAGTACAGCCTCAACCCAGACACACGAATACGCCTATTCGCAACCTTGAGCGAACCTATAGCAGATGGGTCCAAGGATAGGAACTACTCCGTATGTAGGTATGGAGTAAAGGCGACAATCAAATTTCCATGTGGACCAGTACGGAGTAGTCATCGGACATACGAATACTCCGCGGTGTATGATAACCATCTTTTAGGTCAGCACGACCGATGTCTGGATGGAGAATCGAATCCGTTGGAAAAAACGTCCATTGAGATGCTTTTGAGGCCCTGGGCTTGGACTGGCAGCCCCTCGGCCCTCGAGCCAAGCTCGTGTACCATACCTATCTAGGCGCTGGGCGGGCTTTAATCTTTGCGTATCTGCCGCCACAGGCATTCCATTGGCTTGTGCCTTTAGGCGGACCACGGCTGGAGATCTTGCATGGCTGGCCTTGCTTCGGGTGACCGAGTTCCCGAGAGACGAACCCCCAGGCAGCAGAACCCAGGCACCCATGGGAATCCAGGTTGCATGATAGCGTCAACCTTTTCAGGCCCAGTGGCACCTTGGCCATGGTTGTAACCGTATTTGACTTCGTAATAGTTAAAAGTTAGCGAGGTCAAGTTGCAGTACGGAGTACGTAGTAGGTATGTCCTTGAGAACGCAATTCTCGGACGATAGAACAAGTAAGGTCAACGAGTGTCAAAGACAGCCCGAGACGCCCTCCTCGGGGCCCCTCGGCCCACCCGGCGGTGCTTTGACCCTTGTTCGTATCACCCACAAGGACAGACCTGGACACAGACGAACTTGCTCTACAGCAGTACTCCGGTGGACCTAGCAGTACTAACTTAGGGAGTACTTTAGCTACTCGGTCTTTCTGTCCTTTTGCCTGTGGGATTGCCCATGCAATGCCTTGCCATGCCACGCCATCCTACCATTCTTCCCTACAAAGTTACGCGACCTTTTCGTCCGCTTCTTGGCCGATCTCCATCTCATTATCCACTCAAAGAATTTCCGTGCCAGTTTTGCCAGTTTCCAATTCCATCCACCAACACGTCAACACTTCCACACTCTCATCCTTTCTCGTATTTTCACCCAATGTTTTTCTTGCTTCGTACTTTTTGCCTCCATCTTTATATTAACTTCGGAACCCCATCTTTTTTGTGACCCTCTCAGACGCTCTCCCTTGCTCCCTCCATCTTTGTTTTTCATTCTATCATGTTTTAATCTTCTTCAACCACCGTTAATCCCCCTCCTTGGGAGCTGTAAAGAACCCGCCTTACTCCCGGGTGGCCACCGTTGGCCTGATATTCTCCAGTCATGTCCACTCCACTGGTTGGCAACTTTACAACCAACAATGACCGGACGCGTCAAACCACTGGCGCTAGTCTTGACCGCAGCGACTACGACCAGCATGCCTTGGATCCTTCTTTGTCTCACGACGGCGGCCCAGTTATCGACGAAAGCGATCAAGTAGATCGCCAGGTTCTAAAACTTGCCAGAGAATATTCAAACGCCTCTAGTTCCCATGGCATTGCCCACGTTTTTGACCCAAGTTCTCAGGGTTCTCAGATTGACCCTGAGTCTGATGATTTCAATTCCCGCGCCTGGACCAAAGCCATGTTGCGTTTACAGAAACAGTCTGGCCAGGAGAATATCGGTCGTACCGCAGGCTTTTCTTTTCGTAATCTCTCCGCCTATGGCTACTCACAAGGCAGTGATTTCCAGAAGACTGTCGATAACTACATCCTTGCCGGTGCCGATCTGCTACGACGTATAACCGGCAACAAGGGCCAACGTGTTGACATTCTCCGCAACTTTGAGGGTCTCGTCAATCAAGGAGAAATGTTGGTAGTCCTGGGTCCTCCAGGATCAGGTTGTTCCACATTTCTAAAAACAATTGCCGGTGAAACCCATGGTTTTCACCTGGGAGGCGAGTCTTATATCAACTACCAAGGTACGATCTGTTCACGCCCATTCTCTCCATTCCGGCTTGACTGACCTCCTAACCTCCTTGCAGGTATTAGCTACAACCAGATGCACAAGGATTTCCGCGGCGAGGCCATCTACACAGCTGAACAAGATATCCATTTCCCCATGTTGACCGTTGCCGACACCCTGTTGTTCGCCGCCCGCGCCCGCACTCCCCAGAATCTCAAGCTGCCCGAAGGTATCACTAAACTAAAGTATGCACAGCATCTGCGCGATGTCGTCATGGCAACCTTTGGCATAAGGCATACCTTCAACACAAAGGTCGGCAACGACTTTGTTCGTGGTGTCAGTGGTGGTGAGAGAAAGAGAGTCTCCATCGCCGAAGCTGCACTGAGCGGCGCTCCACTCCAGTGCTGGGACAACAGCACGAGAGGTCTCGACTCGGCTAATGCCATTGAATTCTGTAAAACCCTCCGCACATCCACTGACCTGAATGAGACCACGGCTGCTGTCGCCATCTACCAAGCTCCCCAGTCTGCCTATGACTACTTCGACAAGGTCATTGTCATCTACCAAGGCCGTCAGATCTACTTTGGTCGCACCACCGATGCTCAGCGTTATTTTGAGAACCTCGGATTCGAATGTCCTAAGCGCCAGACAGCCCCGGACTTTCTCACCTCCATGACCAATCCAATTGAAAGAGTCGTCAAAAAGGGCTTCGAGTCTCTCGTGCCAAGAACCCCCGACGAATTCGCCCAACGATGGCAGAACAGTGAAGAACGCAAAGCTCTTCTCCAAGACATTGACAATTTTGACAAGGCTTATCCTATCGGCGGCCCCAGCCTCCAGGCGTTCCAAGCCTCCCGCCGCATTCATCAATCAAAGTCCCAACGCAAGTCTTCTCCATACACTTTGTCCTATGGCAGTCAAATCAGCCTATGCCTTGGCCGTGGCTTCAAGCGTCTAATGGACGACCCTTCCATCACTCTAACTCAGCTCATCGGGAACTGTATCAATGCCCTCGTCGTCTCTTCGCTCTTTTATAATTTACCCACCACTAGCGACTCGCTCCGAGCCCGCAGTTCGCTGCTGTTCTTTGCCGTCCTCCTGAACGCCTTTGGCAGTGCTCTCGAGATCCTGACCCTCTACGCACAACGGCCTATAGTGGAAAAACACGAAAGATATGCCTTGTATCACCCCTCGGCCGAGGCCTTTGCCTCTATGTTGACCGACATCCCGTCAAAGACTCTCAACGCCATTGGTTTCAACCTCATCCTGTATTTCATGACTAACCTGCGCCGTGAGCCTGGCGCATTCTTCTTCTTCCTCTTCACCTCCTATGTCCTCGTCTTGACAATGAGCATGTTGTTTCGGTGTATTGCCTCACTTTCCCGTTCGTTGATCCAGGCATTGGTCCCAACAGCGGTGCTCATGATTGCCATCGTCGTCTACACAGGTGAGTCTTGACCTCGCATCCTTGTACACACACCACCCTTCTGCTAACCCCACCTCCAGGGTTCGTGATTCCCGTCAATTACATGCAAGGATGGGCTCGATGGATCAATTACGTCAATCCCACAGCATACGGGTTCGAAAGCCTGATGGTCAACGAGTTTTCTGGTCAGAACTACACTTGTTCATCATACATCCCCCCGGCACCACAATTCGGTGATGGCACCACCACAAGTCAAATTTGTACCGTCGTCGGCGCCGTTGCTGGCCAGACAACCGTCAACGGGGATGACTACATCGAGATCTCCTACCAATACTCGGCAGCAAACAAATGGCGTAATATTGGCATTCTCTTTGCATTTATGATCGGCATGCTGGGCATTTACCTCGCCGCCACCGAGACAATCTCGGCCAAAAAGTCAAAGGGTGAAATCCTTCTTTTCCGTAGAGGTCACAAGCCGGCGTTCCTCAACGAAAAAGTCTCCGACTCCGAGTCTGGAGGCTCAGATACCAACCTTGCATTGGAACGAAGGCAAACAAAAGACGAACAATTGACCCGCCAAGTATCAGCAGTCATCCAGAAGCAAACCGCAATCTTTCAATGGAAAGACGTGTGCTACGATATCAAGATCAAGGGTAAGCCTCGAAGGATTCTCGACCATGTGGACGGCTGGGTCAAACCAGGAACTATGACTGCTCTGATGGTAAGTGACAATGAGTCGAATACTTTTGACGTGTCATCACTGACCAACCTAGGGCGTATCTGGTGCTGGAAAAACAACTCTCCTCGACTGTTTGGCTACACGCGTCACCATGGGTGTCATCACCGGTGAAATGCTCGTTGATGGCAGGCAAAGGGACGAATCGTTTCAGCGAAAGACTGGTTACGTCCAGCAGCAAGATTTGCACCTCGAGACAACGACCGTGCGTGAGGCGTTGAAGTTCAGTGCCTTGTTGAGACAATCGCGAGATACACCTCGAGCCGAGAAAATTGCCTACGTTGAAGAAGTCATCAAACTCTTGGATATGCAGGAATATGCCGATGCGGTAGTCGGCGTTCCGGGCGAAGGTGAATTTCAATCCCTCTTTACTGACCGGGCAAAGCGCTGACAAGGGCTCAGGTCTGAATGTCGAACAGCGAAAGAGACTCACCATCGGGGTGGAGCTCGCCGCTCGACCGCAGCTATTGTTATTCCTTGATGAGCCAACGTCTGGACTGGATTCACAGACTTCTTGGTCTATCCTGAACCTCCTCGAGAAACTTACCCGTGCAGGCCAGGCCATTCTCTGTACTATCCACCAGCCCTCTGCCATTCTCTTTCAACGTTTTGATCGCTTGCTATTTTTGGCTGCTGGCGGGAAAACTGTCTACTTTGGTCCTGTCGGCCACGACTCCAACATCCTTATAGACTACTTCCAACGAAACGGCGCATTTGAGTGTCCTCCGGGCGCCAACCCTGCCGAGTATATGCTTGAGGCTATCGGTGCTGCCCCCGGCTCTCATAGTGACATCGACTGGCACCAAGTCTGGCGATCTTCTCCCGAGTACCAAGAAGTGCAAGCCGAACTTGAGCAGATGAAGGAAGAGCGGTCTCAGATTGAATCCCCCGCCACCTCCCAGAAGTCCGATTATTACGAGTTTGCCGCACCATTTTATTTGCAATTCTGGGAGACACAGAAACGGATCTTCGAGCAATATTGGCGTACTCCCGAGTACATCTATTCCAAGATGCTCCTCTGCTGCTTGGTCGTATGTTGTGCCGCACTTCGATTGCTCGGGACACTGCTAACACGCCCACAGGGTCTTTTCATTGGATTTTCGCTCTTCAAGGCGCCAAATACCCTTCAAGGGCTGAACAATCAGCTATTTGGCATCTTCATGCTGCTCATCCTCTTCTCACAGCTTGTTCAGCAGATCATGCCCTTGTTCGTCACGCAAAGAAGCTTGTATGAAGCCCGGGAACGACCATCCAAAACCTACTCGTGGAAGGCATTCATGCTCTCTAATGTTCTTGTCGAGTTGCCCTGGGCCACGCTCGGCGCAGTTGTACTGTTCTTCTGTTGGTATTACCCTCTTGGCTTGTACGAAAATGCCACCTATACGGATTCGGTCACCTCACGTGGGGCTTTGCAATTCCTCTTCCTATGGGAGTTCATTCTCTTCAGCAGTACATTTTCGCATCTGATGATTGCGGGCATTGCTACAGCTGAAGCAGCCTCCAACCTGGCCAATGTGCTGTTCTCGCTCTGCATCCTATTTTGTGGTGTCCTAGTCGGCCCCGATGCCATGCCTGGGTTCTGGATCTTTATGTATCGGGTAAGCCCATTCACCTATCTTGTCGAGGGACTTTTGGGCAATGGTGTCGCTCAGGCCCCGGTGGTGTGCTCTGCGAGCGAGTACTCCCGGTTTGATGCACCGTCTGGCATGGATTGCGGAGAGTATCTCCAGGAGTACCTCGCTGTCGCGGGGGGGTATTTGCAAGACCCCAATTCAACAACCTGTCAGCTTTGTGCGATAGACAACACAGATACATTCTTGGCTCTGGTCAACATCTCGTTTGGAAATCGGTGGAGAAATTTTGGGATCCTTTTTGTCTACATCATTTTCAACGTGTTTGCCGCCACCGCCATCTATTGGCTCGCACGAGTGCCAAAGGGCAAAAAGTATGCCGGTAAAGATAGGGATGGGAAGCTAGCATTGGTCAAAACGGAAACAAATAGCGACAATGTGGCAAAGAGCAGCCAGGACGGCTTTGAAAAGAGCATCGTGGAGGATAACAAGCCCCGGAGGAGCGCGGAAGGAGTACTGGCGTCCGAGAAGGAAGGCAGGTCAAGTCGTGATAATCCCGTGTTAGGGGATACAAAACCTTCCCTTACAGACAAGCATCTGGAGGAGAGCATGAACGGAGGTAGCGGGTCTGCCACAAGTGGTCCTCCCTTGGCTGCCGAGGGTGACCGCCCGGAGCCCAAACGGTTTGTGACTGCCCAGGAGTTTTGAGATGATTGTTGTTTGGCCGTGTTTATGGCCTCAATGAAGTCCGTATCTGTTGATAGATGGATAGATGGATAGATGGATAGATGTCTAATGTACAAACAATTTCATTTGGATACAGGAGAGGAGAGAGGTGTGCTGCTTGCTCTGTGACAGTGAAATTCCAAGCTCGATTCAAAACTCTATGGAGTATTTTTTATCATCCTGTGGAAGACAGCCTTGTCCAACAAGTCTAAGGGAAACAACATGGGCGACTCTGAAGAGGCCGGTAGCGCCGTTCTTCCTCGTTCCTTGACAAATCTACAAATTGGCAACCATTCCCCAGCATTTCACACCCGACCCTCCATCCTCGACCCAACCCTGCTCATTGATGGCTCCTGCACCAATGACCACCGTCTCGACTACGCGGAATCCCAAGTGGGCATAAACATCTCTCGCATGCTCGCTTATGGCCTCCAGCCACAAGGGAACTTCTTGCTGCCGGGCCTTCTCAATGAAGGGATCAATGACCCCTCGAATCGCACCTAGACGTAGCAATATTGATTAGAATCAGTTCAAGAGAGGTGTGCGCGTCGGAATTTGTAGTGCGATCACTGACTTGGATTGGTTTCGTGTAAGATGCTCACCTTTGTCTGCTCTCGAAGGAGAACGCGCAATGAGATTTAAATACCAATAACTCCGGTCACCTAATGTCTTGGCCTTGAGGGCGTCGAACTTGTCTCGATACTCAAGAATGCCTCTGTGCGTGGTGGTGTATGGTGGCTTTTGGATTCCTGGTGGCAGCCTAGTCGTCGACGAGTCAGCCTGGTCAGTTATACGACGCTGCTGATTTACGGCATTTCAAGGAGGAGGCGTCCAACTGATGAATGGCTGGCATCCGATGACTCACCACAACGCTACCGCAGCCCAGTCGTAGGTCTGCACCAGAACGCCACCATTATCTGCTCGCCCTCGCACGAGCGGCAGCCAGTGGTCAAGAGCCAGTTGTGGATTCTGCAATTTGGGATTGTCAGGCTTCGACTCATCTCCCAGGCGAAGCCATCGATTCAATGGGTCATTGTAGAAAGCCTCGGCAATGACTTGGGCAAACTGTGCAATGTGGTCTGGGTTAGTAACCTCATTCAGACTTCCTGCAGTGGCCGACGCCATCAAAACCTATGACTCGTGAAACAGGATTGAAGTTTGCTGGACTGTTGGAAAATAATTACACGTGATTTGCGATCTGGGAGCCTTGAAGATTGTGGGAATGGCGAAAGTCGACTCATTTTCAACCTATTTTCAGCCGGACAAGTCCGTGCAAATGTGGAGGACGAATGGACCGAGTGACCGAGTCTTAATCTGATCGTGATTGAGGTTGGAGAAGCCCTCTAAAGCCAATTCACAGGGAGTTCCCGTGGGGGAGAGACTATGTGTGCTCTAATCTACCTTGGAATTGCATGGCTAGACTCGCAAAAGGCACTTGACAAGAACAAGCTCCTAACCTCCAATCACGTAAACTTGCGCCGACAAGCTAAGGATCAGTGTGCTCGTTCCTTGGGATCGAAAGTCTCCGCAGTAGGATGGTCGATTCGGGCCCGCTTTGGATACCAATAGAATAAGTAATAATTCTGTCGCTTCGGGAGCTCTTTACGTTGCTCGACATCTGCGTTCTCCTGGTATTGCCTAATTGAAGACTGTGCAGCCCTGCTGCAAAAGTTGCGTTGTGCCTATACTCCCTTATTGACAGTGGAAATCCCGAAAGCAGGTCACCATAGTCATGGCCATTACAATATTCAACAATGCTCGCATATTCACATCTTCACCACAGTCGGAAGACCTTTTCAGTGGTTCTTTGATGATTGACAATGAGACCATTACATACGTCGGGCCCAGCGATGGCGAAGAGATTGCCAGAGCTCGAGCTGGTGGCGCTTCAGAACTTGACATGGAGAACAAAGTGATCACTCCGAGTTTCATCGATGCCCATATACATATCATGCACCTTGGTCAAGCATTGGGGAAGCTCAACATCTTATCTTGCAAATCTTTCGCTGAGATCTCACATCAAATCAGGACCTGGGCAGCGTCGAACCCATCTGCACCGCGAATTCTGTGCCGAGGATGGCTGCAAGCTTCCACAGGCGGCAAAGCGCTCGCTTCAATGCTTGACGGGCTCGATCAGCGGCCAATCTATGTTGAGGCAATGGATCTGCATTCAGTGTGGTGCAACTCCGCCGCTCTAGAAGAACTAGGCGTTGCATCAATGCCCGATCCTCCTGGTGGCACGATTCATCGTGATAGTCAAGGAAGACCATCGGGCCTCCTTGAAGAAATGGCACACCTCGGCATCGTGGTCCCTTTCCTTAGCAGTGTCCTCTCGCCCGAACAAGCTCACATGGCCCTACATCGTGCAGTCCTCGCACTCTCACAAGCGGGGTACACGGGGTTTATCGACATGGCCATGGACGATGAGCAGTGGTCAACAATATTGGAGTACCGGAGACAAAAGATTCTACCAATTCATGTGGCGGCTCATTGGCTCATCCCGTATGACGAGGAAATTGAACAGGTTCAGGCCCATATGGAAAGGGCAATTGCGATGCATGCGAAGTACAACCCATCCACATCCCCGTCTCTCTGCGTAGTTGGTATCAAGTTGATCGCCGATGGGACTGTTGATGGTTGCACAGCTGCATTGAGCAAGCCCTACGGCGCCAAAGACGACCCCATCGAACCGATCTGGCCTGCGGCGCAATTAGCGGAAGTGGTCCGCCAGGCAGATGAAGCAGGGCTCCAGGTAGCCATTCACGCAATCGGGGATAGAGCGGTAAGCGAAGCGCTCGATGCATTTGAACAACTTCCTCGCAGCCCACATTTACGTCGACATCGCATCGAGCATCTGGAACTCACGTCCGACTCGGATGCAATGCGTCTAGGCAACCTAGGCATCACTGCTTCGGTACAACCTGTGCACTCGGACCCTGTCCTGTTCCGGGCATGGCCATCCCTGATAGGCACTCACAGGTGTAAGCGAGCGTTCGCATATCGAGATTTCCACCAGCACGGATCTCCTCTAGCCTTTGGAACGGACGCACCAACCGCAGCACATTACCCATTGCCAAACTTGTACAATGCGACGACAAGGCGATCTGCCCTGGAGCCCGCAAGTCGTGAAAGGACGAATGCGGATTTTGCAGTGTCCATGGCAACAGCTCTCAAGGCTGCCACTTCAGGTGCGGCTTATTCACGGCACGCTGAAACATGGACCGGTAGTTTGCAAAAGGGACTGAGTGCCGATTTTGTAGTTCTTGAAAGTGATTGGACCGCTGATGGACTGCTGGCAGCGACTGTGCATCAGACCTGGTTCCGTGGCAGGCAAGTCATCGACCTTCCGTCGTCTTGAAATGAGAAGGCGTGTCCAACCAAAATCAGTGTGCGAATCTAAAGTCAAGTCTCTTGTTGCCTTCGTCTTTGCTTTTGGCAAGGTACGACAATTGTTGCTGTTGGGACATTGAATACCATCTCCTATCGCGATGCCTGTTGCGCTGCTGATAGTAGACTTTCGTAAGCGCGTATAGGCTGATGTTCACAATTGCCAGATTGCCGCGAATATACCTCGGCGCATCGTCTGTCTTTGGTCAGAATTCATGGTCCGAAGAGATCGGAGTGGGAATATCACCGTCTCGGTAGATATTGGCTGACACGACACCTTCAGCCTGTACGAACATATTGTACATTGCGGCAGAAACAGTTCGTGTACGAACTGAGTTTGAGTTGCGAGAATTCCACCCAACTTGAATTGGATGTGCTAGAGTCTATTAGCACTGGTGTGGCCTAGCATTCGCCATGCACTTGCCTGAAGGGTAGCCGAGGAAGACTGTGGTGACGAGCCATATTATCCATCTGTTAACGTTTGTCGTGTCCACCACATTAAAATACACAAGGAAGGGCAAGGCCCAGAGTTGTCCCAGCCAAGCGATGAATGTCAGCTCCCCCTTGATCTCTGCCAAGTAAGTGATGAACATCATCGTGGACACTATGGACGATGAGCAGAGGTTTGGTTCAAGAGTATTGCCAACTCACTATGTATAATTGTCCAGGGGATGGCAAGCAGGTTGGACTGAAACGTATCAAATCCTAAACCACGCAAGGATAGTGTTAGATACTGATGAGGTGGTGTCATCGGGATCTGAAAGGTCAGCCCTAGAACATAGATTGGCCTTTATACTTGTTAGCCACAGCATCTTCTTGGAGCAGAAGCTTGTGATACCATAGATCATAGTCTTTCAAACATTTCCACAGCAGCATAGGTGTGATCGGCTGTCGGTTATGCATATCGCCCTTACTAGGATCTTCCCGTATGACCCGGGTAATCATGATAACCTCTTCCCTGAATTGAGTCAGTAAGCGGGTCGCTTTAATCTTCTCAACACGTCTCGCGAACCAACCTTGGTGTAAACCAACCCTTTTGTCCTCGAAACCAGCTGGCTGTATGGGTCGGAGATGATGGCATTAGGCCAAACGCAAGTGCTCCTATGACCAAGGTGAAGAGTGCCGGCAGAGAAGTAAGCTTCAGGAGAGTGAGTGTTGTTTGGCCTGCTCACCTCGATAAGGAACATCCAGCGCCAACCAGCATGGCCCTCTATTCCCCTCATGTGCAACAATCCATATGCAAAGACTCCTGCCAGCATGTCTGCCAGACTCATTGCCATCCAAAAGAATCCCATGCGGAGTGACAACTCATGGTGTTTATAGAAATAAGAAAGGTATAAAATGACCTAAAATGTCAGCAATGAGAGCAAGACTTTTAGGCTTCGAGCCTGACCCACGTCAGGAATGAAACCGCCCTGTAGAAGCCCAAGCAGTGATCGGGTGACTAGAAACGAAGTTCGTCCCGAAAGCATGAACTGGGTTGCTGCCACGACGGACCAAATGGACATTTGCGCAGGTATCCAACGATCAGGTCCTATCCACTTGGATGCCAGTTGAGAGGGAACTTCTGCACAGAGGAACGAGAGCTTGAAGACGGTATTCCCAAGATTATAGTCTATGCAACGAGTTAAAAACACCCCGTACCCTGAACTTCTGATGTTTGTAAAAACACACCGTTGGTAGTGAGGTTCAGGTCTTCCAGAAAGTTGTCAGTAAGTGCTTGGAGGATATTCGCACGGTCCAATTCAAGGGCCATAAACATGATACAAGCGAAAATCATGATCCTAATGTCAATCTTGCGGATAAGCTTATGTTCCTCTCGCCAGGTCCACCGAGCGGACGGATCGAACCGATGGATATTTTCCCTTTCGTTGTCAATTCCAGTGGAGAGACAATCAAGAAAGACCCACCAGTCGTCTCGAGGATAATATTCACGTGCAGTATCACTATCATCAAAGACGCTAGGCTGCGGACAGTTAGAACACAACCATGATGCTAGAAAAGACCACCACATCTCACAAGAGTCGCAATTGCATCGGGGTCACATGCAGTGCCCCTTTGAAACCAGAAGCGTTTTTCAGCGTGAGGAACGCCCAGTGGTAGGCCCTTAAGGTTGTCGTTCGAGGAGAGATTTGATGTTCTTTTCTCCGCTGTACCAAGCAGCTGAGGGCGCTCCCCTTTCCAGGAGCCGAGCAGGGCAACAGATTCGGACTGTTCATCATATTCAGGTTCATCAACCGGTGGATTTACCCCCCGCATGATGGTCGCCATCGGAATATTTACTTCGGTCGCCACAGTGATGACTGAAGTATGAAACAAAGTGATGATATCTATATGTTTCGAATGGGAGTTGCCAGTCGTGACAACGATGATGTGCTGGCCGGTTGGGGGTAGATCCGAGGGCAACAGGGAGCTCTGACACTTTCGCGGTACTGAAGATACCGTGCTCTCAAGGCTAAATGTAATTGAGAAGTGGTGGTCCGTCGTTTGGTGATAAAGTGGTGCATTCATAGAGCGGCAGTTACCTGGTCTGTCCAAGAGCCCTGAGATCTCGTAGAACTGGTCGAGGCAGAAGAGCCGTCCTCTGTCGAGGCGTGGTGAGAAAACAGGAGTCTACCTCAATCGCTAATCTGATAAATTAACTTGATGTGTAAAGATTGAATATGGAGGGTACGGGTTGGGTCTGATGATGCCATTTGTCGCCTCGTCACACCATCTGAACAACCGCAGCCAAGAATACAATATCTTGTTGAGAACATGAACCAACACTGCGCTAGAATTGCGAAAGATTTACACAAGCCACTCAGAGTGTCAGGATAGTATTCCTCATCGGTTGCTCACATTCTGCAAACATTGCAACATGAGGGGAGCTGGTACGCGTTGTATGGCTTTGCACGAAAAGGCAGTTGTAGGTCGAACAGATATTAAGGCGAGGAAGAATCCAAGCTGAACGAAATCTTGTCTACAAACGGTTGCCAACCTGGGATCATCTCGTGCGAATCAGTACCATTCTAAACAGGAAAGAATATTTCTGAACCAGAATATGGCGCCCTCCGCGATCGAGGTTCAGGCGTTTCCGGTGGAGAGCAATGTGCTGACTCAGAAGAGTGTCAGTGGTAGGCAGCCGCTGAAATATTCTGGAGCTCTGGACCAGTTTACTTCAGAAGACGTCACCCCAGTGATTGGGACTGAATACCCTGATACGAATCTGGTGGAGCTACTGAAGTCACCAAGGGCAGATGAGCTGCTGCGGGACTTGGCTATCAAAAGTAACGTCATTCGGGCATACCTTCGGACAAGAGCATAGGGGCTGACAGGCCAGTCTCGGAGAGGGGCGTGGTTTTCTTCAGGAAGCAAGACGACCTGACCAACGATCTCCAAAAGCAACTTATCCAGCGACTTGGCGAGGTCACTGGAAAGCCAACAAGTTCAGGGCTGCATATCCACCCTATTCTGAACTCGGAGAGAGAATTGGGTGGATCCGACCCAGAGATCAGTACGATCAGCTCCGTCCAGAACGAGAAACTTTACAAGAAAAGTGTTTATGATCTGAGCAAGAAGTTGCAGAGAAGTGCTCAATGGCATGCGGATATATCGTTCGAGCCAGTCCCGGCTGATTACACCTCGCTGCGACTGACTGAATTGCCACGAACCGGAGGAGGTACGTTTGGTGTAATGGTATGGGAAGAAAGGCTAATTTTGTATGGGACAGATACTCTGTGGGCCTCGGGTTATGAAGTTTACGACCGGATCAGCGAGCCCTATCAAAAATTCCTGGAAGGACTGAATGCAACATTTGCCCAGCCAGCCTTCAATGAAGTGGCTGAAAGGGCAGGCTTTGAACTGTACGAGAAAGAAAGAGGGTCCCCAGAAAACGTCGGAAGGGAGCTTAAGGCGGTCCACCCGGTGGTACGGACCAACCCAGTGACAGGGTGGAAGAGCATCTTTCCGATTGGAGGTCATGTCAAGCATATCAACGGACTGACCGAGTATGAGAGCAAGGCTCTTCTCGACTGGTTCTTGGATTTGGTGCACAAAAACCACGACCTGCAGGTGCGCTTCAAGTGGAAGAATGCCAACGATATTGGTAGGTTGGATGTTCATGATTTGCAGGCGAGCTCTGACACGTTATTAGCAATATGGGACAACCGCAGTGTGTTCCACTCAGCCACTTTCGACTACAAGGGAGAAGGGGATAGGTTTGGCAACCGCGCAGTTGGAATTGGAGAGCGACCGTATTTTGATCCGAGCAGTAGGTCAAGACGGGAAGTGCTAGGCCAGCTGCATCATGTCGAAGCTTGAAGATCCAATGCCCTTGTGGAAGGAGGAAGCTTGGGCTGCAACAGATAGAGCCTCAGTGTGATAGTGATTAGGCAGTCCGAATGTTCATACTTTATCTTGTGTATTAGTAAGAAGTGACGTGCCATGTCATGTTGTGTTATGCGTTTCTCCGTTCTGTGACTTGTACACAGAAGAAACGTAGCTGTCAGTGAAGGGAGTTTATACTGAACCTTCTCTCTGTCCTAATTACAATATGCGGTGAACGTCGAACTCTGGTCCTGTGCTTCGCTCGGGAGGCGCCGCAAGGCTTGCGTCTTCACCTCGGCAGAGCTCGGTTCATACATTTCAGATCTCCATACCGGTAACGAATGCTGCCCCAGTGTAGGCTTTTGATTCTGAAACCGTCCACAGTGCCAAAGACATGTAGCTAAAGATATATTCGTTTCTTCAAAACTCGCAGAAAGCCTCACAAACGAGCACACGAAAAAGAGGACCTCAATGACTGCCGCAATAGGGTCACCACAAGCACCACAGGGTCCAAGTTCCCACAGGGCACTACAGACATTCTTACCATTTCTGGTTGGCGGGGCATCCGGTATCACCGCAACACTGTGCATCCAACCCATCGACATGGTCAAGGTTCGCCTCCAACTTGTGGGCGAAGGCGCGAGAGGCGGCGTTAAACCAACCCCAATTAGCGTTGCCAATCAAGTAATCTCAGAAGCCGGCTTTTGGGGGCTCTACAATGGTATATCTGCCGCGTTGTTACGTCAAGTTGTGTATGGGACCTCCAGACTAGGCCTGTTCTTCACTTTTGAAGACCTTCTCAAGAAGCGATGTCAAACCAATGGCACAACATACGAATTCAAAGAGCGAGCTTTTGCTGGTCTCAGTGCAGGGGGATTGGGCGCCCTAATTGGGAATCCGACTGAGGTGGCTTTGATTCGCATGCAATCAGATGGTACGAGACCAGCCATGGAGAGAGCAAATTATTCTTCCGCTATCGATGCTTTACGACGCATTATCAAGACTGAGGGGATCTCAGCTCTGTGGAGCGGTGCAACTCCCACGGTGGTGCGAGCAATGGCAACTAACTTTGGCCAACTTGCTTTTTTCTCCGAATCGAAATATCAGATCGAGAAACGCACAAACCTATCAGAGAGGTCCCGAACTATTGGTGCTTCGGGAATTGCAGGATTCTTTGCAGCCTTTTTCAGTCTCCCATTTGATTTTATCAAAACCAGACTGCAGAAACAGGTTCGTGGGCCGGATGGTAGACTACCTTATAGTGGAATGGCAGACTGTTTTGCCAAAGTCGTCCGAGAGGAAGGACTCTTTCGATTTTACAGAGGGTTTACAACATATTTCTTCCGGATGGCTCCACATACGTAAGCTCTCCTGATTAATTGGTTGAATTCAGGAGCTCACCATTTCTGCAGAATTATCACACTCATAGTGGCAGACTCCATAACCGGCGGACTCAAGAGTCGTGGCATCATGTAGGCTAAGATATAGTAGTCCCCAGTCTCTATGCTGTATGCGATACATGCCATGTGAGAATTCAGGATTAAAAAGAAGCCATCAAGGCTATGGTGCAAGACGACATCATGCTGTATCCTGAGGGAGGAGGTCAGTATATTAGGTAGAGAGATAGAACAAGCCACCCGCGAAAGGACTTTCGTGGAAAAGGATCTATTCAACTGATGGCCATACAATAAGCGGTTGATTATACTTTACTATCACGAATCAACTCTATCGTAAGCCCTCAACCGAGCGCCTGAATTTGATGAAACATGCTCCGCGTTTCCTGGGTATAAGTAGTTGTCTATGCCGATAATGATGTATCAGCTCCGCATGTAAAGAACACCAAATCTCATGCATTATCAAAGTTTCGACAGCGCATGACTCCTACCATCATAAACCCTGACCTTCTTCCACAACGCCACATCGAGCATTCTCTGCGAGAGACGCCTCCCTAGGTTGGTGCTACCTAGCATGCCTCTGTCCAAGCATCGAGATCGATATTTTTCATGATGGTTGAAAATCCCTCTGTGGAGGGAGCGTCACAAATTTCCTTCTTTCGACTCTCTGAAACGTCTTCGTTGTTCGAGACATCCTGTCCTTTCGGGTACTCCACATGGAAAACAGGTTTCTCCTGCAGGATGAAAAGAGAGTAGGTGTCGCATTCATCATACTGTAGGCATTGCTCGTTCACACTCCATTCAGTCTGGTTGATGACCGACGGTATGATGGCTCCGGCATCTTTAAGCCCAATAGCCAATCCTCGCTGATGAGCCTCCTCCGACAAGAACGACATGTAATCAATGGAATCGGCCTCAGTCAGTTGTAACCCGTTGTCATTATCATATGCATCAACATTATCCGGATCCACGCCATCGCAATGTTTCTCCACCGCAAGGTCCAGCCTCCTAGTCATGATCTCCCGGAGCTGGCTCGAGCTGATATTGACCCAGCGCTCACCCGGCCAGCCATCAAGGTCGTGTCCCAAATCAACCTCATTGAAGGATGTGTTATCGGGCCTCCAGTCTTCGTAACTCCCGGCCGAGAAGTAGCAGATGACATTGTTTCCTTTCGTGCGTAGGTCGACAATAGTCGAGGCATCATTGTCAAATAAATCAATGATCCACACTTGGAAGCCGTGTGCAGTAGTTGTATTAACAGCCGAGTTGAGTAAGTAGTTCCAAGAAGTTCCTTTTGCAGGCCTCCAAATTTCTGTTGTTGCTGTTGTGTTGTGGTCCGAAGTTGGTAGTGTGCTTGACGGCGGGTTGGTGTCTGTCACACTTCTTCTCGTGAGACCGACGCCGAGCCCAACCGCGAGGGCGATCACTATCACGACAGTTGCAGTCCCCATCAAAATCCATCTCTTTCGCCATGCCCAACGACCAGTGGAGGGCTTCGGGGGAACCTCTGCTGGCTGTGGTGATTTATTCATTTCTGAATAGATAAACAACGTTTATGGTTCAACGATGCAGAGCTGATATCAGTGATTGAACATTTCTAGAGCGGTCAACTGGATCTTGAATCAGGCCAATACTTAAACCATGTCATGCAGAGGAAATTATGATAGACAGTCGAGGAAGATAAACGTAGAGATATTAAGCTCAGCCAGCCTCTTCAATGTTGCTGACGGAGGCCTGGATCGTTCCACTAAACCTATTTTTAAAGATGTCGTCCTGATCCTACGCCAAGGAATCTTGCATTTGGAGAAGCTTTCTTCTAGAATTAGGCTGATATGAACGAATAGGACTTAGAATCTCGTGTGTGAAGTCGTGCTTCACCCCATCCCGCCCATTTTCGTTGATGGTTTCATCATCAGGTACAGTAGCATATATATTGATGTTATAGAATAATAAGCTATAGAAAGTCATTGCAGGGTTTTATAAGTAAATCATATAAAGCCGCCATGTATTGAGAGCTCTTGTCCAATGGGTATAGAGGTGATGATGCTATGCTACGTCAGGTCATGGTTCATCGTTTCATCGTATCAATCCAACTTTTTGGTTATATTAGAGCAAGAAAAACAAAGGTCCAAGGGCAAGCAGACCACCCTGCGAAAGACTCAAGTTCGACTTTCGGGTTGACGCTGCTCCAGTATACGAAGCCTGCACGAAATTATCCACAGACCGGGTTGGTTGCTGATCGAGTGGCCCTTGAGAAGAATGGGTCATCATGGCGATTTCACTGAATGGAGGCGGGACCCCAACAGAAGGGTCAGGAATAGTGAGAGTTGTTGAACGAGTCAACGTGACAGTGGTGTTGGCAGCGAGGTCGGTGTATATTATAAGTTCGGCGCCGGTGGCGCTCATCGGCGTTGTAATTTGGGCGGTATGCGATGACGCCACTCGTGTCGTTGTCGTGATCACCTCAGATTGGGCAAGTGATGGAGCGGTCAGCAAACTACTAGATCCTGTTGGCGATGATGTGGATAGAGCAGGGGCTTGAGGATATGAGGATACAAATGATTCCCGAAACAACAGCAAGATTGGGAGAACGAGGGTTGATGTATGCATCATCACAGCAAAGTTGGCACACTTGTATGGTATAATTTGACGTGGATAGGTGATTTCTTTGGCACAACAAAGCAGCGCTGGGATGGATGAATGAAGCTCGAGCCACCACCCGAGCAACTGTCGAGCGAGTTTTAAAACTTGTCTGTCATGGTGGCTGGAGGTTGCTGGGCCACTAAAATACGGGGCTGGTGTTCGTCATCAGGCGCAGGCAAGGTGGCTGAGACAGACGGACTTCTGGTGGCTGGGTCGAGCTTGCCTGAAGATCACGTGACACCAATTTTGCTCCTTTCATCTTTGCTCTACTAATAAGTATTTTATTTCATGCTGGACAGCAGAGTGTCTCGGCTCATTGATTTGCACCTTATACTTCTTGTTTCGACCCTAATAACATCTCTGAGGTCCGAAATTATTCTGTACTTCATTCGGTTGGGCCAGGCTGTCCAATTAGTCAAATGCTACGTGGCTCATATAGGAACGGTCTCCCAAGCCTCACATTTCTCTCCACTGGGAACAATCAACTCATCCTCGCTACGTTAACTGATTGCTGGACATGTCGTTAGCCCTAAGAGCTTTTCCTGCTGCTTCACAGGCGGACTGACTCAGTCTCAGTGTTATATGGATAGGTGCTTCAAGTACGCCTTGAAGATATCTCAGCCCTTTGAAACCCCGGTTCAATGAAACTTATCCAAGTCTGGACTAGAAGCGCGGCATCGCCAATTCGGGATTATTGGACGTCTACACTTCTACAACTATGAAAGTGAGTGTCTAGTGGAAGTGCCTCATCTCAGAGTTCATGTGATTGATGGTCTCATTTTTTAACATTATGCTTGACATTCCCATTGAATAATGAGTTGTCATAACGTAAGGAGCTTGAACGAGTACGAAAGACAAGTCATAGACACGAGCCGGTAACCGAAGTCACCACTCAATGGTGCCATGGCCAAACTTTAGGAGGTCGACTACTCCGCACTCTCTGTAAAAGCAGGTAGCCACATGACAAGGACTACTCCGTAGTGAGGGTCATGGAAGTACTTCCGAGACCAACAGCGGCTCTCTGGCCTAAGCTCCTACTATCGACAGCAACAATTGATCATTGCTTAAGCCACATGCCTCAATCGTCCGCATCCTTCGTGTTTTGAAATCCGAACTATAAACCATTCGTGAAGTCAATGTCCTTATTAACGCGCAGAGCTCCGTTCGGCCATGGATGAGTTCTATGCCTTAGGAGAGCGCCAACCTTTGACGTTACTGCGTTATAATCTAGACAGCAGTCCTCTGTTTTACTCAGGGGTTTCCCCCACTGGTATGAAGCCCTTGTTAGGTTTTTGCAGGGGTAATCATTGGAGTGAATGAGAACACGCATCATAGACGATCATGTGGAGGCTCGGCGGCCGTTAGGGCTCGTGTCACCCCTCTTATTGAATTGCAAAAAAGGCCGAAAACTTGAAGCATTCATTTAGGGTTACGAGGGAATGAACTGCATTATCCCTGGTGCTTTCGTCTCATTTGCTCACGATACGAGCTATTATTGGATGCGGAGACTGATCACTAGGAACATCAGTCAGACCACTGTACGTCAATCATTTTACTCCCACTATGGCAGCCAGAACCTTTTTCATTGCTTTTGAAGTCAAGGAATGTTTGTGCCCGCTTCTGGGTCACTACGAAGGTTTCGGATTGCGGCTCGTGCTGACACAGCTCGTGATTGAAACTTAGAAATATATTGCTTTTGTAGAAGTGAGATAAAATCAAAACGCTCGGCAAATAGGCTTGTGCCACCTTATTAGTATAAGTACTAACTCCTTTTGCAGATCAACCCTGAGCATTTCACTTTCACCTTGACCCTGTTTCTTAAACACTCACGTCTATCACACATTCTTTGAGACTATAAGTATGGGTACCGCATCGAAGATTATATCTGTGATATTTCGCGTTGGCGAACTTGTCTGCGCATCTATTGTCACTGGCATCTTAGGGTACTACCTATCCATTCTCGATGATGCTGATGTACCCGATGACGGTCGTATTGTTTACGCGGTGGCTATCGGCGGCATCAGCATATTCTTTTCACTCGTCCTGATTCCTCCACTACGATATTCATTCTGGGCTTTCCCCCTTGACTTTGCCCTTTTCATCTGTTGGATGGTTGCCTTTGGTCTGCTAACCAATGTGAGTGACCCTTTCAATCAGCCAATCGACGCTACGTTGGGCCCCTATGTTAATATTATGTTCTAGCGTACCGGGACGCAAGGTTGTGATTCCGTCTGGTACTGGAACACATGGGGCTACTACTGGGGTGGATGGTGGCGCACTGTTCCTGTTACTCGAATCTCCCCAGTACTTGTTGGTTATGGAAGTTGCTCGTCCTGGCGAAGCAGCCTTGCTTTCAGCTTCATCGGTGGAATGATCTGGCTTGGGAATGCACTCCTGGTAAATTTCCATTTCGAGTCAGTCTGAAAAGGGTACTAATTAGACACAGGGTCTCTACGTGTCCTCCAGTTCTCGCAAAGATCCTGCTCCAGAAGACTTCGAATCATCGTTAGTGTCTCTAGCATCATTTCTTGGTCAATTACCCGGCTAACTATAGTAGATCACAGCCACAAATGAAGGAGAGTGAGAACCCAGCGGCAGTTGAACAATCTTAGGGGTGGATTAGAGAGGAGGAAGGGTAATTAGCTCTACTAGCATTGATTATCTACCAATTCCTTAGCCATAAAGTGCCAGGAAATTACTTTGATCCCTATCGAATCGCCACAAACAGACTCACGAGTAGTTTCAGCGTTTAGGTTGAGTAAACATACCCCGGGATGCCTTCGACGTATGGCTTTACACTCTTGATGATTAAAGGGGACGTATGTGGTGTAGCTGGCCAGGCTAGTCGGCGTGCAGAGGGTAGATAGAAGCTGTCAATTATAAATGCGTCACGTTGGGATCAGTACCTGTCGATTTGATTTCCTATCTTTGGTCCCTTTGAGAAGTCGGTTTAATATGCAGCTGCATGAAAAGATAAGTGTAGGTGCAGTGGTTCCATTGTAGTAACTCCTTTATCATGACCCTATTTTGTCTCTAACTGACGACTCTTGCATTGTTGGTTATACGAAGCAGCTGCCGTAGCCTGAGATTGGGGAGGTAATCTTGAGCCAGTATTTGTACAATGAGAGGCTGCCCATAGTCTATAGGCTTTGGTATGCACTTTTCCGGAGACAATGACTCGGTGGTATCACCTATCAGCCTTGGGGAATGAAATGGCATTGCTGAAACCCAGTGCTCATCCTTCCAGCCTTTATATCTTTACACTAATTCATACTCTTCCATAAGCTTTCCAACTTCATTCTGGTCCAGCTTGTGGAGTAACCATTTTCGGACTCCGCCCGGAAGATGAATAGCAAACTTTTTGCCATCGCGGATGTGGTGAATCGCCTTCAACAAGATACGCACGTCGTAGGTCGAGCTATACACCTCTGGCACTGCGCGGTCGACACCAAGGAGCTGGTATACTGCTTCCATACCGGTCCTGATCGCATACTCAGTCGTGAAGATGCAGTCTCGTCCAGACTCGGCGAATTGGCCGATGAAGGCGAAGTTCGTGGCTCCTTGCGGGACCACGTCAGGGCGATCGCCGGCGCGGCGCGGCATAAAGAATGCCGTTACATATGGCATCATGACCGGGACGCACTTGGCACCATTAGCGGCAAGGTCGGGAATATCCTCCACTGGAGCGCCGATGTGGTACAGCCATTCTTGAGTGATCTCCTCGCCAGTGCAGTCCTGGAGGGGCTTCTTGACGAAATCGCCGGGAATGTCGACGAAGAGGCCGTAGACCCATACTACGATTTGATCTTTTGGTTGGTTCTTAAAGTGAGGTTGCCGATTGACGGTCCAGCTCATGAGCCACTTTGAGTCTCTTGCAGTGACGATTCCGCCGGTGACAACTTTGCCGCTAAAGGGATCTCTCTTACAGATCTTTTGGATGAGCTTAGGGATTCTGGCGTCCAGTGTTGTGACAGTCGCCGATTCCCACTTTGTCTCCGGGATATGGGACCCAAACACATCTGGCCGGCCGAAAGAAGAATGTTTAGCTGCGATACGTCTCCAAAGATCCCATGCTGGCGCTGGACCATCTAATAGAGCTGCCCTTGTGTGCTGATCGCCATTGTCCGACGATTCCGTCAAGGATCCAATTGTCATGAAAACCAAATCGTTGGGACCCAGGTCGACGCCACCATCTTGGCCGTTTCGGGTCCAACGAATCCTTGTCGCCTGTTTCTTGTTATTCTGAAAGGTGAAGTCGACGTCTTGAACCGTGGTAGCATACTGAAACTCCACGCCCCGGTCCATGAGCCACTTTTGCAGTGGTAAAACGAAGGATTCATACTGATTGTATTTGGTGAATTTCAAAGTTGAGAGATCTGGCATGCCATGGATATGGTGGATGAATCGATGTAGGTAGAGTTTCATTTCAAGTGCCGAATGCCATTCTTGGAATGCGAACATCGTTCTCCAGTACAGCCAGAAGTTACTCTGTAGGATCTCTTTGTCGAAAACTTCGTTGATTCGTTTGCCCTCCATTTCTTCCCGGGTGGCGAGGAACATTTTGATGAGCTGCTTTTGTGCCTTGTCACTGAGATTGAATTTGCGGTCCGTATGAGCATCTTGGCCTTGTTTGACTGTGGCTCGCTGCAAGGAATAATTAGGATCGTCCTTGTTCAGCCAGTAGAACTCATCGAGGACAGAAGCGTCTGGTATCTCCAGAGAAGGTATTGAGCGAAAAAGCTCCCAGAGACATTCGTAGTTGGACTCCAGTTCCCGGCCACCTCGAATGATAAAACCCTTTTCGGGCTCCTTGATTCCGTCAAGAGCCCCACCGGCGATGTCTTGCTCCTCAAGGATAGTTATTTTGTTCCCAGCCATTTGGCCATCTCGGATAAGAAATGCTGCCCCTGCTAATGAGGCAATCCCAGACCCAACAAACCATGCGGTCTTGTCATCGACACCGGCTGGCTTCCTTGGCTTCGCGAATGCCTCGTAATTTCCGTTGCTGTAGTACATTGCACCTATTTCGACTTGACGCTGTATTCAATAAGGCTGGTAAGGAGTAAGACGTGGAGTCTCAGTCTCGTTTAATAAGTCCGCAGGATTTCCTCACAATGACTTCCTCCTCATAGATGTGATACAGAGGCACAGGAATGTAGTCATTGACCGTATGTCATTCTTATCTAGTAGAGAGAGGAGGAGGAAGAGGGAGGAAACCTCTTCCTCGGCTACATACAGGCAGGTGCGAAGCATATTTGGTGGAGACTTTAGGAAAGAGCTCAGCTCCTGCAATAAGATCAGGTGATTCTTGACAAATGAAAGCATAGGTCATACCACAGCGAGAACTACTAGTTGAGGGAAATTAAGAATTATGCCCGTGCATCATATAGATTTATGCGCGTGATCGACCTCAGTTTCGCTTGGCATTTTTGTACGGTAATAGTGCCCGTGCGGGCAATATCACCCAACCGTGCACTCAATATCATACATAGTTCTCACCCTGTCTAACCGTAAGAGTACCTAGTAACATAATATATATAGCCAGATGACTCACGACTCTACATCTTTACTATTAGCCAAGACTTACGACTGTAAAGAACGGAATTTCTACACGAGTCCCTTCAATTTAATTGTACCATATGCTTATTAGGACATCGCTTAACAGGATATATATTGGGGCGTCGGTCCCATCACAATATATTCTACGGCTCTGCCTATCATAGCGCGCGGCTTACCTAGCCATCAAGCCATCAAGCCATCAATGTGTTTCATTGGTCAAATTGTGAGGCCGTGTGGGAGGGCTCGATTAGATCGATATTACTCGGCGCATAACACTTAGAGATGGCGGCTGGCTGTCTAGTAATATAAAGACGTCTAACAACGTTGACTAGAAGGGAAACTCTATCCCCCGTATACATTACGTATATAAGTAGCAGTGCCTTAGCTAGCCTCAGTCTTGCCTCTGGTGAATCGGTGGGTTCCCCGGGTCATCCCGCGAGAGGCCGGTTGACTAGCGCAATCTCGTGAAGCATCCATTTGAGGGAGATAGATATATAACCTCTGGCTTGTCATGTGTCGCCACGACACTTTGCTGATCGCCGAGCGTACAAGACGCGCGGCGTCGTTACATTCTAAAGAAGAGGAGAGAAAGTTACTCGCACGTGGGTCACGTGGGTCTCGTCTGCACCCATTGATCAGAAGATGGCCTGAATTGCCACCGGAACCCTAGTTTTTCATAGATTCAGATCGCACCCTATCTTTTTAAGCTTCGTGTTTTCGATTAATTCATGGGACGATTTCACTAGTTGACTTCTTGTTTTATTAGAATGCCATGAGGCAACCCTCTTATGTGGGGATAATATGCACTCGATGGGTTCGTTAGCATCTTGCCCAAAGCTAAGAGTTCTGACTCCCATAGTTGCCGCATTGAGTCCGTGCATATAAACAAGTCGGCCAGATCCGAGCGCCGCAGAAGTTCTAGATCCTAAGCGTCTCACTTCTGATCATAGCTGTGTCATTTTCCAATTAGTATGTAGGCTTCAGCTAAGCTCGTCTTTGGCCAGAGAAGTTGATCTTCAGAAGAAGCAACTGTCCTCGGTATAAACTTTTCATTTGAGAAACAAGACGAGAGATTAATCAACGGTTTATCAACACACCTTTCTTTCTTAGGGTCATTGTTCGACATCTGAGGAGAAACGCTCACAGATCCCGAGGATCTGGGTATCGATAACATGCGGATAAACATCACTCGCCTCTTCCTCGCTGCTGTGATTTTTGGGCAGCAGATCCCATTCGCGGTAGCCTTTGCTACACCCAGGCATTTACCTGTAGTAGACCTCGAATATGCTGTCCATCAAGCAACGCTAAGTGTAAGGAACAATCCTATAGGAGTAATTAACGATCACAGCTTACACAGACAAAGGAAACTGGCAACTACTATAACTTCTCTAATATTCGCTATGGCGATGTGATCGACGCTTCGACTCGCTTTCAACCTCCCAGGCCGCCACAGACTCAAAATCGCACTTTGAATACCGGTCAAATCGCCACGCGTTGCCCTCAGACACACCCTTTCTGGCTTGTCGATGGATCGGCAATAGCAGAAGGGATACCAGCTGATCAGCTGGAACCCGTACAATTCAACATCTCCCAGATTCCGCCCAAAAACCCCGAGGAAACTGAAGACTGCTTATTCTTAGATGTCATGGTGCCCACAAAAACCTTTCCTTCGCCTGGTCCGCATAAGCAGCGTCCCAATCACACAGAAACTGGAGCGCCAGTCCTGGTTTGGATAGACGGCGGGGGGTTTTCAGCGGGCTACAAGCATGAGCAACCCCCAGCCGGTCTTGTGTCTCGGTCTCAACTGGTTGATGACAAAGGGTTTATTTTCGTTGCTATGAACTACCGTGTTGGACTCTTTGTAAGTGTGAACCCAGCGGCGCTTTACCTAAATGCGATGATTCTAGTGGCTAATTTCGACCCTACAAGGGTTTCCTCCCAGCTGCAATAGTTGGCCAAGGCCATTCGAATGTTGGACTCCTTGATCAACGCCTGGCATTGGACTGGGTCCAAAAATACATCCACCTGTTTGGAGGAGATCCCTCCAGAGTCACCATAATGGGCGAGTCAGCTGGAGGAGGATCCGTCCTTCATCAGATCACCGCCTACGGAGGATCAGAACCCGTTCCATTCCAGCAAGCTATTCTCCAGAGTCCCGGGTTTCAGCCCAACGGAAACCCGGGTTTCCAGGAACAACTCATCGATTATGCCCTGACGAATGCTTCAGTGTTGACCAACAAGACTGTGGAGACGGTGGATGATCTCCGTAGCCTTTCGTTTGACGAGATCACACTGTTGAATAGCGTCATCGTCGGCCGTTCGCCTTATGGCACATACACCTTCGGCCCAGTCGTCGATGGCTCGCTTGTCCCCGAACTACCCGGTACCCTCATTGGGCAGGGTCGTTTCGCAACCTCGCTAAAAGGGTTACTGATGGGCACAAATTTCAACGAAGGAGTTCTGTTCGACTCACCGTTCCTCAAAAACGATAGCGACTACCGCGGAAATGTTCAGTTGTTTTTCCCGAAAGCGACTGACGAAGTGGTTGATTATGTTGCGACCGTCCTTTATCCAGATGACTTGTCCGGCAAATATAACTATACGACCCAACCCCTCCGGGCAGCTATCACAACTGCAGAAGGCTGTTTCTTATGCAACACTCGATATCTTGCCAACGCACTTCCGAATATTGTATCGACGCGGATATACAAATATCTTTTCGCTGTGCCCCCAGCGATACATGCCGATGACCTTGGGTATTCATTCTACAACGGTAACGGTAGCCTTACGTGGGAAGGCTTTCCAGTGAAAGAAAAGACTGCCCTGACGCTGCAAGACTATATTGCTAGCTTTACTATTACAGGGTCTCCAAACGACGGATCAGCCGCGGATTTCCACCCTGTATTTCCGGCCTATGGAGACGACGCATTGGTTCTTATTCTGAATGAAACAAATTTGGGGGAGATAATCATTGATGCGCAGGCTAATTCTCGGTGCGACTGGTGGCAGAAAGGCTTATTCGTTTAGCCAACTGATCACGAAGTCTGTTGTCCTAGATCTTTGTTTTTGGAACGATCATGAATGAATGGGGATCAATTCCCCCTAATAATGCGAGTCTAATCAATCATTGTTTTCAATCCAGAAAATGACTGGGAAACAGTCATTCTAGGCCATGATCTAGATATGGGTTTCAAGAGTTGTAGAGAGAGAGAGAAAAGAGAGTTCCCACCGGTTGGAGATCTCTAGTAGTCTCCTGTAATTGGGGAAACCTACTCCCCCCTAGAACGTGATCTTCTTGATCCCTCTCAACTGAAAATATGAGGACTTTTATTATGCTCGATCGGGATGACTGAGTGTTAGAAACTCGAATACGGGAACTCGAATACGGGAACTTGATACGGAGGCGCCCTCGGGCATTGGGATTTGGGTCTGCCCTTTCGTCCTCTGGACATGATGAACTTTGGAAAAGGCCCAATTAAAGTCGGCAATGATTTGCGTTGAGAGCGACTTAACAGGGACGCCAGACCGTGTACCTTTAGCCTTCAGACAACAAACTAGGAAGTGTTCATCTGTGTAACACTGACTACACAGTTAATAGTCTAAGGTCCACAAGAGCGTGTCCTGAATGTTGTTAAAAGGCCGGCCCGAGACAGCCGCTGCTTTTCCCGAAACTACTTCCAGCCCATATTGCCAGCGCGTGCAGCCGATATGACTGCCACGAGATATAACCTCGGATGGAGATCCTAGTTTGTACACTACGAGATTCGATCCATCAATAAGCTGGCAATATAAAGAGACGACCAGCAAACGATGTTTAGGAATTGACCTGGAATACATTCTTCTGCTACGGTCTATGTATTGATTGTCATCTTCCGTACGCTTTAACACATCCAGCATGTCATCGACTCCGGCTACCACCCGCGCCTGGATCCTGGCAAGTTTCCCAAAGGGACTCCCGACATATTCAGCAATCGATGATAAAGCTACCTTCAACCTCGTGAAACGCGAGCTGCCTGCGTTGGGGAAAGACCAGGTACTGGCAAAAGCTTTGTATCTGTCCAACGATCCGGCACAGAGGCTGTCGATCGACCCATCGATCCCCGAAGAGCGTCGGTATGCTTCGAGCGTTCCGCTGAATAGCCCAATGGATGCTTATGGCTTGGCGAAGATAGTGAAATCGACTTCGGACAGATTCACTCAAGGAATGATTGTCGGTGTCGGTCAGCTGGGTTGGAACGAATACCTCGTCTTGGATGCATCGCAGTGTGTTTCGAGACCGCCGCTCCCGAACGGCTTGGAACTCAGTCACTATGTGGGTGCCTTTGGCGGCACAGGAGTGACTGCGTACTATGGCCTGGTTGTTGTCGGTGAAGCTAAGCCATCAATGCGAGTTGTTGTCTCTGGAGCTGCGGGAGCCACCGGTAGCATGGTTGTGCAAATCGCGAAAAAGGTGAGACTGCTGTTCTAAGCTCTACTCGCCCCTTCGGAGCCTATCTCTGGGAAGCTGACGATCAATCGTTTTCCCACCAGATTGTGGGCTGCTCAGAAGTCATTGGCATCGCCGGAACCGAGGCCAAATGTCGCTGGGTAGAGAGTCTCGGGGCAGACAAATGCATCAACTATAAGAGTGCAACGTTTGAGCAGGATCTCATCAAGGCCACAGATGGCTTTGTGGATTTATATTTTGACAACGTCGGCAATACCATACTGGATCTCATGCTTGCGCGACTGAAACGCCATGGTGTAGTAGTTGCCTGCGGTTCGATATCTGCTTATAATGACTCTCAACCAACGATTCTGAAGAGTGAGCTTCTACCCGCGCTCTCGGGCCCCCGTGCCTCGTTGGAGCTTGCAACAGGCTCAGCGGCTAATTACCAAGTGTTAGATTACATGCAAATTGTGATGATGCGATTGTCGCTCCGTGGATTCATTGTATTGGACTATCTCTCCAAATGGGAAGAGACGCTTCAACTTCTGCGTGAGGCGGTTCAAGACGGACGATTGAAGATCACCAACGAGGAGAGCGAGCAGGTGGTTGAAACGGCATTTGAAGATGTCCCAAAGACTTGGCTGACATTGTTTCAGGGTGGCAACACCGGGAAGTTGGTCACCAAGATCGTCTAGGTGTCGATGACGATTTTCTCATTACTACTGTACATACCTAACTAGCAGAGTGTGTACTCCGTAGATCGTGCCCGCAGCTGTGGAGAACCTGAAGTTTCTTAAAGAGCAAAGAGGACCCCTAGGGATATACACTCAGGGACCCCCTGGAAGTCCTTGGGCCCTCGGCTTCACCCAAATTGGGACCCCATGTAGCCACGTAGCCTGGGTAGCCTCGGTAAACAAGGCTCTTTTTATTAGCATACATCTACCGCAGATATCCCTTACCCCCACCACTCTTTGTCATGGTACCCGAGGTTGATGTACAGTTCTGTAGGCGACAAGCTTATGTGGCTCGCTCACACTCCCTCGACATACCTCTGTCCTTCCATAGCATGAGCTACCTCGCTTTGAGCCATAATGCAGTCGATAATGTTCGAGTCCAACACGCAACAGCGACGACTACTGAAAAAACGGGCAACCAAAGCCTGCAGCAATTGCCGCATCCGGAAGGTCAGATGCGACCTGGTTCTTCGGTCAGCCCCATGCACAAATTGTGCACTAGATCATGTTCGTCTATCATTGCGCCTACCCTATCCTCCCATGACCCAGCTCATCTGAGACGATCCTAGATTGAATGTACAGAGTTGCCATCGAATCGAAAACGGTGAGTGCCAACTTAGGTAGGCAACCTGGCAACATTGACACGGCCTGACCATGAACTGTAGTCGGGTACTGAAACCCTCTCAGAAGGCACAGGCGGCTTCGACTATCGAGGTTCGTCGGTCCAAAGACAGGGAGGCCGGCGCTGAGGTTCTCGCCTCTGTCCCCCAATGCGGGTCATCCCCTCGTTCTATGGTGGGCTCTTGGCCACCAGAATCTCTATGCAGAACCCGAGAGCTCGAGAGCATCGATTCAGACGTAGAAGACTATGAGCCTGACCATATCGCGGGCACAGTTCTTCCCGACGATGGCAAGTTACGGGATCATGCTACCGGTATGTCCCTCCCCTCATGCTACACTGCCCCTTCCCCTGTCCACTGCAGACTGGTACATGTAGATGGTAACATAACCTACGAACCTGATAGCTAGCATTGCCTCCCAGATAATATCACCAGGGTCGGCTCGGCCTTTACCACAGGCCCCTCGACCAAGAGAATTTATCAAAGTAGACTTGCCCTTTATACAACCCTTCTGGTCACAAAGAGCATCTAGACATGAGCAGTACCTGCAACAATGCGGGGCATTTCTGTCGCCACCACCAAAACTTCGCAATGCTCTCCTCGAGAGTTATGTTGAGTACATTCACCCTTTACTCCCTCTCGTTGACATCCACGAAATCTTGGAAGCCGTGGCCCTGAATGGCTCTGGGCGAAAGATAAGTCTCCTTTTATTCCAGGCAATCCTACTGGCTTCTTCGGCATTTGTCAAGGACGAGGAGATCTCAGCTGCCGGATACAGAAATCGATATTATCTTCGAGAAGAACTCGGAGAGCGCGTGCGGGTACTATTATCGTGATCCAACACTTTTTGTGCTCATTTGCTGACCCGTTATCCCTAGATGTTATATGACTTTGACTGCGAGACAGATCGACTATGTCTTGTCCAAGTTCTCATATTAATGACGTATTGGCAGCAAAAGCCCTCGGATGCTAAACACCTATGGCATTGGGTCGGTATTGCGCATACCTTGGCCATTCGGATCGGCCTCGAGCGAAACTCAGAAGGATCTGGCATGCCGAAAGACAAGATGAGGTTATGGAAACGAGTCTGGTGGTCCTGCTATATCCGTGATCGTACACTAGCTCTCGGTCTTAGACAGTCACCACGGACCTTTGTCGAAAGTAAGGACAATCCAGACTTGGAAGTCGACGATTTCGAGATCCGGCAACCCATACCGGCCGTTGTCGAGACTTTCAGCAACTGTACTGCGCTAGTGGACCTGGAACACCAGAAATGGTGGGCCCGGCTTTGCATCTGGCAGTTGAAGCTGTGTCACATTCTGCCTGAAATCTTCGTGGCCAGATACTCAACGCTTGTGCCCAAATTGACCCGAAGCCAAGAGGTCAGCGGAGTTACAGTACCAGAGCCTCCCGGATTCGAACCTGACAAGATCCAGGAATGTGGCAGAAAACTAGATTTGTGGTTCAGTGAAATCCCAAGGGAGACTGTGTACAAATCCCCGGGGTCATTCTATTTTACGACCGGACGAGATCTGCTGGTCCTCCACTGCTCGATGGTCAACATGTTCTACCACGCCTTGGTCTGTGCATTGCACCGACCAAATTCGGCATCCTTGCGACGAGGAATCTCTGCTGATGAAGTTCTCTCACAACGCAAGGCTCGCCACGCCGCGACCACCATCACATCAATCCTGGGAGATTTGCAGATCTCAGAGATGACTGTTCGCATGCCTTCCTGGGGCATGACGGCACTGCTGCAATCTGCCATGACTCACCTTTGCGATTGCCAGGCGGACAACCGCTTCCTTCGTTCCCAGAGCCGGCAGCAGTTCGAGGCGAGTTTTGGGTTTTTGGACGAAATACAGCATGTACACGCCTATGGAGCGTTTGCGATCAAATACCTCGAATCCGCTGCCCGGAAAGTCTATCTTGGACCTGGAGTCTTGAGTTCAACGCCCCCCTTTCACAACCGGAGCGTTGCTGAGAACTGGTCCACCATCAATGACTCATCTGGTGCTGATGCGGCTTCCGCTGCCGTTCCTGGTTTATTTGATCCCATGTGCGAACCGCCTCTTCCTCCTCAACCGGCCTTGATATCGGCAACCGTACCTCAAGCCAGTCAGCTTGATCCCTCAGATTTGAGTGCTCTCAGGCAAAATATCTGGCTGGAAGATTCTGCTATGTATGAAGCTCTGGACTTCGACATCGATTTGAACTTTCCATCGGACCCTGAGGAAACAAACTTCTTGGATCGATGGAATTAGAAATTAGACTCTATAAGAGCTCATTCTAGATAATGAAAAGCAAACCCATGGCTTTGAACAGGCTTTGACATCAATTAGAGGGCCGTGGTAATGTCGAGCCTTGGGATTTTGGAAGATCTCGAGCCTTAGCCGAGGTTCCGGGGGTACAGAAATGTGCCTTGTGTGTCAGGGTATCATGCCGAACTCCACACTTTCCATAAAACTTCAAACAGTCCTCAGATTTACGTCTTGTGTCTCATGTAGTCGCTTGAAGTCACGGAGTGAGAAAAGTAAGCAGAGTAACAATCGGACCGGGAAAAGATGGAAAAGCCAGGTAGCAGAGGCAACGATGTTGTCCCGCAATATTGTAAGGGCGCCGTCGTCGTCAACGAGGGACCCAATTTCCATGTCGAAGTCCAGACATTGCCAGTGCCAGAGATTGGTACGTTTGATTCCAGAGATCACGACATGATCAGAAATTTCCTTCTCGACTGACCAAAGTCACTCGGAGTATGCTTTAGGCCCGGAGGATGTCTTGATCAAACTCAACGTGACAGGGATATGCTTCTCAGACCTGCACTATATGCTCAACGACTGGCCGATCCCCAAGATGTCTGAACTTGGAACGCGGTGTCCCGGACATGAAGGCGCCGGGACGATTGTAAAGGTTGGCGAGAGAGTTAAACGGTTGAAGGTTGGAATGCGCGCAGGCGTCAAACCGATAGCCGACACCTGTGGAGTTTGCGAATATTGTCGTGGAGGCATGGAGGTTCATTGTGAGGATTCAGTCATGACCGGCTTACAGTAGGTATTTCTCCGGCGAGATCTCAATTTCGCTGTTCCGTCCTTCTCAAAACTGTGGCGCTGACACCCTGTCCTATTTTCCAGTGTCGATGGCACCTACAAGGAGTATTTTGTTTCACCCGAAAGATACACTACCATCATCCCCGATGCAGTGCCAGACTATATTGCCGCCCCTGTGATGTGCTCCGCCTCGACTATGTACACATCGTTGAAGGAATCCGGCCTCTAAGCTGGTCAGTGGGCCGTGTTCCTCGGTGGCGGTGGCGGCGTCGGTATCCAGGGCGTCCAACTCGCTAAAGCCATCGGTCTCCGACCAGTTGTTGTTGACACTGGCCTCGAGAAGCAAAAACTGGCGCTAAGCCTGGGTGCCGAGGCTTTTGTCGATTTTCGAGAGTCATCCGATGTAGCCGCAGAAGTGGTTCGTATCTGTGATGGCAAGGGGGCCCATGGAGTCTTTTGCACAGCGCCTCAATCGTATCCGACTTCGTCGAGCTATCTCGGAAAGCAGGCTGGAGGCACGATTATGTGCATTGGTATCCCACCCGTGGGTGCCTGCCATATTGACCTCGACCCCACGACCATGATATTGCAAAAGGTGACAATCAAAGGAACCATGGTCTCTTCTCAAGCCGATATCGACGCGACTTTGGGGTTTGCCGCCAGGGGGCTGCTGAAGCTACAGCCCGAAATTGTTGGCTGGAGTGGGTTCAATGATGCTTGTCAGCGATTAAGAAAAGGATTGGTTCCAGGTCGGATAGTTGTTGATTTTAGTAAAAAGTGATCTTTAGTTCCCCTTTTGCATATAAACATGCCCCTCGGCCCTATCTACAGGTTCTCGCCATTCAACCTCGCTTCACCGGCATTTTGTATCCGTTCAATTGTGCACCGCTTGAGATTGAATCGTGCATCGTTCTGCGCAAGCACAGCTCTTTTGCTCGTTCTGACTATGCTGTACCGCTGACTTCCCCTCATCCATATTTAACCTCATTGCTTTGGCCCATTTGTCATCGATCTGGGACAGATTGAAATACGGGCTCGTATCAGTTTTTTCAACCAACGCCCTCACGGTGCCGAGGCCAAGGTACGCCCAGGGATTGCGTTTCGCTGGCCCAAGGTATTCAATATCGAAATCTTCGTACCGTGGTTCTTTAATAACCTCAATGTAATGTAGCGAAGAACCCGGCCATACAGCATTAACTCTCCCAGTTTCATTGTTCTTGTACCACGATCGACAATTCTCTGTCCATACAGTATGCCGCACCCACTCTTGGCAATGGGCATTGAATAGATCTGTAATCCCCTGCTTTGGGGTTAAAGAGGCGATATACTCTGTCTGAAGCTTCTTAATAAGTTTAATGGTGTAGAGGCCGACATAGTATAGAGGCCCCATCACCGAACCGTTCTCGATAGGCCAATTTGGACCGATACAGATCAAAAAGTTAGGAAAATCCGGTACGCCTAGGCCGAGATATCCTTCAGGGTATACTTTCCACTTGTCCGACAGGCTGACGCCGTTTCGACCGATGATGGGGAACCGAGGACGATAACTGACATCGAAGCCGGTTGCGCAGATAATGGTATCGACTTCTCGCTCGATGCCATCTGCTCCCACAATTCCTGTTGGAGTCACACTCTGGACAGCCGTAAAATGAACGTCTACATTTGGTTTTTGAATCGACCTGCAGGTGAGGCAGGTCAGGAATGTGTAATGGCTGTTATTCGAAGAGCGACGACTCACATCATATAAGGATCACCAGGAGTCACTCTCCGGCAACCAATGCCAAATGAAGGCGTGAAGCCTTTCAGCAGTCTTTCGTCCTTGATGAATGATGCCATTCGCTCCTTCAACTGTATTTGACCCTGCTTTTGAGCATTGGAGCCTTTCATGAAACTTTCCCAGAAAGAGTTCACTTGTGATTCGATGTCTTTGGCATGATGGACCATTTTCGATGGGCTGTCGTGGAATTGCTTGATCTCCTCGTCTAGATAGGAATAGTTTTGGCCATAATTATTTGCAATCTGTACGAACCAGACTCCTTGAGAGCGACCAATGGATCAGATATCTGCAGCAGGCACTCGGGGGAGGGAGTGATTTCTTACCAGTTCTCACGAAGATGTCCATATGCTTGACATGGGGTTGCATCGTAGGGACTGTTTGTATTGATGATGCACCAGATCCAATGACAGCGACTCGATCATCACTCCACTGCTCTGCCTGGTAGTTCTGGGGCCAGTTCGCTGTATGAACGATCTGGGGTAGTGAAATTAGATACATGGATTCTACTGGCGCGCACAATAGCATCAATACCATGACTTACCTTGCCTTCAAACCTGTCCAGTCCATCGACTTTGGGCCATTTGTAATTGTTCAGTATCCCTGTACCGTACAATAGAACGTGGCATCTTTCTTCTGAAATCCTGGTTGTTCCATCTGGCAACGTCTGCTCAATGTCCACCTTCCACTCACTTGTGTCATCTTGCCAGTACGCCCCAATAACCTTGGAGTTGAAATTCATGAACCTTCTCAGGTTGAAAACTTCGCACACCTTATCAAGGTATGACCAGATATCGGGCGCGTAGGAGAAGAATCGCGGCCAATCCGGCTAGATGTCATTTGGTAAGCATGATGAACAAAAGGGAGGGAAGTGGCCAAGGATTCCCACTCACATTCAACGCAAATGGAAAAGTATACGCGTGGCTGGGGATATCGCAACCACAACCTGGACAAGTTGTTGAGTAAGGAAATGTACATGTAGAGTGTCGAAGGAGAGAGGAAGACAGGAAAGAATCCATACCGGGATATCTATTTTCAAGCCACGTGCCACCAATGTCTGGGTTTTTCTCATAAATTACATGCTCAACGTTTTCCAACTCTTTTTCAATGAGATAGGCGTTCATGATGCCGCTCACACCTGCTCCAACTGACAGGATCTTGATCTTGCGCACTGTGGGCGCTCCCAGAATGATATCCGGGATTTCATAGTCGGAATCCCGTTCTACCCCATTTGAGGCGTACCCATCAGTTCTGAAGCCGAACAATTTAGTTAAATCTGGCGCCATGACTTCCACGTTTTTCTGTACTGCTGCTGCTCTGCCAGGTTTGGAAATGTAGGTATATCGAACAAACTGACCTTGTAGAGATGGTCCAGAATTTATCTTCGAAATTGGGAAATGCCACTGGTCGAATGCCTCCACCTCAGTCCCAAACATCGACCCCAGAATATCATTCATCGTGATTGGCCAGGAAGACCTTCGACATAGTCAAACTTGGATGCCTCGGACGCTGGGGTTCGCTCCATTTGGTCACATCTGGTTATGAACAATCAGTCTTCCTCTTCAGGCCGAGGGTCTCGGGTTGGATTCAGGAATAATGACACGTCATTGATCATCCCCCGAAAATCAACATCAAATCCTCGGGACGAGGCTACAATCACTTGGATCAATTGATTTAGGTGATTGGAAACTCAAAGGATCCAACGTGGACGACGGGATATTCTTTTGGTTCCGTTTGACCGAAATCACGAGGGTGCTACAATCAGCAGAACAAGCATCCTCACGAGATTGCGTGGATCAGCCGATTGAGATATGTACGCATTGGGATTTGCCCAGCAATACTGTATTCAATATGGGCTATCACAAGACTCTAGAAATTGGTTAGAGAAGCAAAACAAATAAAAGCAAAGTTATTACGGATTGTAACATGTGATTGATTCTCTTATATTGATCACTGTCTGCCGGATGTTTTCCCCAAGCCCCGGCGTTCTGTCCTCCTGGTCATGCAAATGCGTGATCTTTGGCTTTTGGTGGTTTGGTGTCACGAGTAACCTCAGCGTCCGCCGTCGCCCTCGTCCTCATTTTCTGTCACATTGTATGAACAAGAGGCTTGCAAGCTGCACTGAACGTGACTCAAGCCTTGGTATTCTCAACGTGATGAGACAGACTCTTTTCCAGGTCTTTAGAGCTAGTCTCGGCCGCTGGAAGGCCACTATCCTTCTCTGCCTCGGTCAATTCCTGGTGATCTCCAAAGATTCTAGCAATCTCTTCCAGAGGCACACCAAGCGTATCCGGGAAGAAGATCCACATGAGAGTTGCCGATATTATCCCCGGAATAACAAAGCAAAGGAAGAATCGCCACCCAATGGTGTCGAATGCTGTGGGAGCAGCCTGAAGCCACATGATATTCATGACACAGATGTTGGCAATGCCAATAACCATTCCTTTTGCGCGAATATGTGTTGGGAACAACTCCCCCAGATATGCAAACTGAACGCCCCCCAAACAGAGTTCGTAAAAGCAGACGTAAATATAGATAGAGGCAACGGCCGCTTGGAGTCCTGACTGATTGGGGTTTGCTATCGCGCTGGGCGTCGTGGCGTACAGTGCCACCAGGACTGCCTCAACGAGAAGCGAAAGAGCGCAGCCGGCGACTCCGGTGGCGAGGAGTTTATTTCGAGGAAATCTATCAATGACAAAGAACGAGAGAATGCCGGTCCCGAAAGCGAGGGTGATCCACCCAATCTGGTAGAGGAATTGACGATTCGTATCGAATCCAAGAGTCGAGTATAACCTTGGGCCGTAGTTGTTGATGACCAGGATGCCACTAGTCTGAATCGAAAAGGTCGTTGCAATCGCGAGTAATGACCTTTTGAGGTAGCTGCGCTTGGTAAACATTGCCCACCAAGAAGTTTCAAGGTGTTTATCGGCCTGGATAGACTGCTGGATTTGTCTCAACTCGATTGCTGCTTCCTGGGGAGCGTGAAGTTTACGTAGTGTCTGGTCGGCTTCTTCAAAGCGATCCTTGAGCATCAGCCAACGGGGAGACTCAGGCATCCATCTCAGACCTAGGAGGAGAAGGAAAACAGGCAAGCACTGGAATGCTAAGGGGGCTCTCCATGCTCCATTGTTCGTTTCTGGGAGATGGTAGAACGCATAACCAAGCCATGTCGCTAAGGCGTAGCCGAACAGAAGGCCGACACTGTGGCAATCGACCAGGACGCCACGAACACTGGGGGGAACGACTTCGTTCATCCATATCGGGACGGCAGCCACGATCATGAATGCCCCAGCACCCGAGAGAAAACGCATAGTGATAAACATTCCAACGTGAACGCTGCCGGCGAGAAGAGCCCCAGAGATCAGGCAAATGAAGGCAGACACACCGATGGCGAAACGTCGGCCCCAACGATCAGCAAGCCAGCTGATGGTCAACACACCGAGGAATCCACCTGCTTGATAGAGACCGTTCATGGTGGCAATTAGTTGGGTTCCGTTTGGTCTTGTGTCAAGCTCAAAGTAGGTATTGAACGAGGGCTGAGCAAGGGTTGTTGCTATGATGGATGCATTGTATCCGTAACCAACGGACCCCAAACTCATGAGGGCCACCATTAACACATTGTAGGGGCGGAATTGGCGTCCTTCAAAGTGCTGGCCATCCGCGTCGCGCTTCCTTTTGACGAACATGACGAAGGCTATCTTGATGAGAAAATTCGCAGGAGTACCAAGAAATGTAAATGATGTTGTTGATGTTGATGCTGAGACCACGTAGAGGAGGTCAGTTCAGGAGGATTTTATCTTTTCATCATCCTTGAGGACTTCAATTTTGTGCCCGACCTTTACCTCGGTCACAAATGCTCTTGCAAGTGGTGAGATTGGTCTTTCTGATCTTTTAACCCCAGATCTTCTTAGGTCCCCAGCCTTGGTACCCCAGTTTTATGTCCTGGTGATGCATGTGAGGCTCCATACGCTCTGGTTCTCCGTGGGGAAGCTGGCTGCATTGATTGG